CGGCGAGCCCGAGCCGGCCCCAGCGAGCCCAAGCCGGTTCTTGTGAGCCCAAGCTGGCCCCGGCGAGCCCGGGCCGGCCCCGGCGAGCCCGAGCCGGCCCCGGTGAGCCTGAGCCGGCCCCGGCGAGCCCGAGCCGGTCCCGCCCCGCGAGCCTGGCCGCGAGCGCACCCCCCCGCGCGCGTAACGCGCGCGCGCGTAACAGCTTTCACATCTTAAAAAGATGAAAAGTATCTGCATAATAATAGATTTATACGATAGCAAGCCTTTTTCTTGTCGACAGTCCGCCGGCCATAAACTTGAACTGACAGATTCAAAAAAGCTATTCCTATCGATTTACGTTGACCAGCATACGGATCCAGTTTGATCTTTTTTCTCAGAAGAAAATATCCAAACAGTTGTACCAGCAAGATGAGTTCTTTGACGATAGCATCTCCTGTGGGAGAAAGTGACACCCAGAAAGGAGATAAGGTCAGCGATAGTGTCACGACTCCAACCGCATCCCCCGCATCTTCGATCCGAACAACTGCTGAATCACAAGAATCCCCCAACTACAGGAACGTGGAAGATGTTAGTTCTTCTGCAGCAGAGGACGCAGCGGCAGATGTCAGTGCTTCTGCAGCAGGGAGTTCAACACCAGCAGGGGCTTCAACGATGCTCCGATTTGAAGACGCTGCGAACCGCTTGAGCTATGCTGGGTGGGAGAGTGTCGAAGCTTCCCGCCCATTGGAAGATTGGATCACGCTGGCGAGCACTCTCCCCTTTGAATACGGTGCGCTCGGGGTGGTCAACGACGAGTGCGGTTGGACTCTTGGATGCACCACTGGTGTCACTGGTGGAGGAGAGGTTTATGTCTACGTCCTCTCGAAGCTGGACGCTAGTGATAACCGGCATGTTCTGCTGCAGTGTGTGAAAGTACCGAAGACCACGACCGCGGTAAGTAGTACAGGTCTAGCAGCAGGAGCAGGAGAGACGTCTCAAGAACAGGGATCGATACCTGCGACGTTTTCAGACAATGTTTCCCCGGCTCTTACTCTCGATTTGCTTTTGAAGGTATTGCTTGGCGCGATGCTAGATCCGTGGCACAGCACTAATAGTTCCACCGGACCGCGTAGACCCTCAGAGCTGACTCTTGAATTTCATCAAGACCACAGTGCAGCTAAGAAGTCTTGTTTCCGCCGGCCGTCGGAGTCGGTGCTTGCGGACTTCTGCCGTGTCCTAGTTGAGCAACTGAATTTGCGGAATGTTAGGCTTGCGTTTGATTCAGCTTCTTCTGAACAAGGGAGTGTAAAAGCTAGTCTTCGACATTTGGCTGAAAAATACAAGGGCGTGGTTGAAGCAACTGACGTCGCCTGTAAACTCTGGAGTGAAAACTTCTTCCGCACGGAGATGCGGTTACCACTGATTGGAGACGGAGATGCTTCTTCACTATGCTCGTCTGGAAGCAGCAGCAGCTTTGCAGGCATCGGTTCCTTGTTCCACGCCCTCGTCGAACCAGCACGACGCCGAGCCTTCGCCAACGCGGAGGCGCCGAGAGAAACGTGGGCTTTCCGTCAATTTTTTCCTTCCAAGCTGCTTCTAAATGGTGCTCCTAGTGGGACCACTGAGCGAAGACCGGAGACTTTTTTGAAGGAAGAATGGGCGCGGTTGAACAAGGATGCCGAAGAGCACGTGAATGCCGCGGTCAACTACATCGCTTCGCTTCGTAGTCGCGTGGCGGCTGTTCCGTCAGAGAAGAAGCAGGCGAAAGGGTACGATCTCGCAGTGATAAACGCACTTGTCGAGGAAGTGACGAAGATGCCTCAGCGCGTAGTCCTGAAGACGGATGGAGGCATGAACAACACGGATGGCGCGCAGCAAAGTAGACGACCGGGGCAAGGTGGCTCTTCGCGCAGAGGCGCAGAGAACGCTCGGAGCAAGGCATTGAAAAAGATGCTGGGTGCTGTTGATGCAAAGAAACAAGACTCAAATGCGATCGATATTTACTGGTCAGTGAGCATAGACTCGACCACGCGATTTCGTCCGGCACTCGTAATCCGCGGCTGTCGTTCGGGAAAGGAAACGGCAAGTCCCGATGTCCTCACGAAACACCCTGTCCGTCTCTGGTTCAACGGGAAGAAGTTGGAAGAGACCGTGACCACCAACAAAAATCAAAATAGCTCAGAAGAAGACGCCAATTATATCGACGCGTCAACGAATATGAACTCAAGCGCAACAAATAACTCAACAGTACAACTAGAGAACAACGAAAAAACAACATCTTCTGATGTTGAAGTTCTGTCCTTTCTTCCTTTGGTCTGCAGCGCGAGTCCGCAGTTGCCAGATGCAGATGAGGTCTTCGAGTCTCTCCTGCAGACAATGCGAGTAGTCGGGTATCGTCCTGCGGGCGTCTTCCTTGGTCTTCCGTCGATCTGCGGATTGGAGCGACGACATGAATACGAAGCGCGACTCGGGCGCGTCAGTGTCGCGGTACACACAGCCGGAAAGTGCTATTTGGAAAATGTCACTCGCACTCTCGCCAAGACTTCTACAGGAGCATCGTCAATGAAAGACGAGGACGAGGCGACGGCGAATAAGGAAATCATGTTGGCCGAATATCGGAAAGCTCCGCGAATGGAACCGAGTTCACTGTTATTTCACATGCTCGGATTGATCGATAAAGAGATGGCGGAAGGCGTCCCACTCGAAAAGAAACGTGAAACTATAGCGAAGCTCGCAGAAGAAATCTATAGCCAGTGAAGATTCGCAAGAACAACACCCGGGTAGATATTGAGACACACTGATTTAGGTCAGCACTGTAACGTAAGGAAGCCTCTAGGAATCCACTGAGGCTGAACTTCGGACTGTTGCTCTTTCCGTCTTCAGACAACTTGAGAAGCAAGGAGCCGCCTCATCTTTATGGTTTGTCGTACTTGCTATTTCAATGACCTGACCATTATAAGTGCTTTTTCGGTACTAGGAGGAGGCGTTCTCTTTAAATCTCTGCTGGTCTTTAAGGTAATGAGAAATGTTAATGGTTGACGATGACGATGATCAATACGTGTTAAAAACTAGGATCCATCCCCGCACGATTTTCTTTCCTAGTGCCTGAAATACCCAACAATTTGATCATCACTGTGGCGTAAGAATGAAAATGCTACTGTCCTCCTCTGGTCGGATTACAGCAAAGACGTCGTTCATGATAGGAACCACGGTTCACCATAGGACACTTCTGCGCCAAAGTTGTGCTCTCGAATGTCCAGAACTGAATCACAATCTATTCCAAGCATGAGGGTCCGATCGCGGTGTAAGCTTTTCCATCCGAGTGTTGAACTTCGGGACCGATTAGCGTACAGATTAGGAGGAGTCTCTGTAATATCCATGATCTTCGTCCGGGACGATGGAGTCTGTAATTACTTACTTATTTAGATGGCAGCATCACTATGACACCACTTCAGTCACATGGATGTACGACTGCGATGCTGCACTTAAAGTAAGCAATCATTTTTAGGTCTATGAAATCTTCGAAAAAAAGCAGGAACATGGCGACGGAGTAAAAATTCAAGCGAAAAACATGTGTAAGCTGAACAACGTAGGAGAGAAATCGACTCGTTGAATTTGATCAGGCTCGATTGATTTGTAAGTAGCAATCCTGAATAGTATTTCGAGTTGGAGGAGGTGGAGGAAATTCGTAAATAAATGCAAGCTAAGTTCACTTACAGGAGTACATATTTATACGAGTACTACAGCTAGAAGTAGTAGATAGAAAAAGGCAGAATAAAAATGTACTCCGAGTTGACGCAATGGGTGTATCTGGAGATGGAGCCGGCGGACCTGGGTCCAGACTTCAGCTCTATTCTCCGAGAGAAGATCAGAACGAAGTATGAGGGCAAGCTTGTAGACGGCAACTACTACTTGGCTGTGGATCAGAGCGGTGTGGAGATGCTGTCACAGCCAGCGGTGCAAGACGGAACCTGCCTCGCCATAGTAAAAGTGAAGTTTCCGTCCATCGTTTATCGGCCATTCAAAAACGAGGTTATCTACACGAAAGTGAGCAAAGTTCACAAGGTACCACTTTCTACTTCTGCATCTCCACAAATATTTATAATCATCTCGTATATGGATTTTCCTATTTTTTCACCAGACACTGACACGTAAAGACTACCTTTCATCATGTTTGCGACGAGGTGGACTCTTCATAGTCGCAGCAAGGACTGTACAGCTGTGAAAACGAGCGAGACCTTTGACGATGACAAATGACCTTTCTTGAAAGTAGTTGTAGTTCAAGTATCTTTTTCACCCGTCCACCCAGGTTGGTTTGATGGCCCACTGCGGACCACTGCGAGTTTTTGTTCCCGCGACGTCAATGGAGGGCGACTGGAAGTTTGTTGAGGGCGACTCTACACAAGGGGACCGATTCGTCGGCGTGCATGATGGTTTCTCCTTGACAACCGGAAAATTGGTTTGCTGCAGAATTCAGGGTGTGCGAGCAGAAGAAAGCGGGGAGCATAAATTTCACGCACTTGCGACAATAACAGAAGAAGATCTTGGCCCAATAAGACAGATTGGCGAAAAGTACTACTACTGACTAAGTAATACATTTGTAACTATTCTAATTGATTCTTTGTACTCTACTCTATGCCGTGTCCGTTTGTACTCGTGAAATCATTTTTGAGTTATAGACAATTTTTTTTCTAAAAAGCTACTTTGAAATGAGTTCCTATTTGTTCGATTGAATTATGTAATGTATGAATCTCGTCTTTTAGGGCGTATCGACCATCGCATGCGAATATGTACGCGAAGGAGGAACAGCACGCGGGTCTGGACCAATGGCAGGGCGACGTCCCTGCCGATGGACTCACCTTAGGCGAGATAACTGGAGGTAGCGACCAAGAGCGAATGTATGGCGGCGGATCCCGAAGCAGTGCGGGCGTTTCGAACAAGACCGGCTTGAGCGGCCGTGGCGGCATGACCGGAGCAGGCAGCGACGTACTAGTCAAGGGCGTCCCGGCTGGCAACATGACCACCGGTGCAGGCGCAGGCATGTCGCAATCCCTCGGAAACATGTCGCTAGGAGGCTTCACGGATATGTACCACGATGGAACGGCGATGTCCCACGTGAACGCCATCGACCGCATGGAAAATCCAGAAGCCTATATCGATCACATCCAGCAGATGGCCTTCCCGCATCTGCCCCCTCGATAAGAAATATCTCTTGAACAACAATCTCAAACTCAACAATCTCTCGTATTATTTACAAAAGTAGGGTCATTGATGTTCATGTTGATCATGATGTTGTGAGCAACATGGAAAACAAGTCTAATGTTGACTCGCCAAGGACGTGACCAAAGAAAGTCGTCGTGCTTCTACATTTGATTGACCATTTCTTTCGCTTCAATTCTTTTCGCCAGTCTACTGGATGTCAACCCCCTAAGATGAACATTATTTGGAGTCTTTTCTCGTTGTGCCTACGTAGGTTCTGCGGATTTTCATACAAATAAGAGCTTCCCCCGGCATGCTCATGCATGTTGCGGATGAGATATGATATGTGTTCGCTACTTAAAGAACAACGATGGGGGTATGCAAAGATATGAACACACAACTTCCAGGCAGTTAAAAACTTTCGAGCAGTTACAAGCCTGGCAGCCGCAAAGAAATGAGGGGCCAGAAAGGGTGCCCATATGGGGCCGCCACTCGTCTCGGGCAAGGAAGGGGCCGCCAGGGAGGCCAAGGCGTGCCGAAGTGGGCGTGAGTTGTTTGCTGTGTCTGTGTGTGATTATGGGGCGCCGCCTGCGAGCGCGCGCACGCGTGCGCCTTGTGAGTCGCGTCCTGCGAGTGTGGGCAGCGTCTTGCGAGCGCGGGCATCGTCGTGCGAGTGGGGGCCGCGTCCTGTGGGTGCGCGCTGCGTTTTTGGGGTGTGAGTTGCGCCCTGCGAGGCGCGTCCTGCGAGTGTGGGCCCCGTCGTTTCTTGCGAGTGAGCCCAGTCGCGTCGTGCAAGTGAGCCCAGTCGCGTCTTGTGAGTGTGAGCCGCGTCCTGTGTGCGAGCGCGAGTCGCGTCGTGTGGGTCGCTCCTTGCGAGTGTGTGTCGCGGGTGTCTTGCGAGTGTGAGAGAGTCGCGTCCTGTGGGTGGGTGCGAGTGAGTCGCGTCCTGCGAGAGTGCGCCGCGTTCTGTGAGTGCGAGGCGTGTCTTGTGAGAGCGAGGCGTGTCTTGTGAGAGCGAGGCGTGTCTTGTGAGTGCGAGCCCCGCCCTGCGAGTGCGAGCCTCGCCGTGCGAGGCGCGTCGTGCGAGTGCGAGTGTGAGTCGGGTCCTGCGAGTGCGGGCCGCGTCTTGCGAGTGTGAGCCGCGTCTTGCGAGTGTGGGCCGCGTCTTGCGAGTTTGGGCCGCGTCCTTCGGGTGTGAGTCACGTCTTGTGAGTGTGAGGCGTTTCGTGTGAGTGAGTGCGGGCCGCGTCATGCGAGTGCGAGCCAGGGGGCGGGCGTGGGTGTGAGTCGCGTCTTCGTGCGGGTCGCGTCTTCGTGTGAGTCGCGTCTTGTGGGTCGCGTCCGTCGTGTGAGTCGCGTCGCGTCGGTCGCGTCGCGTGGGTCGCGTCGTGTGGGTCGCGTCGTGCGGGTCGCGTCGTGCGGGTCGCGTCGTGCGAGTCGCGTCGTGTGAGTCGCGTCGCGGGAGTCGTGTCGTGTGAGTGCGCGCCGCGTCTTGCGAGTGCGGGCCGCGTCGGTCTTGCGAGTGTGAGCCGCGTCACTCAGTCTCGCGATGTGAGCGTGAGCCGCGTCAGCCTTGCGATGCGAGTGGGGGCCGCGTCGGTCTTGCGGTGTGAGTGCTAGCCGCGTCTCCTCTTGTGAATGTGAGCCGTGTCTTGCGAGTGTGCGTCGCGCCGTGCGGGTGTGGGCTGGCTGTGTCTTGCAAGTGCGGGCCGTGTCTTGTGAGTGCGAGCCGCGTCCTGTGAGCGCGAGCCGCGTCTCGTGAGTGCGAGCCGCGTCTTGTGGGTGCGAGGCGTGTCGTGTGAATCTGGGCCGTGTCTTACGAGTGTGGGCCGCGTCTTGCGAGTGCGGGTCGTGTGTTGCCTGTTGTGAGTGCGAGCTGTGTCGTGCGAGTCTGTCGCGCCTGGCGAGTGTGGGCTGCGTGCGTCTTGCGAGTGTGAACGCGGGCCGCGCGTGCCTTCCTTGGTGTGAGTGAGTGCGATCCCCTTCTTGTGAGTGTGGGCCGCGTCTTGTGAGCGTGGGCCGCGTCTTGCGAGTGCGCGCCGCGCCTTGTGAGTGCGAGCCGCGTCTCGCGGGTGCTGGTGCGGGTCGTGTCTTGCGAGTGTGAGCGCGAGCCGCGCCCTGCGAGCGCGCGCCGCGGCGTCTTGCGGGTGCGGGCTGGGGTCGCGTTCTGCGAGTGCGGGCTGCGCCTTGCGGGTCGCGTCTATCTTGCGAGTCGCGTCTTGCGAGTGTGGTTTGCGTCTTGTGAGTGCGAGCGCGTGCCGCGCTTTCTTTGCGGGCGGGGGTTGCTTTTTGCGTGTATGAGTTGCGTCATGAGTGTGAGTGTGAGTCGCGTCATGTGAGTGCGCGCCGCGTCGTGTGAGCGTGAGTCGCGTCGTGCAAGGTGGAAGCGCGGGCCGCGTCTTGTGAGTGCGATTCGCGTCTTGCGAGTGTGGGCCGCGGGCGTCTTGCGAGTGCGCGCCGCGCCTTGCAGGTGTGCGGGGCGTCGTGTGAAGTGAGTGCGAGGCGCGTCGTGCGGGTGTGAGAGAGGGTGGGCCGCGTCTCGCGAGTGTGAGCCAGTCGAGGCTTGCGAGCCGTGTCTTGTGAGTCGTGTCTTTTGAGTCGTGTCCGCCTGTGGGTCGTGTCTTGCGAGTGTGGGTCGCGTCTTGTGAGTCGCGCGCGTCATGTGAGTCGCGCCTTGCGAGTCGCATTTTGCGAGTCGTGTCTAGTGAGTGTGACAGTGGGCGGCGGGCTGTGAGTATGGGCCGCTTCTTGTGAGTGCGGGCCGCGTCTTGTGAGTGCGGGCGGCGTCTTGTGAGTGCGGTCCGCGGGCGTCTTGCGAGTCGTGTCGTCTCTTGTGAGGGTGAGCTGTGTCTTGCGTGTGTTAGTCGCGTCCTGCGAGTGCGGGCTGCGTCTTGCGAGCTGTATCGCGTGGGAGCGAGCTTGTCGCGCTCGCGTCTTGTGAGTGCGGGCTGCGTGTCGTGTCTATCTTCCTTGTGGCTGTGTGTGATTTGCGAGCGCGGTGAGGGAGTCACCCCTTGAGAGTCGTGCCTTGCGAGTGCGGGCTGCGCTCGCGTCTTGCGAGTGCGGGCTGTGTGAGTGTGTGTCTTGCGAGTCAGTGCGAGCCGTGTCGTGTGAGTGTGAGCCGCGCCTCGCGAGTGCGCGCCGCGTGCGTCTTGCGAGTGCGGGCCGCGTCTTGTGAGTCGCGCACCGCGTTGGCGGGTCGCGTCTTCTCTTGCGGGTTCGCGCCGTGCTTAGCAAGTGCGGGCCAGCGAGCTTTGTCTTGTGAGTGTGCGCCGCGTCTTGTGGGCGCGAGCAGTCGCGTCGTGTGGGTGTGACTGAGTCGCGTCTCGTGGTTGTGAGTGTGGGCCGTGTCTTGCGAGTGTTAGTCGTGTCGTGTGAGTGTGGCCCGCGTCTTGCGGGTGCGAGCTTTTCGTGTCTCGTGAGGGAGTGGGAGCCGCGTCCTGTGAGGCTGAGGGAGTGCGGGCCGCGTGTGTCGAGCGGGTGCGAGCTGTGTCTCTCGAGTGTGGGTCTGTCGTGTCTTTCCCTTAGTGTCTTGCGGGTGTGCTGGGAGGGCTATGGGTGTCCTGTGTGTTTGCCGTTGCCTCTCATGTCTTCGCTGTTGTGGGTAATTAAGTGTGGCGCTTGTCTTGCGTGTGCTATGGCTATGGCCGCGCCTTGCGAGTCGTGTGGGCGCGTCCGTCGTGTCTGGCAAAGGCAATTATATTTTTGCGTGGCTTTCTTAGCGACGCTGACAGCGTGGCTTCCAAGTAGGTGCGCCGCAGCTTATAAGGCGCATCGGCGCAAATGCTTGCAAAGCGGGCCACAGGGCGCCGCGTTGTGCTGGGGGTTGCTTGCTTTGTAGTTTGTATAGGTGTCTTACCATACAGCTGGTGGGCCAAATGGGGCGGGAGGACTGGCAAAAAGAGGCGTGGGGAAATTGCTGAAAAGGTGCCCCGCATTGTGAAAAAGATCCGCGGGGCCCTGGGACTGCTGAGAAGATCCATGGCGCCTGGGGACTGCTAAAAAGAGCAGCCGCGACTGCTTAAAAGAGCAGCCCCGACTGCTAAAAAGAGCAGCCGCGACTGCTAAAAAGAGCAGCCGCGACTGCTAAAAAGATCAGTCAGGACTGCTGAAAAGAGCAGTATGGACTGCTGAGAGAGCTGCCTGGGCTGCTAAAAAGATCGCGCGGAGGCCGTTGCCGTTAGTTTTTCCGTTGGTTTTCCGCTATCTGTTAGTCTGTTAGTGTCTCCGTTAGTTTATCCGTTAATTTAGGAGACCCAAATCTTTTAAGCAGTTCAAAGAATCTTTTTGGCAGTTGTCGAATCTTTTCAGCAGTCGGCCAATCTTTTGAGCAGTGCAACTGCTAAAAAGATCAGTGTTCAATCTTTTGTTTAATCCCGGAGCCGTTCATTACTGTGTTACCATTTCAGAAAACGATGTCGTTCTTGTCGATCTAAATGCAAATAGGCAGCAAAAGTATGATATGGAATCGAGTGATTGGAAAAAGCACAGACTTATTGGAAGCGATATTTTTAGGTTCTAAGAATGATAGAAAAGCAGTGTGGAAAATCAAAAGAAATACTATCCACTTCTGTGATGCATAAAAACTTATTGTAGAAGTTCCACTGGATTATATTTTGTTGTTTTTAGAAGTCATTGCATTTGTACTAGGATAACGTGAAGTTTTATGGATACGATCTTTAGAAATAAAGAGCGATGAAAAAGAATGCGACTAGAAACACCTCAAGGGAGCGACGCAGCAACGCAGCTGCGGCCAGTGGAGGAATGGGGGGCAAGAAATGTTGTTCCTGGGAGTAACACTAGCGGGGATCAAGAACAGGAGCAGCTTCTCCTGACGAAATCGAATGAATCCGAACCTCAACCGGCCTCATCCTCGCATACCAGAGCAAGTGTTACGATTTCAACTCCAGCAGCGACTGAGAACGCGAGCGATGTGGAGAGCTTTTTCTCACTCCACTCTCTGGACACGCTTCGAGAGTTCCATCCGAGGACCAGCTCGACGTCGGCGCTTGCTTGTATCCAACACAAGTTTGAAAATCTCGCATTCAGGACAAGGACGGTGACGCCTTCTTGCTTCCAGAGATACGAAGTCTTCCAGAAATACATTTTGAAATCGGCACCTGCATTTGTGCTTTTGGTCCTCCTGTTGCTTTCTTTTTTTGTGAGGAACTACAAGCGCTGCGGCAGTGGTAGTCGTGGTTTTAGCGGAACCGAGAAGTCTGCTTTTCTTGAGCAGGCTGTTCCTGAGCACTCTGAAACGCAGAGGAAAGAAGGTGGGAGTCGGCGCAAGCGCACCCCGATTTCTGGGAAACGGACTAAATCACTTTTGAATCGCGCCGACGAGAACTTTTTTGTGCTGTTATGAGAGGCATTCCTTTATTCCGAAATTGTGGCTTTCTTGTCTTGAGTTCTGTTAGATGAAGACTCGCAACATGATTTTTTTGCATAGATACTCCTGTGGTATTGGTGCAATAGGATTATCGGCGCGGGTGACCAATTACGGGTTTATCATAGCATAGACGCTCATATTTCTTTGCTTGGTGAGGATCTGTTTTCATAGGGTCTTGTACAGAATACGAACATTTTGAAAAGGAAAGAAAACGAAACCAAAAATAATGATAATCCTGTTCGGCGCATGATCTGGTATGTCTTTTTCACGAAATTGGAGCCTCATACAGAGAGGCCAAAGATCGATCATCTTCTCCGATGTCAAACGGACTAAGAAAGCGCGTTGCTCCACGCGTGTGCGAAAAAGACGCTCTGATGTGTGCTCATAACTTCACATCGTCGGCTCTTCAGAAATCGGCTCTGCATCGATTTCAGATTCTGTTTTTTTCATCAACCATTCCATTGAGAAAAGAGACGGATGATTCAGTCAGTCAAGGAAGTAGAAATATCGAAAAGAGTGGCTTGCACTTGCTGGGAAACCCTCTTCAAACAGGCACACTTTTCCCGACCACGACACAGGTGGGCCGCTAACTATCATCTAGCTAAGCCCAATTTTTACCTCGTTCCCAACAAATGCCGAAAGCTTTTTGCCCTTCAAAAGAGCTCCCCTTGAATTTGCATTCAGTGCAACGAACAATTTCTTTGTATCTGAGAGGGAGAGACCGAAGGTGGCCTTGACTGTTATCTTTGTCCATAATTTTTCTCTTGTGTTTGTGTCCTCCGAGTTGTATTCTTATATTACTTTAACTTTACTATTACTTTCTTTCAGGAAGATCATGGCAGACAAAAATTACAATCACTGTTCACGACAAGAAGATCAAGATGGTATCTCAAAAGTTGTTTCTCGATGCATCTGATCACTAGTCTAGCATATTGTTCCACGCAGCAACGAGAAAAGGTATTCCCCATAAATGGGTACACTGCTACTAAAATTACTAGTAGTACTACTTGCAGCCAAGACGAGCAACTACAAATAGACCTCCCATCAGGCAGGGCGTTAATCGCGGAGTTCATTCCAAGCTTGTTGATAGGCTGAATGCGATGTTGATATCCTTTTGTTTATCTTGTGTGAATTGAAGTGGTATCTCCTTCGACTGGCCGCTAAACAAAGTAGAGAAGGAATTTTTTCTATAAGCGTGGTGAGAGAATGTGTGATTTCCGAAGTGGCAGTAGTTTAGCAGTAGGCCTTCCACGTTGTTGTAGAGGAACTTATCGGGCAGTTCTTCATCGAGATTGATCATGTTGAGTCATCTTTTCGCTTTCATTGTTTCTCACTTGTATTCATCTCCGTCGTACTAAGCATCTTGTGTCTATTTCCACCTCTTGTTATTGTTGGAAATTACTTGTAGTTGAAGATCATCGGTAGTCTCGTACTAGAAAGGCTTGAATCCAATCAGAATCAGTCATGAATATCTGCGGCAGTAGGAATCGCAAGTTGGACTGCTCCGTTCTCGCGTGGGCCGAGTCGTGAGCACGGCGCGGAAGATGCAAGCATCTGGGCCCACCTCACAGGGAAGGCCGCAGGGCTTCCGTCGCGGCGGACGTTTTTACGACGCCAGCGGCTGGCGTCGGGAACTACGCACGCTTTGCAGCAATTACGCGCTGAGGATCCTGTTCGGGGAGCCCACAGGATCCGAGGGTGAGGCGACCGAGCCCGACGATGTCGCGCGGAAGAGGAGCATGGCACGAAAGATGGTGCGGAAGAAGTCCGCCTCCTCCCAGGAAGTCCAGCAAAAAAAGAAGGCAGGGAAGCGGCCTCTGACGAGGACAGCATCGCAAAACGCCGACGACAATGAAGGTTCTAGCGACAGTAGTTCCGGATCCGTTTCATCGTCCGAAGGCGATTTCACGTCGGATTCGGAGTTCGGATCGCTGAGTCAGAGCCGCGGCACGAAAAGACCACGTGGACGAGGAGGCAGTCATCGAGAAAGCAGTGTTGAAGAGAGGAACCGAACAGGAAGTTCTGCGAAAAAAGCGCGCGTCTTCGAACAAAGTAAGGAAACACGGGAGACAGACGCAGCGGAATCACATCAGAAGTCTCCTATAGGTGGTGGAGCTTCATCCTCCTCTGGAGCAAGGACCGTCTTACCAGAGGAAAAGCATTCTTTTACCGATTTCAATATTTTTGGAAGCCGAAGTTCTGGTAGTATCGTGAACACGACAGAGGGATCTGTCGATCCGTTCTACTCTTCCGCTGGACGCGGAGCTAGATGGAGACCACCCCTGTCCGAGGATATGGCTCGAAAGTTGGACGAGGCAGTCGAGAATCAGTGCCGCGCTTTCGGCGTACACCCGGACGATCCCCAATTTAGCGATAAAGCGATTTATGCTGCGCTGAAGCGGCGCTGGCACGGGGATGAGAAGCACCATAGACCCGACCATCAGAACCGAGCGCTTGCAAAAGCGGCGACGACGCTCATCGAAGCTATGTCTCATGCGATGCCGAAGGAACAATGTGCTGTACAGAATCTACGCGCTTTCTCGCGGATGCGGAACGTCGGCCCTTGGATTTTAGATCAAGTTCTCGGCGAATTACAGCACCCGGGACGTCGGCCTCCTCCTGGACCGGTACCGGATCCTTCGTCTCGTCAACATCCCTACAGTTACAGTGGCACCACGACAGCGGAACACAAGGAAGGGTCTCACTCACATGGTGCATCTGCCGCAGTGGAAAACAAGAAGAATGGGAGCAATAATATGCCACATGAAAAAGCACGCGCGGCAGCAGGAACAAAAGGCAAGAGTTCTAGTTCGTCTTCGTCGGGGTTGCAGCAGCCGGAGAGCCAGAAGGGGAATATGCCCTCAACATCGAAAAGCACACATGGCGGCGGTCGGAAAGGAACGTCTTCCGCGTCTGCGAAGGGTACTTCTAAGAATATCCCAAGAATGAAGGGTTGTAGTACTACAGTAACAACAAATCATTCATCAGTATCCTCAAGAAGAGTAGAACCGAATCACAACCAGTATCCGCCCACAGCTGTCAGGCCTCAGACACATGATCATGTTGCTTATGAAGTTGCTCGGCACTGCTCTCGTCCTCCAGTTTCTTCACACGGTATCAGTAACTTTTGCAAAGATGATCATGATCATGTTGCTTCAGAAGGAAAAGGTCCTCCTCTCTCTACCAGACCCACTTCGAGTGGAGCAGATGGGCCTGGAAGAACCATATTCGGAGGAGGAGCAGTCGGCGTGGGAGGAGGAGATGCGGCAGAAAGAACCTTTTTCGGAGGAGGAGCAGTCGGCGTGGGAGGAGGACATGGGCCCGGCAGAACCGTTTTCGGAGGGAGCGGAATCCACTTAAATGCAGATGATCCGACGAGTCGACGCGTGGGACACGCAGCAAGCGTTTCAACGTCAGCTGCTGCATCTGCAAGCACGTCCAAGAGTTCCGATGGCGAATACATCACCGGCGATGCGAATACTGCGATTAAGAATGTCATGCAGACCTTTTCCCGCAGCGAGGTTTTTCCTCGGGCTCAACCGAATAGGGGAACAACTCTTCGTCGAGAGCCACTCCAGCCTCGTACTGAAATGACGTCCTCAACACAAACACGACGCGGGGATCGGATTAATGATACACGAGAATCGGCCGCACAACTTCCACAAAGGACGGAATCACTTGGCCTAGCAGCGTCTTCTTCCAACACAAGGGCAGGAGGCCTCGGTAAAGGCTCAGGATTACGCGAGGTGCTCCTTGCTACAGACTTACTGGCAGCGGGTTTTCAGGCTGCAAAGGGCACTAACAGCATGAAATCGCAGCAAGGGCCTCCAAGTGCGAAGGCTGCTGTGCCCGCAAATCCAGCTCGGGAACTGCATCGAACAAGAACTGCAGGAAGCACAGCCATTTCGATCTCTAGCAGACTTGCGAATACAACAGTGTCTGCCTCGTCGTCATCAACACCATCGTCCTTGGGAGGCACTACTTCCTCAGTGCCGAACAAACAGCAGCCTTTTTGTCCGCCAAACCGCGTTCAGCCGCCACTTTTGGAACGTTTTCGCAGGATATCGGGTGATGAGAGCACCACCGCGGCGCCGCCAAGTCCAGCCGTAGTATTACGGGTAGGCTAAAGGTGTTCTTGTACCTGTTACCGTTCGTTTTGCCTTTCTGAAGGAGGAAAGGCATAACGAACAGGGTAAACGAACACCAAGAGCCTACCTCTAATAGTACGGAACGAGAGGCCGCCAATGCACCAGCTTTCGCTTGGCGTTCCTTGCCTGACACCGGAGGCGGACAGGAGCAAAGTACGGCAGCGGAGCATAGATCCTCAGAGACTTCCAGGTCCACCGAAGGGACGTGTAATTGACCTGGACGACGAAAGCAGTGACGGAGAAACCAAGCCAGAAATTGTTCCGCAGCATCGGATGGCCTCTCCGTACTCAAGGCAGTCGAACGGGGTGCCGGTGCCACCAGTTGAGGAGCAAGCAAGTGCAAGTTGCAGTCAAGCAAGACACAGTCAGCATGCACTTGAGAGGCAGAACGAAGTGAGCCCCGATCAGCTGTCCAGGCCTGCTACTGCTTGGGCTCCTCAGCCGAACGGTGCGGCTGTGCCTGTTTTGTTGCAACAAATGGCAGTACAGGGAAATGCAAGCACCAAAACTTGCGCTCCCACGAAGGAGAGGCGAACGAAGGACAAACTAGTTGATTGGGCTTATGTTGATTCGACAGGCAGAGGGGTGCGTCAACGCAGTGCGGCGGACCGACGACGCGTAGGCGCGGCGAAACGAATAGAGTTCCATGTGAAGGTATTCAAGAGTAGCGACGGCTCTGAGAATAACGTGACGATGCAAGAAGGTTGGCTTGCTGACGCGAAAGCACCTCTAGAAAAGGACCTCCCCGAAGATCACATGATGGCCACGATGCACTTGCTTTAGAGTCACAGCATTAATATAGAAGTATTCAACTTGTGTTTTTCACAGAGATTTCAACTCCTTGTCATATTATGGAAGAAAATACTTCTGAAGTCGATTTCCGACTCAAGAAAGGGGCCGCGAGCGAGCAGCCTCGCGGTACTCGGCTGACTCACGGCACTTGCTGCTGCTACTTTTCTCTATTCTGAAACGCTGTTTTCGCGACGAACGCCGAGAGGCGAGAGGCTTTCGAATAAAAATCGAGACTGGAGGAATTGTCAATAAGAAGCTACTTCAGAACTAAGTTAAGTTTTGGCGCATATGAGTTTGAATAGGAGCAATCCTAATCCAATACCGTTCTTTTATTTAATTCTTCCACGATTTGGTTCCTGTTTTTTCTCTCGCAGAGATCGGTTGGGTCTATTAGTCGGTCGATCTGAATCAAGAACGAAATGGACAGCTAAAGATATTAAGACGATTTTGTAGATATCGATTTCAATATCTTTGTGGACTTCACTGTTAAGAATTGCGTTTCGATCGAGTTTCCCAGTTTCTTCGGCTGCTTTTTGAATCTTTAGCTTTGAAAATGAGCTATGGCGTTATGATATTTTTGCAAATTGCTGGTGCAAGACACTGCAGTGTATTAGTTTGCGCCATAGTGCTACGACATATGCATACGTCTTTGCTTCAGGCTGGTGGTGTGGTAGTAGACTGGAAGAAGTTTACTTTTTGAGCGACGTGATTCAGATTGTGACTTTATTCTTTTCCTTATGTGAAGTTGAAGATGATGATCTTAGTTGGCAGCCTATTTTTGATTATGATTTTTTGGTAGCATTCTTTCTGGAAGAAACATGGCCGTGGTTCTTTCCCCACCTCTGCATCCCTCTGCGGATCATCACCATGAGGCTTTCAAAAATACGGGCTTTCCCGCTCATCTGTCAAGGCAGAACTTTTCTGGAGCCAGCCAGCTGCTTTCGCAGCAGGGGAAAATAGTCGACGATCTCACCGGCTTCCTCGCGTATTTAGAGGCTTTCCCGAGGCAAGCAGCGTCCGACCATATTACCGTGGACGTCTACGTCCAGGCGCTGGTGAGCGAGTTGCTGGTTTGCTTGCAGCCAGGGGAGCGCAAAGGCATCGCCGACCGGATCGACCGCTGGGAAGCGCAGAGACTGCATGACTTGCGCCTGGAAGCCGAGAAGGAGAAAAATGTGAAGGACACACTGGATCACGATGTGACGCTTCCTCCCTCGAAAGAAGCAGGGGAAAAGAAAAACATACGGAATCACGGCAAGATCGTACAAAAAAGTGGCAACTTTTTAGCAGAAGGTCTAGAGGCCGAGAAGGTAGAGGACGAGAACCGGTTTGTGGAAAAAGAAGCGGGGGAGATTGATGTTGGTATAACCGAGCCTGGAGCGAATGCAGAGTTTTTGAGTACACTCGGTGGGGTTGTCGAACTCGTCGATCCTGTAGAGCCAATCGAGGATAGCTCAGCATTGCGTGCGAGAAGACGGAACGAAGAAAAATTAAGACTAGTAACACAATATAGATGTAAGTACTTACTCAATTCGTAATCGTACTCGTGTCGTAGAAGTAGGTACGTAGAAGAATTCTCAGAAGGTGGGAGCATCATGAAAACACCCTGGAAGAATTATTAGAAAAAGAAAGTTTGGTGCAAGAGTAAAGAACGACTACCGAGATGCTTCGGCTCCTGAAGTAACTGGATAGTTTTAGTTGTGAGTGCTTAAGTATTAGCACTAGCAGGATATCCTCGTCTAAAGAAAGCGAATTTGTTGGCGGATCCGAGCAGTTATGCCGAGCACAATCGGAACAAGAAAGATGGGAAGTTAGACAAAGAGGAAAAGGAGGAACTTATGGCCACCGTTGCCGCATCAGTAGAGCACATGGTCGGACTCGCACACGGCATTGGAGGTCGGATTACCGAGGATAACAAGGTTCTGGACTCATTGAATTCGAAGCTAGATTCGCAGAATGACGCTTTGCAAGTGAAGAACAAGACCGCGCGGGACATGCTCTGGAGTAGCAAATTAAGATAATAGATATTAACTCTAAAAATTGCTGTTCATCGTCTTCATTCTGTTGAGTAATTGGTTTGTCTTCGTAGTAGCAGACGGCACAGGAGAGTCCTAGGCAGCTTTTCTCGCTCCGTCTAGATTCGGGTCATCAGAATTTGTTAGTCCTCTTGAGTAAAAATAGAATGTCACCTGCATCAACCACAACTTCTCCCTCTCTAAGCAGCATGGGCTTCATGACGCAGATGTTCCTGTTTGCATTGTCGATCACGATTTTTTTTGGGATGACCAGTTTTATTCTCGCTACCAAGATTATCAACTGGTAAGCTGTCCTGGGCAGTGTCCTAAGCACGACGGCCGTGTCCTTGTGTGTCTTTGTTGTGAGAAGATAAACCGCAAGAGCGGTCCTTGTTGGACGCTTTTGGAGCAATTACAGTGAAACACCTTTGGTGGACGTTTTGACACACATGGATCTTCCAAAATTATCACTATAAGTAAGTTTTTAGTACCCCACGCCTTCAGCCATTCCGAGCAAGCACACCCACAGACAATGTAAGAGTAAGAGTATCAACAGCATTCGTTTTCGAAGGGGTTTAGATTTACCTCGTCGAAGACGAGTTTATAAAAAGGCAAGTACATTAGAAAAACGGGTGATTGCGGTCATTGTGTTCACGGAGAACCAGTCGTTTTGGGGAGTTATGTCAAACTTTCCTGCGCTAAATTGAATTTCCACTGGAAGGAGGCTTGTTCAGGTGAGTCGGTATCCCGAATATCTAAGTCACGTTGTGGTGGCCTCCCGATATGTGTTCGAGATCAAGGATCCGCTGATGAAGTCTGATTTGGGTAGCTGCGCTCTGGTTGACAATTGTACTTTGTACTGTAGCACTTCGTACTGTAGCACTTTGTACTGTAGCCGACCTCTAGCACACAGCAGGTTGGTTGCTTTGGTTATGTACCATGGGCAAGTGGGGAAGTTGCAAATGAAACAATGAATACGCAATTCGAGCGCCGTACTGACTAGACTGAAGAAAAGATTAATAAGATGCATCTGTTTCTGTTGTAAACCATGTAACTGCTCCTGCTGCGCAGGATGCGGCATGTATTCTGCGGCTCCGGTTTCTGTCAAGAACAGCAACTGGAGCAGTGAAGCGAAATCATGAACGGTGTCACCGGTGCCAATGCACCGCTTCGGCGTGGCGGCGATGGAGCCAGGGCTCGACCGAGAAGGAGCTGCCTCGAGTATTTATTCATTTATGAGAGAAATCCACACTACGCCAATCTGTTTGAGTTGTTTGCTGGCAATCTGTTGAGAGTTGAGCCATAAGAAAAGCCAAAGCCTTGGAGTGATTTAGTTGAGTAATTAAGTGTTTAAAAGAAAAACGAACTTAAGTAACAACGCATTGAAAACACACACAAGACAAAAACACTTTGACAATTTCTTTTTCAACAGGCGTTTTATGCATTTGAATAAACACCACTCAACCCAAGAAAACTTTTGGTACTTAGCGTGTTCATTCACTGGAGGAGGAAGAGCCCAATATGCAAGAATCTGTCATGGTAGCGTCGACTAGGTTTAGTATCCCCGTAGATGCATATAGACAGTTTTTCCCTCTTTTGTTTTTGGTTCTTTGAGTAAACAACAAGTAAGAAAAACTTGAAATAAATTCCGGAAATAAGTAAAAACAATTCACGATAATACTGAGTAAGTAAATAAGTAAAAAGATCTAGTAGATCATAGCTTCAACCTCCAGAGCATACGCCACGGCAACTAGCTTAGCACGACGATAGTACTAATCGTTATAGATCCACTCGGAACATTCGCTCACGTAGCTTAGCATCTTGCATTCTCAAACTTTCTAGCACACAGTTATGAAAGGTCATAACTGATTGGATCCCTATGGTGTTTGGTTAACTCCTTGAGATATTTTTTCTCCGATCCTCGGGCTGCGATTGCAAATCGGTGCCAATTTGCAATCTCACCCCGAAGGTCCAACAAAATTTAACACTCACGCCACACTATTTCTTGCGCTTGCTAGTATTATCTGACACGTATAAGCTAAGTCTTATCTTTTTAAGTAACGGGCCTCCTCCTAGTTAGGTTGTTACTTTGATTTAATTACCCTCGCAGCCGACAAACACACAGTGCGAAAATGTGTGCTTTGCCATCTCTCGCAGGAAGCTCGGCAAAAGCTTACAGTAATTGCCCGATTTGGCAGCCTTCGCAGTCATGGAGATCCTACGCCCGCAATTTGAATCTCTGGCATCTTCAACACGATATCGCGACTACGAAAATTGTGCCGCATATCTTGCTGCATGGCATCCAACCAAATTACGCCAACATCTGCGACGCCGTATCGTTACATGGGGCCGACTTTATGACCCATGACAAGGATGCCGAATACGTTTGCGACGACAAGAAGCTTCAGAACTTGATCCGAACCAAAACGCAAATTGAACGCTTGGAACATGTCATCACGGTCGATTGCGGAATGGCTGACGTACTTGCTGACGTTGCCGAATATTCTCAGCTACAACGCTTCGAAAAGGCCGGCGGTGAATCGGATGTGGACGCTACTGCACGTTTCAAAGTTTTGGTCAACACCGTGCGCGGAAATGGTTACCTTCCGACTAATGCCGAACTGTGCAACGCGTTGTATACCGGATTACGGCTCACGGGACTTAAAGCAGTGGCATTCAAGGCTTCGTTCAACATGCGCAAAATTGGCGAAGCAAGTACCACCGAGACAGTTGAGAAGATGCACAATGTGATCGAGCAGCTCTTCAAGTCGTCCAAGCTCGACACCGTTTTGCATGATGTACACGGAAACAAGAAGTGGCAGCACGACGACCAGGGCGATGCGGTGATGACGACCCTTTGGACCTCGGCACCGACGAAAAAGGGAAACGGCAAGAAAGGCAAAGGCAAGAAGACCAAGGGCAAAGGCAAGAAGGGCAAGAACAAAGGTTACGGCAAGACTTCCGGTAGCGGCAAGGGCGGAAATGGAATCGGCAAGAATGCGTACTATGGTGGAAATAATTCTTCCTCTTCATCTTCTTCGTGGAACAACAACTACTACAACAACTACAACAATTCTTCTTCATCTTCTTCTTCGCAGAACAAAGGCAACGGCAAGAACAAGTACTACATCAAGAAGTATCGCAAGGATGGCCGCGCATACTTCGTCGAAGCGGACACTGTGGACCAGCATCAAGATCATGCTGAACACGACGGAAGCGGACATGGTCAGCCTTGACTAACCGGAGAGGAGACGAAGAAAAAAGAAGAGTTTGCAGCAGGATGCTGCTTCATATCGTTCAAAGAAGACGATGTTCAGGATGTGAAGTTTCACCTAGTATTGGATTCTGGTTGTTCAGACAGTTGCGTTGGAGAGCATCAAATTGAAGAAATTCTAAATGTAGTAGCAGGCGTGGAGATCGTGGATATTCCTACTACGGAGCGCAAATTCTTCAAGTTCGCGGGAGGCGCAAACAAGGAAGCAACACAACTAGCAACTCTTCCCGGCACCACTAGAAAGTTTTGGATCATTCCCGGAGCAAATACGCCATTTTTATTAGGACAAGACTTTCTTCAAGACTACGTGGTCGATTTTCCAGGTTTAAAGTTTTCGAATTCAAAAATCGAATTTCCGATGGAGCATAAAAATAACTTATACCAAGTCACTTTTTCTACGTTTCATCAAACTCAGCAGCAACAAGACCGACGACAGCCTACGTTTCAAATTCAAGACACCCCCGACGGCAGTACTTTCCTCATCTATCAAGCAGTACAGTCAGAGAATTTCGATTTTCCATTCCCTTGGACGTATCAACTCATTGAGGAGCTCCATCAACGTGATCATCCACATCCAGACCAAATGTGCGAACGATATTCCAGCATTGGACTACCTCGACACTTAGCGGATGCAGTCTATGAGATGTGCGACATATGCCAGGGCGCTCTTCGTAAAAAGCCAGCAGCACCTCGATCCAAGAAGTTTTGTCATGTCAATGAGTGCGTCGCGATGGATACTCTCTTCCTGAAATTTAACGGAGACGAGTACGCAGTTTTACACTTGGTCGATGCGTTCTCGAAATGGTCTTTGATCATCGTCATTCAAGAAGGACACCCGACCGGAGCGGATGTCTGCAGAGCTTTAGATAAATGGGCTACGATTTTTGGTTCACTTCCCGGCGCAATCTTCAGCGATAACGGAAAGGAATTCGTCAACGGACAAGTCTTAAGCTTCCTCCGTACCAACAAAATGATACATTATCGCTCGACTTCCGATCGGCATGCTAATTTTGTAGAGTCACACAATCGAGTATTCCGGCGCATCGTGGAGAAGTTAGTCAATGTCGATGCGAAACATGTCGACAAATTAACCATGGACGACATTTGCGCTTGGGGACAAAAAGCGAAGAACTCCTATATCAGGAAGTATTTCGGGAGATCTTTATCTGCCCAACGGATTGCACTACAAAGCGACGTCTACTTCGGACCAGTTACGGACGAATCCACATTGGACCAGATGCTTCTGCAGAGAGAAGAACTTCGAAAGCGAGCAGCATTGGCCGTCAATGTGGAAGCAGAGCTTACGGAGCTTAAAAATAACAGCGAAAGCCGCGGACGAAAATTAGAAGCGTGGCGAACTGGTGACAAATGCAGACTACTCGTAGCTGATTCGAAGGATCTTGGGGTCAAGCGGATGCGCGACGCGGAAGTGCTCGGCACTCGCGGCGAAGGAGAGCGTGTAGTGGTGGTCCGGCTCACCAACGGCGACGTGCATGAAGTTTCACATGCGCGAGTTTTCTTACCTTCTGCGGATGAGCTCTGCGTCGAAGTCCCAGCTACAAGCTCTTCGGTGCAACATGATGATCATAATTCCGCTTCTTCCCCTCCACCTGATTCGGTCGATAACGTTTCTGATGCCCCGTATCTGCCTCAGGCTGATCCCAAAGCGAAGCACAGCAACCGCGCGAAGAAATTGGAACGGCTATGCGTCAAGCATTCGAAGCAACTGGTGGCGACTGCGCGCGCAAGTCCGGAGCTGCGCAGTGTGACAAAGAGCAACCTCCTGGACGGAACATCTGGTGAGGTATTTGCGGACGTTGAGGCTCATTCTAGGACTATTCCACAAGCAGCAACTTCAGGACTGCAACTAGTATTAGTTTTTAGTCGTACTTTTCAAAAGCCTACTGCTATCGTTCATGATGCTAGTCCGTTTAGACTTCAAAAGGATGCAAAAATGATTATTAGAATACCACTAGAGACAGCATCCGACAGCTTAGAAAGTGAAAACTTCGAGTATCGCATTGGTAACAGTATGGAGCAATCTAATCGTAGTGATATTGACTTATCTACGTTGGATGCTAGATATTATAGCGTTATCTCTGGCGAAGAACTAACTGAGTTCTTGGCTTTACCTTTTGTACAGCAACAAGCTTACGTAAGTGCGCTAACCGTCAATCAGCTTCGTTATCTAACCAAGTTCCTGGGTATCTCACTGAAAAACGGAAAGAAGGAACTTCAGGATAACATTCTGGCTTCTTGTAGGTCTCGCGCTAGAGCTTTACTAGCATTCTATAGCACTGACTGCGCTGACGATTCTAGCACTAGAAACGATGCTTCAGCTTTGTTTGTCCAGCAGGAGCCTAATCCTGACCAAGAGCCTGTGTTTCTTTCTGAGATGTGTGATTTTTATGATGTTCTTCAGACGCATCTGGCTGCAGATAGTAGCGAGATGATCCACTTACAGCATGGCGATTCATTATTCTCACTACTGGAAAACGTTAGAAATCCGGACGGTAAAGGTAACCACATCGAAAAGATAACAGTTTATCGAGGACGTGGCAGGATTCTTACTGGTAACTCGAAGCATCTAAGTCAAGAGTCATATCTTTTGTTGCCTGACAGTCAAACAAAGCGATTAGTTGGCGACGCAATTCCGCGTAAGGGAGTCGTAGTCTCTTTTTATTCTCGTCCTAAGCCTACTATACCTGACAAGATTACGGCCAACAAATCAGCAAAAGGGATCAAGTTAAATCTTCCGGCTGAATTATTAGCAAAAGGCACCGTTCAGGACTTGCCTATATCTTTCTTCGAAGAACATAACTTGATGGATCAACTTAAAGAGGCGCTACGTCAAGAACTAGGCGCATTAAATAAGTTCAATGTTTTTGTTGTAGGTAAAAGGGATCCATCTCGCAAGCCACTTACTTCTAGACTAATTCTAGGCATCAAGACCCTTACCGATGGTCTCTTAAAGAAAGTAAAAGTGCGCTATGTACCTCGCGGATTTCCTAAGAACGACGATAGATCTGGATACGTGCGGAGAGACACTACTATGGTCTCCCAAGAAGGACTACACTTAGCACTTCAAAAGTACTTAAATGAAGGCTGGCTACTATACGGCGAAGACTTCTTAAACGCGTTTTTACAAGCTGAGGAGATAGAGGACTCCAAACTCCGACCTCACGTCGAGTTCCCCCCTGTTGACTTTCTTCCCCCTGAGCTTCAAGATATAGTGCGTGAAGTTATGGGATTTCAGGAAGACTCAGTTTGCATTTTTATTCGCGCTTGCTATGGTCTTATTGATGCTTCTCGTGGTTGGTTTCGAACTTTAACTAAGAAACTTTTTGAAGTAGGTTTTCAGCAGTTACGATGTGACCCAGGCATTTTCATCCTCGTTACTGACACCGCCAGCAATGTCATCCGAGGCACTAAGTCAGAAGCTTATATAGGTGAAGTTGAAACTCAAAAGTTAGAGGAGAAAGTCTACGAGATTGAAACTTTACCACCAGAACACAAAGTCTCTGGCGTAGTTTGTCTTCACGTAGACGATACCCTTCGGGGAGGTGACGACAAATTCCATGAGGTGTGTAAAGAAGTTACTTCATATTTTCTAGTAGGAGACAACTGGAAAGAAGATCCTAAGTCTTTACTTCAGTCCTTTACTTTTCTTGGTCGTGACTTAGTTGTCGAGAGAGACGCAAGCGGCAGGCGATCTTTCAAGATTTCGCAGGAAGGATACGCTGCCAAATTAGCTGTAATGTCTATTCCTGATGGTGTCGATCTTGAAAAAGCTTTAGATACAGCTTCGCATAGTCTTTTTCGTGCTATGGTTGGTCGTCTTAACTGGATAACTTACAAGACAAGGCCCGACTTGCTATTTGGTACTTTCACTGGTTCCAGGGCCGTTGCAAGTCCTATTTGTAGCGACGTCATTGCCCTAAACAAGACTTTGAGGACTGCTATTTTTCATCGTGGGAATGGCATTCGCATGCACCCCATGAAAGTAGAAAAATCTCGCATAGTTGCACTCACTGACGCAAGTTACAACCGTCACAAAACTTGCCCGTCTGTTTTTGCTGGTATGTTTTTCGTATCTGACTATGACGTCGACTACGACCAAAACCTTTACACCAACGAGCCTACCGACCGTTTAGCGCCGGTATCTAGTAAGCCCGCGTGGGTCCATGCTTCTCTAGTATTTTGGAGAACTCGAGTAGTTATACGTAGAGTAGACACTATTCTTGACGTTGAGACACTATCTATTCAGTACGGTTCCGTAACAGCGGAATACTTACAAAGTCTAGGCCTCGAAATGCAAGTTGTGTGCAGTAAACTTAAACCTTGCATCTTTAACGATAACAACTCAACCATAACACACATAAAGAGTTCGAACAAGCACAAGAATCCAAGAATGAATGTTATCTGGGGAACGCTACGCCAAGCGTTCACTAGTAACAAGTTTGCTCTTAAATTCTTGTGCGGTAAAACTTCGAACATTGTGGACGTTGGAACTAAACTAAAGTCTAACACTTTGCCTTTGTTCATAAAGTCACTACGACTAGGCAAGCTGTTTATAACGCCTTGAGCACAGCGGTTACGGCAGAGCTGACTTATGTTTTTCTTCTAGCGTATAGATAAACAAACTTTACCTTGTGCGTCTAGAACGACTCACTTTTTACTACTTAAACTGTTGATAATTTAACCCATTAACCTTGACTCGTAAGGCTAGCTGCAAAAGAGTTTGCTTACCAAAGAGTAGAGTGTAGTAGCGGTAAGTCAGTAGAACTACAAAAGAAAACAAGTAAAGAAAAGTACTGAACACGTAAAGAAGACCCACTCTAAAAGGCAAGGCTTTAGGCTGGCTCGTCGCACTCTCCGCGATAGTGATTTGCATTAGACTAGCGTAGGTTAGTACTCTCTTTCACATTGTTTGTCGTTGTATACGTTTGCCCAGCACTGTTAACTTGTTGTTAAATCAACCTTGCTCGCAAAACATCTGATCAATGTCATGCGTCGCAAGCTTTTAGGTTGGCGGGTGTGAGAGAAATCCACACTACGCCAATCTGTTTGAGTTGTTTGCTGGCAATCTGTTGAGAGTTGAGCCATAAGAAAAGCCAAAGCCTTGGAGTGATTTAGTTGAGTAATTAAGTGTTTAAAAGAAAAACGAACTTAAGTAACAACGCATTGAAAACACACACAAGACAAAAACACTTTGACAATTTCTTTTTCAACAGGCGTTTTATGCATTTGAATAAACACCACTCAACCCAAGAAAACTTTTGGTACTTAGCGTGTTCATTCACTGGAGGAGGAAGAGCCCAATATACAAGAATCTGTCAATTTATCAAACTTTATGATAAGACGCTGACGGCTTTTGACATCTCCTGGAGGGTCAGCGTTTCATCATGTGCAATCATCTTGGAAGATCAACACGTGAGAAGGGCTCGGAAGGAAATGTTGGAAACTACACAAACTGGCTGATCTTTTAGAATCTATCACCACGTGTCGATATATTCTTTAGATAAATATTTCCCTACGTCGTCGGACGTCGGTCTCGTCGTTTCACAGTCCGGCAGGTTGCGTTTCACAGTTCGGTCACTTTTTCACAGGTTCTTATTCCGAGGTCGTCCTGGGCTCAATCTTACCGCGGGGATGTTCATCGTCATCGTTGTTTCGTGCGTTCTTTTTTTCTGGCGCGACTGGTGTGGAAAAGTGGATTATCGCCCTGGAGGAACGCTTTCGACTGAACACCTTGCGCCTTCAAGCACCTCTACAACAGCCACCATCAAGAAAAGTAAAACTGATGTTGACCACAATTTAGTGACAACTCCTATCGGGACGAACACGCAGACCAGAACAAGTGCTCCGCAGGGGCTACAGCGCGTGGCTATAGATGCCCCAGGTAAGCTGTGATATGAGATAGAGACCTGTAATTGCTTCTTTGTCATTCGTCTACTTTCGGCATTGATCATCATGCTGATTATTTTTCAAATTCTGTTCGTACGAAGCTTCTTGTGGTTGGATGAGGATGAAGGCACGAGATATGCTGGACTGGAGTAGACTCCAATTGTTACAGGTGGCATCAAGCGAGAAACCACGCTTCCCGGTGAACGTGCCCCACAACTTGTGTCGAATGAAGATGTTGCACTCTCCAAGGATGTTTTTTCTGCCAGCGAGCTTCCCTCCAACAGGGAGACTCATTTCGGGAACAGCGTTGAGCTGGAGCAAATCTCTGCAACGAGTACGTCATCCGCTTCATTTTTCGAAAGCGGAGAAATCAACCCCCGCACTAGCAATAACGAGCACGAAACCGCCTCAGCAGCAATCGTCCCTTCCAAGGCCATGGGCGCGTCCTCTACCTCCACTTTGTCCGAGGAAGAGAAGAGAAAGGGCAGTCAACAGCGGAAGCTAGACAAGCGCTCAGCGCGAGCGAAGTCCCGGGAAGACAAGTTCTTAATTCCGCAGTCGTGGATGCAGACTGTGACACCTGGCATGCAAACCGGTAGCGATAACAAATACAATACATCGCGACTACGGCTACCGCGATTGCATCCCCACCACCATCCTTGGCCTCTTTTTCAAGTTCGTTGTATGAAAAAAAGACCAAGGATGTGGCGAGGGACGCGAACGCGATAGCTCTAAGTAGACGTGCGGAAGGTCGGGAGAAGAGGAGTGGAGAAGTGCACCAGGTACTAGTAAAGCGGCACGACGTGAGAGACAACGGTGACGAGGAGTACAGTACTACAAGTGACTTTGACAGCGCTTTTCTTGAAAAAGCAACTACAACAGGAAGAAAAGCGGATCATGTTACTGTTGTAGAAGTCAACGAAATATTAATGGAGAAGGACGAGGTGTTAGGGAACGCTGACGCGACTGACGATGGAAGCTCTGGCTTGCTGTCGTCTGCACGCGGAGACATCTCATCTGCTTCTTCATTCATCGATACAAATCAACGGAGGATGAGCACTCATGTGACCACAGCGACCGAGCGACAGGTTCACGAAGAAAGCACTGCCGCAATCGACCATCCACCGTGTGCGTGGAAGCTCGAGCCGCTGAAGAATCCCTTCAAATTTATACCATCTGGGCACGACGGCTCTGCATCTGGGGTACGCGAGCTCGAGAATATGCCTGGCAACGTGGTCACCGTGGAAGCCGCGATGGGAGAGATGATCATGATTCAACGCGACGATGGGACTGGGAGGGCCTCTGTCTCGTGGCCTAAAGCTGCGCCATTACGACTGGGAGACGCAATCTTTAAGAAGACTGGGTCCGGTCCCGATTCCTCGAAAAGCTATTACTTGGATTTGGCACGAACGTACGGTCTCTGCGAGCCCACAGCCGCACCCAGCAAAACGTTTTCGTTCGTTTTAAGATATTTCATCAACGACGAGCTTAACGAGATGATGCAGAAATCAGGAATAACAGGAGCACTTTCCTTTGCGCATCGGAGACTCCTACATGATCTGTGGGAAGAGGGATTTGTGCTCGACGGTATGGAGATGGCCGCCGAAAAAGATTCTAACTTCAATCAGCAGCCTCAGCCTGGCAAGCGCCGACTACCCCCGCTGTACAAGGCAGATCCGAGCGTAGTGCCTGTCGTTTTTTATTTTCCTGACAACAGGAAGACAGAGGAGTGCTGTCTTCCTCCACGAACCGCAGATCATCCCACCAACTGCGCGTGGAAGCTTCAGCCACACAACCCGTACCCGTTCCCGTTGGTAGAACAGCATGATTTCCAACTCCGCCACGTCGCGCCGCGGAGGGAATTGTCGGACAAATCGCCGTACGCCGTAATTGCCTCCAAGGGAGAAACGATCTCTCAAGTCGAACGTAAGATTGACGGGAAAAATTTGCTGAAGGTTTTGACCGATCCTGATGATCCTTACAGAGTACAGCTAACTACTGCACCTGCAAGCTCACAGACTCCAAACGAGGAAACCTACGTGGACTTGGCGCGAACGTACGGCTTCTGCGATCGGATCGGTCAGATAGACGGCTCCGAGGTGGGCTTCCGTGAGGCGAAGTTTGGTGACGTTTTGAATTTTTTTATCCGACCTTCGTCGGACTGGGTTCCAATAGACATATACGCCGCCAAGTCCCAGGATTGGTTTTCCTATGCGCATCGGAGACTCCTCCATGACCTGTGGGACAGAGGTTGGGAGCTTGAGGGTTTTAAGCGGGTGCCGTATGAGTTGACAAAGCAGAAGGATAAACTTGAGTGGACTTTACAACATTACAGAGACGATCCGCGCGCTGTGCCCGTTACTTTTCGCTTTGACCAGGACAAGTTACAGTTAGGAAAAGGTGCTCCATATGATAAAAAGTGTTGCGAACAGACTATGCATGCAGTCCAACAGAGCTCGCCCGCTGACGTCACGCGTCCCCCGCGTGATTGCTCGCCGAGAGAGGGGTGCGCAAAGGCGTCTGCGCAAACTCCATCCGCCCTGGGGTGGCCCAAGGGTGAGCCTCCGCATTCGGAGGACTTCGAAGGCTTTGATGACAAACCTGAGCGTTTTCGTGGACCGGATTTCTTCGAGAGCAATGGGAAGTGCACGTGGTTGCTTGAGAAGATTGCGGAATCTGAGCGAGGACAGGAGAACCCTTTCGGTGTCGCTACTACCAAGGGACTGGTAACAGAAGTACCCAGCACCGACAGGAGAATTCTACATCTGGAAGTCGTTGAAACGAAAACCATAACTGTCGTAGACAAAAGCGCATTGGACGCGATACGACCGGGCCTCAGCACCGTGCCTACCGAGAACGCAGGACGGGTTACTGTTACATATAAGCTAGATTTTTCCTCTGCTCACCAGAAACCGAAGCTGGAAATCTTCAAGAGGGAAGGGGAACCAGACGGAGACGTTCATTATCTGGACTTGGCGGAAGCGTATGGGTTCTGCAGAACGACTGCAATTACTGGCGCTGATGCTAACACTGCCGACCTCAACCCACCTGACGGCGTGACGCTGCTGGATGTTTTGCGATTCTTTAGCGTTGGTGGACCTGCTGAACAGCAACAAGGTGAAAAATATTATGCGTTTTCCAGTGTGCATCGGAGACTTCTCCATGAACTGTGGAACGCGGGATACAGGCTTACAGACATGAGCTTGCGCTCGCAAGATGTAGATGAAGAAGGTCCGTGGATGGTGCCCGTTTCCGGTAAATTACGGCTTCCGGCAGGTGACCCGAAATGCTGTAAGGCCAAGGTGAATGATGCTACTCTCAGCGGCCACCACGTCGTGAGTCAAGTGCCCAAGGAGAGCACGCGCGCGTGTTCGTTGCCGCTTGCAGCGGTCAAGCCGGGGGATAAAATGATGAACCCTTTCCCTGTAGAAGGCATACATTTAGTAAGCAAAGTAGAACAAGTCCAGGTCCTTCGCCAGGAACCTCTTCATCTCTCCGTAAGTAGGACGCCAACACCAACAGCAAGCATCGCTTTCCGTGACAAGAAAGAAGAATTGCGTCTCACACCTGGCGTGCAGGTGCCACTTGTTGTTGGCGCTGATTGTGTACCAGTGGATGCCGCTACAGGGGAAACGAAGGAAGTTACAAGCGTGGCTGTTTCTAGTGCTTTATCCGGGACTCTGAGTTCAAGCTCATATCATTTGGACTTGGCGGAAACGTACGGGTTCTGCGGGAGGACTAAAAACGCTTATGCCGCAGATAGCAGTTCCACAAGGACACCTGACAAAGTCACATTGGAGGATGTTGTGTCTTTTTTTTCCAGTAGGCAAAAGATGGAGCAGGTTGAGGAAGGCTCAGACAACGACCACGCCACTTCGACCGCCGTGCATCGCAGGCTCCTGTATGACCTGTGGAACGAAGGGTTCCAGTTCGCATCCATGGAGTTCCTAGGGCGCGACAAAAAACCTCTACCTCGCGCTCCAGATCCTCGGCTTGTGGCTGTTAGGTTCCACCTTCCGTCAATAGATGCAGTTGACACGAATGTGATGTGCTGTCGTCGAGCAAGTCCTAGCTACAAGTATTTGAATTGGTTGCTGGCTACACCGTACGAGCAGATGTTAAGGCGCACAAAAATCCATCTGCCGAAGCATCCCCTGCCAGTTTTTCAAGGGAAACCGGGCACCAAGATGCTCGACAAGATGGGCAATCCCCGGCTCTAAACATGCGCGCCGGATTACGCCTGGTTCAGAAAGGTCAGCCTGGTGTGCTGCTGGCGGATGCCGTGGTCGGGCTGCCGCCGAAGCGCTCCTTGGAAGGAAGCGATGATGGTAGTCAAGTGTGGCCTTCGACGTTGCTGACGAACTACAAGTCGAAGCTTGTGAAGATTCGTCGAGTTGCAGGGAAGGAAAGCCCAACCCTTATGGCGTCCTCTTATCCATCCTGAGAGGCATCCTCTGGAAGGCAGTTGTCGTATTGGAGGGAAGAAGGCCATATGGATGAATCTCATGATGCATCATGGTGAGCTCTAAAAGTCGCTCGGTTGCCGATGATGTGGATAGCGTTTGCACTCAAGACCCGGACACAGTTCGTTTTCTCAACGAGAGACATGCCCACTCTGAGGATGTTGCAGCCGAACGTTTGGACCGGAACGCGGATGGTGATGATGCTGTCGAAATTTTCGCCGACAAGGAGGAACTCTACACCTACTCGGGGGGTGATGATGGTGTGAAGCAGATTTTGGCGGACTTGAGCGATGCTGTCGAGATCTTCTCTAGCAATGACGAGCATCGAGACGAGGCAAGTAGCTGGATACGCCACATAACGGCCCAACTTCAGCTCTTCCAATTTGCATGGAGTCTCGATCATGAACAAGATCCTACTGTGCCTGTCGTTCGGTTTGAAAGGGAAATGAAGACGACGATATTAAGGATACCTTCCATCTGCTCGATGAGTCTTTTTGTGTGCCTGCTTTTGGCTTGTTTCTTGTGGGAAACAAGAGCTGCTAAAGGATGTTCCAGGTGACAGATAGGATCATCATCTTGATGGTACTTCTAACAATAATGACTTCCTCGGGACAGAATTACATTTCGCTGTACGAGAAGTTGCACGAGTATGGGATCGGTGGTGATAGTCCGTGCCGTCTGCAAAGCTTGTTGCGCAAGGCTCTTTTCATTGTCATACACGGAGACCTGGAGAAGGATGAGGAAAAGCGCCTCCTCGTGGAGCTACGGAATTGGATGCTTCGTTCAGAGTGGTTATTGCGCGTCGGTCAACAGTCAATGTCCGATGGTGTCCACCTGAGAACGATCCTCTCTTCCATCGCTCTGAACATCTTCAGCAACGCTATACTACAGCACAAGGAGTACAACGAGAATGGAATCAAGAGAACATCTTCGGTAAATGCGCACCCGGACGACCAAGGGGAGCAGCCGGAAGCGCTGCGCGAAGGTTCGTCCAGTTTTGATGTCGGCTACGACGACCCTAGGACCTTCATGCACCTGAAGGCGGACACGAGCGCGGACGTCAACGTGAGGTTTCAACTTCCAAGATTGTTCTCGGATACGCTCTTCTCGTATCGTCGGCTCTTCACAGAGTCTGAAACACCAGGGCACGAGACTGACTTAGAAGATGATCAACTTCTAGGATGGTCAATGCCAACTCGTGCCAGTTTTGCAGTGATACAGGATATGAGGGTGCATCTCACATATCTGGGCGGGCTAGAACATGGCGGCGAAGCTGGTATAGGCGGAGAACAAGATCCGCTAACAGGACTTGAACTGCTTGATTTGACAAACGAGAATGTAGTCAAGCAATATGCGCGCACGTACCTGGGGACGTTCATGCAAGGTATCAGAGAAACAGAGAACCCCTGTGCTAATGCTATGCTCGTTGGATCCAACGCTGAGGAGGAATCAGTGACAAAAACAAATCGAAACGAACAAGGAGTTTCTTTTTCGTGCCACGGTTCTCCTAACAATCCTGGAAACGGCGATAACGGGCAAGCATCCCAAGATGCGCCATCAATAAGCATGATGAGACTCTTCCTCTGCGTTCCGTATCATTACTTCAACTCAATGTGCCGCATTGATCGTCTGCCACCACTGCTAGTGCGACAAATTTTCGTTCCCTATATCAGCGACGCCATTGCCATGGGTCAGCGCGGCGGGGAAGTGACCGAAAGCGGCACCTTTTCTGTTTCTTTGCCTCTGGTCCTGGCCAAAATTGGCCTCGAAAAGTGGATGCTCGGTTGGCGGTGGGCCACCGAATGTACAACGGCAGATGCAGACAATAGCTGCGACCACGGCAAGTACCCACCTGCATGGTCCTCCAACAGACGCGAATTGGGCCGCAAAGTGTCATCCGCTGAAAGACCTTACCGGCCCCCACTGAGTGATAGTGACCGCAAGGAGTCTGAGCTGGACGTGCTGGGCTATGCAGGATCCGTTGCATTCTCGGCTGCCTCAATCGCGTCCTCACTACACACCATGGTTTTGCCGCAGCTGGCCGCACTACCAGGAAACCACTGGCGGCCCTTCCGTGCATCTGGGCGAACCGCCGGCGCGCCAATTGCACAGGATGGGTGTGATGATCCTTTTCTTTGTGGCTACATTGCCTCACAAACAGCGTGTGCTGCCTTTCTCTATGCTTCCTTCTTCTCGCTGCGTGCTAAGACGTGGCTGGACGAGGAAACGGAGAGGCTTTCGCCATTCGCGCGCCAGACGGCCAGGGGCACTGCTTTCAACCTTCTCCAGACGCCGTGGGATAGTGTCTGTGCACTTGACAGGTTAGCTCTGCACGTCAGAGACTGTCCGAGCAGTCACGCGATCGCGCTTCACGCAGTTGTTGGGATGCAGGCATGGCCTGAGAGAAATGTAAATGAAGAAGGAAGCACCGCGGACGACCAATCCGAGTTGTTTTGTCATCGCCGATCTCTTGCCCATCTTCGCTATGAGGTGAATATTTGCGGCACAGGCACAGACGTTGGCGAGCTAGTAAAATTGTTTGAAGATGAACACGATTCCGATTTCGCCGAGCCGAAACGAGTGCCACTTGTCAAAATCCATCCACCACGAAATGAAAAAGCAAAATCATCGAAAACGGACCGGGAGGTGAGCGAATCCGATGAGCCTCGGTTTTCCCCGAATTTCCACCTAAGCTTCTCTTCACTTCGTGTGGCACAAGCAGTTCGGCATGTGCGAAACCTGCTGCATGCGCATAAAAATGATGGAGAGTCGTGGAAAGAATTCGTATTCATCTTCTTCAACTCGAAGGCGATGGAGGTGTCTTGTGGTCACCAAGACCATACTCTGAAGACAGTCGCGGAGTGGTTGACCGCCATCGAAGGCGACGCTCAGTCTGGTGGCTACTCTCAGCAGGGACTTCAGCTACCCGCTGACGCCCTCGGTATATCGGCGGAAGATCCTTATAGGTTGTATTACAATGCGCATCCAGTGTCTCTCTGGCTCGTTTCGAGGCTGAAAAAGGGAGACGGGCGCACGTATCTGTTAAGGATGACCGCCTTGCGTCCTCCACTGCCATCATTCGCCTGTTTTCCAAGAGGAAAGAGGTTAGGGATGGACTTCAGGACTGCAAAGGTGTAGCCTTTAAATATGTTGTCCGTTCTGTTCTTCCTCGATGTGCCTTCTTCCCTTGGTTATTTCGACTCACCTGAACCATTCAGGGATGTTTCTTTGCGTTATCCGCTTGGAGTACTCGAAGCCACAATCGAAGTTAGTGAGGCGATCGGAAGCTCGGAGGGCTTTCTGTTTTCCGAGTGGCGACCCTGGCCTCGTACTCCGGAAGACGCTGATCGCAATGAGCCCCCGCCGCTGTATCTTGTCGACAAGCGTGATGGCGTTGGTGAGACTCTGGTCCAACGCCAAGATGAAGCTTGCGGCAGCGGCGCCCTGGCTTCCTCAAATCCGGCTTCTCACGTAGAGGTAAACAGCTACAAGAACTCGAAGCGGAACTTTCCCGTCAGTCTGTTGGAAGGTTTTTTTGCAGGTGTCGACAACGGCATCGACAATATTGGCAATCACGTGCATCAAGCTGTCTCCAGCGCAATGCGCCTCTCAAGTTGATAAGGCTAACCATATAAGTAACCTAACTCCACATGCGTCTCGTCACAGCACTGTGCAGGCACCACGTGGCAGACTATCGCGCTGTACTGAGATAGGTATCTACTGACTCGGTTGCTGTGACAGGATGGCTGAACGAGCCAGGTTGTGTTTGGCTGTAATCACGCGGATGCAAATCGACGAAGGATTGCCTCTTCACCGACGCTCAAGGATGGAAAGTCGATATAGCTGAACGGCTGCACCTATGTCACGATGGACCAAAGCCACCTCAGGAGATCACTCTCGGCAGTGTCAAAACAGAATACAAAGAGTTTCTCGCATCTGAGAGCTACGAATCAATTTCCACAACATCTGCGGACGAGTCTGAGGCGATGGGCTCAGGCCCAGACACCAAACATGATGACTCTGCGGATAAGCAAGATCGTCTCCCCTGCTGTAGTTGCGAGGCATCGGTTCCTCGTAAATTTTCGGGAGTAAAGAGTTCCGCAGCTTCTAATTCGGGAGTAAGAGTTCTGCCGTGGCAAATAGGGCGATCGAAGCGCGCGCCTGCAGTGCCGCCGCGGGAAGAGACCAAGCCATCATCTTGTGCGTGGAAGCTCGAGGAAGTAAAGAATCCCTTTCCGCTAGACAATATCCAACTTTATCGACGCGTGGATCGCGAACAAAAGGTGGAAAATGGCCGCAAACCCCCGATGCAAGGCGCGCAAGGAGAAACGGTCAGGACAATAACCCTCCAACCCAAAAGCACAGACAGAATAGACAGGTATTATCGTGAAGTATTTTTCAAAAGTGCAGCAGTGCAATTTTCAGATCTCGGCGCGCAAATCTTTGAACGATCCTACGATACCGGCGACAGAAATATGCTAGTAGACTTGGCGGCAGCGTACAATCTGTGCAGTGATAGTCGTCCTGGTTCCACGACCAAATTTAGCGACGTTTTGAAATATTTGTTCATGGGCGAACTTGCCGAGTGGCATGATGTTCATAGGATCTCCAAAGACACGAAGTGGTATATGTCCTTTGCGCATAAGAGGTTCCTGCATGCACTGTGGAATTTGGGATTTGTGCTTGACGTAAGGCGCGTTTTTCACTATCCCATGTGGACTGAGCTGAGTGAGGTGCCGAAAGATAAGGGAGGAAAACGGGAAGTCACTCAACCAGGCATAGTGAAAAACTAGCGCCAATTGAGAGCGTTGAGAAGGTTGAAGATCAATCCGACCTGAACTTGTTGCGTACGGCATCCTTCGTGCCAAGCGATCATGATGTCGACGACCCGCGTATTGTACCCGTGTTTTTTCGTCTTGATGTGCATGAGATAGAACTTGATGCAGAATGCTGTAATAAAGATAAAGAAGTTGCTCCAGCCAGCGATAACACGCTCGTGGGCATGAGCGGCTCGGTGTGCGTGTGGAAGCTTCAGCCAAGCAATCCGTACCCGTTCCCGCTAGTGGAAGTGTACTCTTCTGAAGGAGCATCCTCCGACTTCGATCCATCTCATAGTAGTGCACCCGTGTCTGCCGCCGGGGAAGAAATTCAACATTTTTCGCATCTTGTTAATCTAAAACGAATGTGGAACCTTTCTTCACCACCGGACCACGGGCCTCAGTCGCTGATACTGAAAGGCACAGTATTTGGTGGGGAGACGTATTTGGACTTGGCGGCAACGTACGGGTTCTGCACACCCGAGAAAATTGAACTTGCACAGGTTTTGAACTTTTTCGTCGTAGGTCCAGCACTTGATGGGTGGAATAGGATCCCTACCGCAACTGCCTCTGAGTATTTTTCCTATGCGCATCGGAGACTCCTACACGAATTGTGGGAAAATGGGTGGGAGCTCGCGGCCTTTCAGAAGGCGTCGAAGATACTCACAGTGGTTACACAAAATGTTGAGAATGGAGATTGGAAAGAGAAGCGCTACAAGGAAGATCCGCGCCTCGTGCCCGTTGTTATTCACCCTCAATTAGCGAGCGATGCTCTTTTTAGAAAATTACTGGAGGAGGAGTGCTGCGAAGGAGAGGCTTACCCCTTCGTCGACTCCCAAGAAGCGATGCCCAAACACCAGCCAGATTCCTCACCTAAAGAACCGCCCTGGTACAGCAAAATCCCTCTGCCGATCTTATGACTCTCGACAATTCATTTCCATGTGAAATTTTGGTGAAAACAGATCTACTCTTTCGAGGCCAACGCATCCGCGCCCCCCCTGCCTGTAGCCAGAAATATAATGTAACAGCCTGGCTGCCTTCTAAAGTGATGGGCCTCAGCGGGGAGCTATCGAGAGCTCTAATATTAGTATTTATAGGGTAAGCAGTTTTTCTGAAATATTTAAGGGACTCCTTTAAGTGCGTCCCTTAAGGAAACTGCTTCCCCTAAGGAAATCCTATGACGAAAAGTTATTACGACTTTCCTTAAGAGGGAAAATTTTCCTTAAGGTAGCTCCTTAAGGGAAAGCTGTTATAGCCTTTGGCTAATAATAGGCCCTCCCTTAAGGGATTTGCAACGTCTCAAAAGGAAGCAAAGCCCCCAGGCGTGTCCTGCCCGACAGTCCTGGAGTTTTTTGCCAGTGGTCTACTTTGTCACCCAAATTGCCAGCCTCCACCGTGATCCCCCCCAACACACTACGCGCCCACCCGTAGGTAGCGAATCGCCTCAACGAACTCCCAACCGCTACCCCTATCGCCCCGCGCCTTTCTTTTTCAAAAACTTCAGGGAGGTCATTCAAATACGGAAAAAGTTGAACGACCCCCCTGAAGTATTTGGGAAAAAGTTAGCTTTTTTCTCTTCTGCGACTACCTTCGGCGCACGCCAATCGACCGCAGGAGCGCGCGGCTGTGTCCAGGCCTGGCCTTCTCATGGACATGATGACGCTGAAGAGGCTCCACCCTTCAGATATGGAGGGGCCCAGGCTTATTCTCTCCACAAGCATCGACGCCCCGCGGGTCTTCTCCTTAGAATTCTCATGGACATGATCACACCCAAGAGGCCCATGCGCATGCCTGAAGGGTGGACCTTGGTGGGCGTCATCATGTCCATAAGAGGGCCAAGACTCTACATCTCCGCGCTTGAAAGTTGAAGGCGTTGAGGATGTCGATGCTTGGGAGAATGAGAGCTCTGAGCCCTTGCATGTCTGAAGGGTGGACCTTGGTGGGTGTCATCATGTCCATGAGAGGGCCAAGCTTATACATCTCTGGGCGTGAAAGTTGAAGGCGTTGCGGGTGTCGATGCTTGTGAGAATGATTATAGCCGTAGGCCCTTGCATATCTCAACAAGGGCGGACCCTGGCGGGCATCATTATCTTATGCCACGAGAAGGCCAAGCCATGGCGCCTCGGTTAATGAAAGCGGAAGGCGCGGGGGATGTCGATGCGTGTGAGGAAGATAGTTGGGAGCACTTGCTCTTCGATGTCTCAAGGGTGGGCCGACCTTGGAGAGCGTCACCATGTCCATGAGACGGCCACGCTTATGCATCTCCGTAAGTGAAAGCTGAAAGCGTTGGGGGTGTCGGTGCTTGTGAGGTTGATAGTCGTGCGCCCTTGCATGCAAGTCGGAAGGGTGGGCCCTGGTGAGTGTCATCATGTCCAGGAGAAGCGCCACGCTAATGCGTCTCCGTGTTTGAAGGTTGGGGCCCAACTTCTGCGCATAGATATGCCCAGGCGTGGCTTTCTCATGGACCTCATGACGCTCGCCAGTGTCGACCTTTTGCCATGGATATGCTCTGCCTTAGAATTCTCCTGGACAGTGTGATCGCGGGCCCAACTTCTGTGCGTGCGTTGCATATGCCCAGCCAAGCGTGGCCTTCTCATGGACTTCATGATGCTCAAGTGGCCAGCCTTGGCGCCCATTGGCTCCTTAGCAAGCAAGTCGGCCAAGGCAGTAGCCATGGCAGTGCCCTCCTATTCTTACTAGCCTCGCGACAGTGGGGGCCAGCTTGCTTCCTGGCTTTTCTAGCCTTGGCCGCGAGCAGGCTTGGCGACTTTTTTCGTTTGTCTTTCTGTATCGTCATGATCGTTCTGTCTAGTTGTTAACCTATGCCCAGCGCAGCGGGCCCTTGATGGGCCCGCTTTCTGGGCATGTGCTAATAGTTGTTGGGCAGGAGGAGCAGCAGACTGGAGGATCGCCACAGCCAGATCAGCCAGAACCAGGAGAGGGAGAGCAGCCTTTACACAATCGACTGCGCAACTTGCCGGACCTCCCTCCGTTACCGAGGTACCCCGATCGACCGTGTGCGTTGAAGCTTCAGCTACGGAGAACAATAGACAACCCATACTCGTTCCCTATTGTAACACGGCGTGAAGATGATGGGCTTGTTCCACAATTTAAGCTGGGGTCTTTGCCTGACGCCCTCTGGAAAGAGACGGTGACGGAACACAAATCTCCTGATTCATTTCCAAGAAGATTTTGGAAAATTTCGTTCGCGAGTGGTCCTGGGATGTACGACGAAGCCGCGTACAGCAACCAAGCACTGGACATTTTTGAGAAACCATCGGGAACAGAAAACCCAGGAGTATATGTGGACTTGGCCAGAGCGTACGGCTTATGCAATGATGGCGCTAATTCCAGGTCCGAGATCAGCGAAGGCGACGTGCTCTTTAGTGCAGTTTTGCAGCAGCTTTTTGTGCACCCAGCTGGAAAAAGAGTATATGAGATTCCAGCACAACGGGGGAATGATAACCGCGGTTTTTTGTCCTTTCTGCATAGAAGACTCCTACATAATTTGTGGAAGAAAGGGTATCAGATCGATGGCGTGAAGCAGGATCAGGAGGTTGGCACGTTACTGCAACATATAGGTCCAGATGCAGGCGACTGGTTTTACTACAAGATGGATCCGCGCATCGTCCCAGTTACTTTCGACGGCCAGAGCAGCTCTTTTGAGATTTTTCGTGGGCAAAGTGATTTTGATGGGTTAAAGTGTTGCGGAGGAAAAGAATCCATCCCAATCTGAACCATGAAACAGCTAAAGGTCAACCTGAACCAGATAAAGTCGAAGAAATATAAGGCGAAGAATGGTCTTCGGGTAGAGACATAGCATGTTTGTGGGCCTTTTTTATTAAAGAAAGTCACCTAAACCCAATCTCAAACAAGTAGGACCATCACAAATTCGACTTTGATGTTGCGCCACTACCATTACCCCCCGACGACTACGCAAAGATAAGAGCAGAACTCACCCAGGATCAATTGTGAGCACAACCACGAAAAGATGAGTAACGGAAGACCCAAACGGACACGAATTAGGCGAACCTAAGTACTGGCGTAATGCAACTCTACACTGTCTTGCAGTGGATATCTGTTCTATTTCAAGCGATCGAGAGCAAGAAGAGTATAATCGCCGGCTTGTGCTACTAACAAAATACAGCTTGTTCAACATCATCTTGGTAATTTGTTTGTGCAGGATGGACTCTGAGTCTTGGCATCTGCATGCAACTATGCATCGGTGTGCGTGTTGGTTGACGAGTGTTAGATCAGCCATATCTGAGAAAACAGACTCCCCTTCGACAAACCAACCTTCTGGGCTAGTAAGTAAGTAGCTACTAACGAGTAGCTACGGGTGTCTTTCTAAATCCTTCTAGCAGCAAGTGTGTAAGGTAATTCCAATCCTGTTGTTGCGCGGTCTCTAAACCCCAAGTCCTAGTTTGTTGCAACCTTCTCTCTCCCCACCATCATCATTTCGCGCAGCCCTCACTCCTCTTTGTTTTTCTTTTTGATGAATTTTGCATTTTAAGTGGACTTACTTTCTTACTTATCTATTTCATGTGGAATGGCTGACGTATGCTTGCGATGATTGATGGACGATGCTATAGAAAAAGTAAGGACCCAACCATGCCGGTCAATCTCGCTTTCTGAAGATGCCTCCACTTGTATATTTAGATGAATTCCTTGCGTACCCTGACAGACCTACACCGACATAAGCAGTTGTTAGATTGAAGCTCCAAGATTAAAGTAGTATTAAGCCATCTTCATGTACTTACCTTATGCTCCGACTCTTGATCCTGTTTTTGCTGTTTTAAATGTAGTGTATCATACATCTCAAGAGCAAAATGACTTTGATTTTTCGTTCACTTGTATCTTGATTGATTGGCATAGTCTTCCGTTATCTGATAGCGTGATAAAGACCATTATATAGACATGGAGGATTTCCTATCGTTCCTGCGAATCCGTTCGGTCTCCCAAGAGGGGCCAACAACAGGCGCATACCGAGAAGCCGTGCAATTTTTGCGCGCGCTTGTTGAGCGGAGATTACGGCCGTTGCGCAGTGACCTCGAAATCTATGAGGAGGAATTCGTGGCAAGCAAACCGGTGTTGCTCGTGCACATTCCTTCTAGACAAGATGCGACACAGCCAGTTGACCCGGACAGTACCCCAAATTACACAGATGCAATCTTGCTAAATAGCCACTATGATGTGGTTCCGGCCATGCGAGAACACTGGTCGACGGATCCATTTGCGCCTGAAATGCTTAAGGCGTGCCTCAATCTCAAACCCTCGTTTTAAATTTAAGAAGTACCTCGGAACTGTCGTTTCCATAACATAGGGAAAACAAGACAGATGAATTTTGAGATGAAGAAGGAAAAGGAACCCTGTCTCTAAAATTTGCAAGGATCGGATCTACGCGCGTGGAACACAAGATATGAAATGCGTGTGCATCCAGTATGTGCTGGCCCTGGAGAGAGCATTATTAAGGACGACAAAGAAATATATAGTATCAACAGCTTTTAACTATGTCCACTTTTGACATAGCGCCGACTGCGAAGGTTCTTAACGTGGATATTCATGACAATGGGAGTGACTACTTATAACTTACTTAGCGAACAAGAACATTCTTCAGGTTGGACAACAATGTTGATGACGACACTCATAAAAGAAGAAGTCAATCCCACTTGAACTTCAACTTCAACTTAATCCCTGTTGGTCAACAATATATTCTGCTTTATTCATTGTTTCGCGAATTCCTTAAAGTTAAATTCCGTGGATTTAGATTTTTCACGCTCGTCTTCTAATGTTCTCGAAGACTCCGTCGTTTCGGCGTCCGGTGTGGCTCTCGTTCGTGCCCGACGAGGAGATTGGAGGGAAGGATGGCATGTGCGCCATGCTAAACAGCGCGCTTTGGAGGGACCGACTTGAAGGTCGCGTCGCTTTGGCGCTGGACGAAGGGTTGGCGAACGAGAGTGAAAAAAATTTCACAGTTTTCTTTGGTGAGCGCAACCCTTGGTGGATCATGGTCAGGGCCGAAGGACCCACAGGGCACGGGTCGCGCTTTATTCAGGACACGGCAGTGTCAAAAATCATCAAAGTTGCAAATAAAGCATTGGAGTTTCGTCGCGCAGAGGAGGAGCGCTTATTGTACCACAAAAACGCGACGGCCTTTATTTAAGGCTTATAATGTTGATAGTTCACCTTTTTTCGCCACGTTTTTTATTTTCAAGATTCTGAGGAAGGGAACAAAACCTGAAAAGATGAACAGAGGAAATGGGCTAGGCGTTGTAAGTTCTAAGTCTCGAATTCCGGCGAAGCAGAGCAACCCGCATGCGGCTGTAAGCACTCCTTAGCGAAGAAATTGGGAGACGTCACGACCGTGAATCTAACCGCACTACAAGTAAGGCTTACGATAATTCAGATTTATCTTCACAAGAGCTTGTAGTTTCCTCCAGGGCCTCATCCTAAAGAAGTACTCTTCTAAATACAATGCAGGTGCAACTTCGCTGGAGACATAGACAATTAGCTCAGAGTTTGCATTCTTTCACCTTGTGCGTTCTAATACACGCGGGTGTCTTCAATGAGACGACGAAGACCTACGCTCTTAATGTCATTCCAGTGGAGGCGACGGCTGGCTTCGACGTCCGGATATCACCGCTGTTCAAAGTGGCAGACTTTCGAGCCTTGTTTTATGTACTTAATGTGGATGATCATGATGTTGCCATCGCTGTGATAAGGAGTGTCTTGTTCGCATGTTGACCCACTCCACTTGTAATAGATACAACTTCTAACAACTCCCAAGCCCCAGGAACTAGGTAACAGGGCTGGCAATGATGTTCTTAAAGGAGCCATTTTGGTGAATAAGCAGATCAAATTTAAATAATAATACCTTTTTTAATCTAGATTGGCTTCTTCCCTTCATATAGGGTCGAGGTTTAGGTCCAGCGGCGCTCAAAGCACTAAATAAAACAACCGGTTCGTTTTTACCTCTAGCGTGTAGCCCTTCCAACAATAATAATGCCTTTTTTAATATGTATCATCATGGATGCCACCCAGCTTTCATTTTCGAGATTCGTGGGTCGCCGAATTTAATGGGTCAGTGACGTGGAGTTTCGCACCTGGCACCGTGCCATCGGAGAAGCATTTTTTGACGCCGGTGCGCAGTCGTCCAGAGTACTTCGTCTGTGACCCTGTGACAGACATATTGACATTAAGATTCGATACAGAATCGATTTTTCCATCCTTAGCATGACCATCCTTCTTGACTATCTATTTTACTCTTTTCACATCAGGGCTTCACTGCTTGAAACTACAAGTGCAAATGCTAGTGTATATACTATTGCCTCTAGTTCTTCTAGAATAACAACGAGCTAGAAGAACAATGAAAAAAGTCGTGAAGAAGGTGAATGATACCAGCAAGGATGCGACTGCCTGCGCTAGCATTAAGTTGAGGAGAAAGTGGTGAACGAAATGTCAAATCTTCGACAGCATGGTGGGACCTTTTTGCGGAAGCGATGCAAGAATTTGGCTACGGACTGGACGCTGAAGTATTTCCAGCGGCAACGGACAGCCGGTTCTTGCGTTAAGCCTTACTCGATACTAATTTTCTTCAACATGATTATTTTCTTGTCGCTGTATCAGTTGTCCTAATTTGAGTTGGGGTGTCAAGAACAAGCATGAGGAAAGGAGTATATTGCCTTTACATTATTACAACTTCTCCTTTTTCGAGCATAATCAAATTCTAAAAATAGAGTACTGAGTCTTGATTCATTCTAGATAAGTAGGTCTTGAGCAGCCAGCCATCTAGTGATGACTGGAATCTTGAGCAGCCAGGTATAATCATTAGGCTCGTTGAATAACTGAATCTTGACTAGTGATTGAGGACGAGGTTGAGCCGCTCTAATTTCGGCAGCTGAAGATTCCAGCGTTTGGCTTCTCACCTATGCGGAACTGCGCTATCATGCTGCATGAGCACAACGAATATATTCCAGTAGAAACGTTTTGGGAAGGGGTAGACGTCTACGAAAAATTGCTGCCGCGGCTTTTCGCTTCCACCATCTAAAAAGTAGTGCCACTCTTGGAATCCGGCTTCGTTTATGGTGGTTACGAGTGGCCATATCAGGACCACACACGCAACATGACAACATGACAACTTCCTCGCAATACTAGAAGGAAGTAAAAATAGCTGCAGTAGCCGCAGGGACAGGCAGGCAACTGTAGACGCTTTGGCTGTTGTGCAGTAGAACAAAATGCATAAGCGGCGCTTCTGGAATGCGCCCAGCGGTTGGTGTGCAGAGGTTCTACTCCTCTGTCGTATAACGTCTAGCTATAGAGGGTTCACATCGAACAAAATAGCAGACTCAATTGATTCTGCTCTCCTTCTGAAGTGAGATACCGCAATCACGACTGCGATCTCCAACATCTTCCTCGGTTCGACTGTATAAAAAACGGATTTCAAACTTTCCTCATAATATGCTTACTTACTCTTGCTCCCTCGGTGCACGTACGCCGCACTTCAGGAAACGAGTCGGAAGGCACATCGTGCCAGAATCAAACATGATGATATGTGTTCCTCGTATTGCAGCAGTTTGCCTATGCATACCTTGAAATTGATGGAACTCTTGATAGATGCGATGAACGAGAATTTAATGAGGATTTTTCCTAGTTCTTCTAGGGTCCTTCGATCTTCATCTCATGTAAAGGCTCCTTCTAAACTTTTTCTGGTTCCTTCTAGACTAGGGTCCTTCGATCTTCATCTCATGTAAAGGCGAAATGTTCTTACTTGGCTCCCCAGTACTTGATTGGTTGTAGATGAAATGAACACGGGATTGTTGGATCGGGTTGGTCAGAATTTCCATGAGACTCATGTTGTGTTGGGTGTTCTACCGGATGTTCTAGAAGTAGCTGGAATTCAAGTTGCATGAATTCGATCGTCCTGTGGAATCCAAATCGCAATGCTTTTGTTCACTTTCCATAAATGCAAATCTATCATTATCTGTAAATGGTAGCAATCGTCTTTTACTCATGCTCATGCATGATTTACTTCCGATGAATGTGAACATTGTCATACTCATGAGATAACACAAAGCAGGAAGTCAACTCATTCCAAAGTTTTTCCCTACCCTTCCTACAATCGATTTTGATTATCACATCACTTCTGCGTAATTGCGACGTGCTCCAACATCAACCGTATACCCGAATCCGCCATCTCAGTCTCACCTCCTCACAAATCACCGCAGGTTCGACGTTTTAGATGATAAGACTTCTGGGTGTCTCTTCAAAGCAAGGTCGCTCGCGCGGCCTCCTCTTGGGGGGGCTGAGCTCGTAGTGTCGAACTGATAAGAATTTCGCAGAACAACATTGTCATGTGCTATCTCACCTGGGACCAAAATCTCGATTAAGTTTGTATTTTTTGTGAGATCAATTTTTCTTGGTTGTTTTTGTGACCATTACATCATTTCATTTGTCGTTTCTTTATCTTTTTGTTTTTGTTTTCAAAAAGTACAGTAAGAAGATTAAGAACTACAGATAAGATGGCGTTCAACAGCAGCGCGAAATATCTGAAGGGTGCGTTCATCGGTTGGACGAACGGTGAATTGCACATCCCTTTCGACTTCGACGAGAACCGCGTCCGCGAGAAGGATGAGGATCGGAAGCAGCTGCTGCGGCGGCACAAGATGTGGGCCAAGGCGCCCGTCCTGATGCGCATGATTCTTCCTTTTGCCTTCGGTTGCGAAGCCTGCGGGAAGCAGCAGAACTTGGGTAAGAAGCAGACCATGACCATGGAATGCATCCGGAACGACATCACCAGAGGCATGCAGAACTACCGGTTCTTCGGAAAGTGCCAGGACTGCTACTCGCCGTTCGTGTTCCGTACGGATCCGGACTCGGCCGCCGGTTACCGGTTGGAGATGGGTGGTGTGCGTCGTTACGAGGAGGCCGACGAGCGCGCGATGTTGGAGCGCGAGCTCTGCGAACGGGAAGAGGAGGAGAAAAACACTATCGAGAAGCGTCTGATGACCGCGAAGGAGGAACTGAATCGCATGCACAACCTGGAACAACTGATGCACGAACAGAAACAGCGCAAAGACGAATTCTCTCTGGTGATGTTAAGGCTCGTTTACATTTATACTTTTTCATTTTGAACAACTACGTACTGTTGTTCGCTTCTTGGAACTAAATAATACATTTACATACGTACAATTTTGGCAGGCACCATTCATTGTTATCGGATGCGATTCAGTAGAAAAAACTCCGACCAAAACATTTTTACTAGTACCTTGATATTACTCAAATATTACTTGTTCGTATCATGTAACTTCCATCTAATTCTCCTCGCCTTGGACAAGCTGTACGAAAAGACTGAGACTACCGCGGGTGAGGTTCCGGTTGCGGGGTCCGGAAAGTCACTCGCAGGTGTGGGTGTTGCCGGTGGATCCAGGGTCGGCGCGGACGGGCTTATGATCGTCGGTGCGAGCGCGTCTACTGCGTCAGCTCGCAGCAACATCGACGAAATGAATGAGGAGGCTGCGGAACTCGCAGATTTCGAAGAGTATTTGGATGCTGAGTACGAGCATGTGCGTGAGGAGTTCGACAACGAGGCTCGTATGGAGCGAGAAAAGAGATTAGACGAGGAGCTGGAAAACACAGAGCGCGTCACTATCTTATGACCATTTTAATATTGAAATTGAGGAAGAGCATGGTGAATTTCTCCTAGTCCTGTTTGAGCAGGGGCATAAGTGCATGGTAAGTAGGTCGCCTCTTTTCCGTCTTTTCTTTCATTATATATCATATAACTTACATATAATGACAGATGATATTTTGATAGAACGAGTACATCCATGGGAAGTACAATTTTGTTTTAGTTGAAAATTGATTGTAAGGCCTCTCTGCCACTGGCTAGGGCTCTAATCTGTAGCGGTGCTACCCTTGTCGAGAAAGTGCAAGCAGAGGCTGCTGAAAAGGGTGCTGAATCCGTACCTAGCGTCCGTAACAAGGGCGTGGATGCGGAGCTTCCCCTTGCGGCGGAAGTGAACGACGAGGCCAAGAAGCCGAAAATTGCCACTGGCGGTGGCGAAGCGATCAACCGCTTCAAGAACATGTTCAATGCGAAGGTTACCGGTGGCTCGCGACCGGCAACTGCTCCGCGACCCCCGTCCTCGGTATTAGGCAATGCTATGTCCTCGAAAAGTCTCGCAGCACCTCCACTATCTTCCTCTAGTACAACGCTTTCGCGCGCAACAACGGGAGGGTGCGTTGCGCAACAGAACGCTCTACGAGGACAGGGACCACCGGCGAAAAAGGCCAAGGTTGCTCCCACCATCGACTACTCTTCGTCATCTGAAAGCAATGATGACCTCTAGAAGTTGAGCAATCAATTTTGGGAGGAACAGACGTTTCTACCCATAAAGAAGTGTAGAAATTCTTACTGGTCGACGTGTGCTTGTGTAAGAGGGATGTGAAATGCGATTTTCACGATGTTCCTCGAAGAAAAGAGGACGGCTCAGGCTACTTATACTGAAATCGAATAACATTGTAGAAATACGGGAAGAAAACTCTATGAACCGAAGATGCCGAATCCCACAGCTTTGCCCGCATTTCAATTTCATGATTCATCTGCCACGAACGTTCAAATTAATACCTGCCCTCACAGCTCAGAAGTGGCAGACGTGTCATTTGAAGAACCTCATAAAGTGCCCTCGTCCCACCTATTTTTATGAAGCAAAATAACAACCAACCACATCCTTAAAATCACGAAAAATATGATGAAGTCTGTTAGATTGACGATGTACATCAAGCTTTTCATTGTCCCCTTGAGAATGCGCAGGGAGCAAAAAGAATCGATAACCATGATCATAAAGCCGTCGATCCACGCATGATCTTCAGACCATTGTTGTGCACAAGCTTTTTGTGATCGGTGATTTTCTTGTCTATTTTCTTTTGAGTCATGCAATTTTAAATGGGAATGAACTTTTGTTGGTCGGGGAAAAACAAAGTTACGAATAAATGGAGTGGGAAGTCACGTTACGTAGCTGCATAGTCGCCTATAATTGATCATGTCAAAAGCTAGGTATGGTCTTAGATAGGATCTATGACTACACGTCTGATCAAAATGAAAAAGAAGGTGGAGCGAGAGACGCCCTCTAGTGTGGTGAAGATAATCACTCATGTTGCTTTAAGATGTGGTCATGCATCTATATTGTACGAATTTTTTTACTTAATTCCGCGATTTATTGAGATTGGCTGACATGCACCACGCAGTTACATTTTGGGCTTTCAACGGAGTAATGAGTCTGCATTTGAATAAAGTCGACTTGTTTCGGTAAATATCATCAACTTTTCTAGGAACTGAATGTTCAGTGCTGCGACGAAAAAGTTCATGTCGGCAGTAGCTGTCAAGTGACGAACTCCAACTGAAGCGTAGCCAAGCAGGATGGACAGCGAGCCTCCGCCGAAACGATGTCGCTCGTCAACAAGTCACTGCTCCGACAAAAATGGCGGTGACGCGGCAGCCTCCATCGAGGGCGGAGAACTGTATCGTGGGGCCCAATGCGGTCAGTGCAGAAAGCGACGGCTGCTCTTCGAGTCAGAGCAGAAAGCCCTGAGGGAGCGACTTCTTGCAAACAGGGCCGACCAGGGCCGTCCTATCTGCGACTTGCTTGCGTGTTGTTCTTGTCGCGACAAGGATGACCTTATCCCACGCGCCGACGGGGGACGCCGAGAGCACTGGGAGGCGGTAGGGGGTCGCGGTGTCAAACCGCTTTGGAAAACGATCGCGGCTCCGACAGAGATGAGGCGCACAGCCGACAATGCCACAGAATACGACAATCTTTTTGATCGTCTGAAATGGGAAGGCCTCGACCTCGTGCGCACAGCGGATGACGAGCAAGAGACCGTCGCGTTTCCGCGTCAACGCCAACCGACAGCTCATGAGGGTTGGCCGACTACATCAACCAGCAGCTCATGTTCATCATCCGCGTCCTGGTGCAATTCGTCCAGGAGTAAGAGACACCCGCATTTGGGTAAGATCTTCAGAGGTGCGCTGCTTCTAGGTCTTTGTCGCAAGGACTGGCAAGAGATTCAAAAACTAATGAAGGAACTTGAAGATAGAAGTCACGATAGGACCAGGAACCGCAAAAACCTTGCATCAGACAGGAAGAAGAAAGGACTGCCGCCTGTAAAACCAGACCCGGAAGTCGGAGACAACTGTTGGCGTTCCATAATGTGGACACGAGATTTTTTGGTCGAGAGTGTGGGGTTACGAGAGTGTGATGGCACGGAACCAGTTGTCGCATTCGAGACTGAAACCGGCGCAATAAAGTCGGCCTTTCTGCCACTTCAGGCGGGAAGCTATAACGACGGCAGCGTGGTAGAGGAGACGTCAGAGGAGACCGATCGTGAGCAGACCAGAAATCTGCTGGGAGAGGCAGCGCATGGCGCATTCTCTCGCGATGTTCGTCCCGTATCGGACGGACAAACTACAGCAGCGTTTCCTTCCGAGCGTGCGACTCCCACTTGCGTGGTGAATGATACAGAAGGCGCACGCGGCGCATTCGCGCAGCACGAGTCTACCAGAGCGCCGGCAAAGACAGCGGCATCAAACGGGAGTACGGCACAGTCCGTCTTAACGCCAGGTTCACGAGCCTATCAGGAGTGCAGAGGAAATGCGCGTGTGCTCACAGACGCGACGCGGATCCGTGATCTTTTATCTGCGACCGAATATTTTGCACGGCTCTGTTTTCCAACCAAAGACACCAGAGGCCTTTCAGTTATTCTTCCGCGAAGCAGAGGCGCGAAGGCTTCCGAGGGCAACATGCTGATGGCGGGCACGCGAGTTGTTGACGCGAAAGCTGCGATAAACAGCCGTGACGAGAATGGAGAGCCGCTTAAGGTTGGCGACATATCGCGTTACAAGGCTCACGCGCAGCCTAGCGACGTCTGGGAGTTCGTAGTCGCTGCTTTTGTGCGACGCTTTGCGCCTGTCGAAGAGCTCGCAGTGCCGCGGGGTGCACACTGTCGCTATAGTTTGATGCAAACGCTGGACCCATTGGGCAAGACGCGACTGATTAAGAGAGCGACGGGCGGCCATCGAAGCTTCAACGGTGCGCACAACATGACAAAAACGCATGGCTATACGGTGATGGCACACGCGGACAGCTCTGCCGATGGTACGCTAGAAACAGTGCTTTTCTACCGGCCACGAGCGAACCCATTCGAGGGCAGCCGCGGCTACAAGTGTGAAGAGTTTCAGCCTGGGCATGGTTGGTGGTTTTTCGCTGGTGTCGTTTTTTCGTTGCCGCGAGAACGTGGGCATGGGAGCCTTGTCTGGGTGGCAAGCTGCAACCCAGGTCCACTGTACCACGGCACGCTCCCAACGTTTACAAAGACGGCAAAAGAGCGGCGCAACCTCAGGCATGACGGTGTGGGGTCCGCTCTACTCTGCCAGAATAATTTTGTAGAAGCGTTGCGTGACTCCGTTGTGAAGTCTCTCAGTGAAGGCGCACACAGTGGCGCAGCGTCGTCCGTGGTCGCTGATTCCCGTCGTGGCATGAACAACAAGAAGAGCAAAAGTGTGGACGTAGAGGTGCTGGCGTGTCCGCTCTGTGAGCGTTGTTGTCTTGGAAAATGTGCCCGAAGGCTTTCGCAGTCCCTTCGTGCTCCGCACGCAGAGTGCATGAGCTTTTCGCAGATGTCTAATGTTGACATGATGCAGGCGTCTGGCATCTCAGATTCTCAACTCGAGGATCAGGTGACCGAGGTGATGGGGCCGCCAAAAACCGACGCAGCAGATACGACCAAACAGGAGGTAGTAGACACCAGAACAAGTGCTGACAACTTAACGGCACATGAAAACTCCGCGCTTACAGAAATCGGAGCCCATCCTGCATGTGCAGATTTGCAACATCATGATGTCGCCCGGGAAGCGAATGGTCACGGAGATGAGGGATACAATATTACCGCTGTTGGAGGTCAAAACAGTGCCAGTTCTAGCCGGTGCGCCTTGCCGACAGCGCTCTTGGACTCGTACTACAACAACATCGATCGTTTGAACCCTGACAATGTCGACGAACCCGAAGTGATCGACTTAGTGTCCCAGTCTGAGTCTCAGGGCTCATTAGCCCAGTCACAGCGGCCACGCGCTGATAGCAGTGTTCTATTTTGGTCGGACTCTTCCTCGCAAAGCCTAGAACAGAACGCGCCAAAAGAGTCGGACGTCGCGCCTGTGTCGAGCGTGTCACGCCGCGAGCTTGAAGAGTCGGGGCGAGGCGACCTGGAGGAGCCCCGAAACATTGAGGAACGTTTACTCGAGATAGTTGGCGACTCTTTGGATCATGATGCTGATGCACATGAAGAGAGGCGAGCGTCTATCGCGGGCGATCCTGACGAGCCTGCTTTGCATCTTGATCCTGGCAGCGACGAGAAGGACGTCGAAAGCGAAGAGGACCCACGCGAGTGCGAGCTGGAAAAGTAGTCGCTTGGCCTCACATGTTTGAAAGATTTCTGTACTAACTCTGTCGCTACTGCTGTTCTTGTGATAAGCACAAAATTATTCTTGCTGCACCGAGAATCAAGGTCAACCTCAACGCGAACATTCACATTTGTGCATTTCTATTCAGTCCAACGCCAGGAAAACGAGTGATCAATGAATTGCTAGTACACAACATGATGCTTTTGGTTTACAGACTACTATTAGATCAGAGCAGTCCCTATTCCATACCGCGGATACACGCTAGCGACCACTGCGGAGACGTTTTTTTTTTCAATTTGATATGTTTCTAAGAAGAAAGTTTTTTTAGCTGCTATATGGCAAGAAGACAAGGCATCTGGCAACCTCCAGTTTTTTGTTTTTCCGACTCACCGGGATCAAGCTCAACGATGCGAATCTCTTTGAACTAGAAATAAGTAGGATCTTTCTTTCTGATGTGAACAGCAGAAGCTACGATTATCATACATAGGTCTTCATAGATCTCTCAGATCATTTTTACAATGACATGAATTTAAACTGAAGATCCTCGCGGTTCTAAGGAAGTGATCTCGATCTCAAGAGAAGTGTTACTTCGGGAAAACCATAGGAGGCGTGTATTGATATCGTAAAAATGATGTAAAGTAGGGTCATGTACCGTTGAGGAACGAAAAGGATCCTAAGAAGAGATGAGATCTGGATGAAGTCGCTCATGTAGAGGATGCTGAGATTTCATATGGGATTGCTTTTCACACTCGTTTGCTCCACGACTTGGACTCAATTGATTTTAATGGTCACAATCTTAAAAAACCATATTCTTGATTTCTGAAACAGCGACAGCCCTGCGACTGGCATTCTCGTGCTATTCATTGAATTGTGGTATTTATTTCTTATACTTGGCCCTATTATCATACTCCTGTAACTCCTGTATCTTTCATACTTAGATAACTGGTGGTGATCATAAGACAACTACCTCTGCCAAATAAGACACATCTACACCATGATCCTTTACTCCATTCCACAAGAGTTGACCATATTATAAGAGTCTGTCACTATGTCGCCATTGGATGTGTATCGTGATGCAGGACACGTTGTCGACTTGGTGTCGCGACGCCGATGTGGACTGAAAGCGGCTTTGTACGGAAAACAGCAGAGAAATCTGGCTGTTCTTCGTGCTCTAGTGCCTCGCGTGTTGGCTCTGGCGCCGCATTTACGGCCTGCTATTTCCGGAGGGACAGTCTCATCTCCTGCAGATGGTGTCGGAGCTAGGAAAGACGATACTAAAGCATCAAGGAAAAGAACAAGAGAGGGCGATGATGTTGCAAGAAAAACATCAGTAGGATCACCATATGGGAGTAGCTTGTCGTCAGCTCCTGTTTCTGGCTTTCAGCTTTGTTTGTGCGTGGAAATGTTGCGCTGTGGGGAGGAAGGCACCAAGTTCAAGCCTGGTGGGCGAGATGTGACACCCCTGAAGCGGAGGATTGCCGAGATTCGAGCGCGCCTCGCTGAGGTGCTTGGAGAGGCCCGGTTGCGAGAAATGCTTCTCGACAGCTCAGAGAACCAGCTGTCAAGCAAGGATGGAGGTCCAGGGCATTCGTCGGACGCAGATGGTGTTGCAGGCGGCGTACCAGAATATTGTTTTCTGCGTGTGAATCCAAGGAAAATTCGGGATGCTGTCTGCGAGCTTTTGTCTACTTCCAAGGAAGCTTCATCGGAAACTTTGTTGGTGGACGTGGAGCTTGAGAGCGACGCAGCCACGACTTTAAAAAATGTGGCCAGAGTAACGGCAATAGCGGAGCGCAAATTCTTAGCAGAGAAGTTGCGAACCTCTGTGAAAACCACGGATCGAGAAAAAAACGACAACGCAAAGTCTACAGCAAAACCAGATAGAAAAAGCACCAGCAGCACATCATCCCGAAATCTTATTGCTGGATCAGATAAAGCAGGACAGAAGAAGGAGAATGGAGACGCGGCGTTACCATTCGAGCAGGACCCGCTGGTCCCATTTTGCTGGCGGATCCCGAAACGTGAATGGTATGCCAGGCTGGTTCACCCGCTGGCCGAAGCTGGCGATGTCATTGTGCAGGACCGAAGTAGTCAATTCTCGGGTCTAGCGGCGGCGGAAAAAATTATCCGACATCTACAGATGACCGAAACCAGTAGAATTGAGGGCGCAACAGGAGACGAGAAGACAACAACTAAAGGAGGTTGCAAGCTTGTGGATGCCTGTGCGTCACCCGGATCGAAAACCAGCCATCTAGTTCACATGCTTCAACTTCTCGATCTGTTCGATTTTTCTAGAAGAGCGCAGGCACGTCCTGCTTCTGACAACGCAGAAGGGCGTTTAGGACTCTCGTGCACTAGCAACAGGACGCCTAAGAAGAAGATCCATACGGTAGTGGCAGTGGAGAAGAATCCCGCACGGTTTTTGACACTATTGCAACGCATGATGACTGTGTGCGGACCACTTTTCCTTGAGAGAAGCACCGTTGCTGGCGAGGACGGGGATGAGCCAGCCGTTAGCGACAGTCCGTTCGAATTGCCGAAAAACGTTGACTTTGGGAAAGCCGCTATGAACAAAGGGAAATCGCGTGGAAAAGGAGGGAAAGCAGCAGTAGGTAAAGGTAAAGGCAAAAAGAGCGGTGGTGCTGGGAAACAAGACATGCTAAGAGATGACGAACAGGTTCGACCGCGATACAGTTTTCGTGTCGGAACAAGCGAGGCTTCGGTTCGATTAGTATTACGGCAGTGCGATTTCTTTGATTTAGACATCAATCAGGACCCGGACTTCGCATACACGAATATTTTGGTGCTTGATCCCTCTTGTAGTGGGTCTGGCTTGGCTGAGCACGTTGCTGACAATGTTGCAGTGTTTGAGAAACAGCCTGAATCGGTATTATTGCGTAGTACCGAGACGAAGTCGTCTCAAGAAGTGCGAACTGGTTGTGGTGAAAAGGATGCTCTTGACTCGAGTTCATCGCGTGTCGAGAGTTTAGCGCAGTTTCAGACGCGATTACTAGAACACGGATTGGCTGCGTTTTCTACAGCGCTGGAAACGGTGCTGTATTCGACGTGTAGCATTTTCGACCGCGAAAACGAACACGTCGTGCGGGACGCATTAGCCTCTGCCTCGTCTAAAAAGAGCTGGAAGGCGGTCCCTGCCTTGCCATTTGCGTGGCCTGAGATCCGAAAAACGGAAGCAGAAAGTAGACAAAAGAAACTTGTTGACAGCGACAAGAGCATCATCAAGACAGCTGAGGAGCGTCAGAATCTGGAAGACCTGCTGCTTCTATGCGCCCATTCGTTGCCAAAGGAACATAAGTGTCGCGGATTCTTCCTGGCTCGCATTGACAGAATGAAAGAAACGTCTAATGACCAAGAAGGGTCTAGTCGTGCTGCTGCAGTACCTCCTACTAGTACACGAGAATTACCTGAACCTGAAAATAACAGCATCACTGTTGAGGATGCGCCGCCGTCAAAGAAACGGCGAAAGCAGCTCATGCGTGATTTACGCGAAGCATTGCGCAAAAGTGACAAATCATGATCATGAACTCGCCCATTTTCAATTGAAACAGCGACAACTTGTTCACTTATGACTCAGTATTTTCTTCAGCCCTGTAACTGTTACTCCCTTCAAATCCAAAATGTAAATGCAAATTGAATGGTCGACGTTATTGTCCTTGAACGCGCAAGTAAGGAGTCGATTGTTCAGTCTACGGCATACGTTCAGAAGCGAGAACGCAACATGTAGGTAATAGATATGTAGCGCATTCGTAACTACAGCTGTGCAACTCAGTATTGAGAGAGCGTTCACCGCTGAGATAAACCGAGGGGGACAGGATGTTTTCTTTTGAGTCGCATGCTGAGTCTTCTAGCCATATTCGAGAGTGTGCTATCAGAAAGTTCTCCCGTGACGCACCTCTTGTCTTCTCCGCTTTTTCTCCACTTCTTCTTCTTGCTTCATTTCTAGTTCTTTTCCATCCCGCCATACGCTCCTACAGATTCATCTACCTCTGTCGAAAAGCAAAAGTGCAATTGAAATTCTGTGTCAAGTAGAGAGTTTTTCGCAAGGTTGGAGACGTCTGGATGCTGGAAGTGTACCTTCCTGCTGCTGGTTGTGTTGTAGTCGGGCTGCTACACGGTCTTAAGTACTCCTGCCGTAAGGACAAAACGTGGCACCGTGTGGCGGCCACTGCGCTTTTCGGGGCTGGCGGCATTGGATACATTAAGATCTACCGAGGCGACAGAGACTGGTATTCATCGGCATTTTCTCTGTACAGTAAATGAGTGAATGTCAGTACGAGGAACGAGATCGATCTTAATATCCACTTCTGTTCATCCTCTTCTCAGGTTTCGGTATGTTCCGTACGCGAAGCAGCCCACGTATATGAAACAGAACTTTCCGTTCTATGTGTCATCATACTGTTTCGCGTTCCTCGGTTGCTTTGGGACCCGTGAGACCTATGTTCGATTCATGAGTCGGTACCTTCTGCCGCCAAAGTAGTAGCACTAGGGCGCCTCAATAGAAGCGGTTGACGACAACTTCCCCATAGGATGAACGCGCCTGTTCTTCTATCGAGAAACCAGACTAGCTGTACGGGAGGACGATAGGCACGAGGAGGACTTTTGCATCTAGGTCGACGTATCTTTTTTAGCTTCCAAGTCGTGGAACGCTAGGAAATCACAGAGCATTAGAAGAAGACAAGGAGCTTCAACTTCAAGGTCACGTTTTCGACGACCAAAACGGCTATGGCCGCGAGCTTAAGCAATTCGTTTTGCGTTTTCGGAGGCAGTATGCTTTCGCCATTGTTGCGGACGCTGCCATCATCCAGTAGAGCTCACGTGTGCAACCTTGTTGCTAGAGGATGGACTGGCTCGATTTTTACATGCTTCGAGAGGTTTCAGGGTTTGACTCGATCGCCGGAAGGTGCACTCCAGTATTATCAGTCTTTCCTTGTCGGACAGAAGAGTAGCAGCTCTAAGTCCTTTCTAAGTTGTAGATTTGCAGAGATGATTACAGACGCTATTGAGGAGACACTAGAGAGCTCACCCATCGTTTTTATGAACAAGACAAATAAACTGGCTCGTCGGAAGAAGCGTAAGCGCATGGGTGAGCGCGTCAGTCTGCGATACCGATGAACTCTTTTGAGTTAGCCGAAACACGCTACTTACCACTACAAGTGGGGTCAACAGGGCATCATAATTTGTTGGAAATATTACCCAGTCGTGCTAATATCTTCTCGGACTTTTTTAGACTGAGGAATATCTTCGAGATGAAACTTTGCTCAGTACTGTTTAAGTGTCGCATTCAGGTCAAGAGACCTTCAAAAGATGATGTGACTGGGAAAGACAAGATGCTCCTGGAACCCTTGGCGCTTTTGCCGAGGAACTCCATAATGAATTCGAAACAACTACAATTAGTGTGAAAATTATTCGGATGAGCAGCAAGTCTGCGGTCGTTTGACGCAAGCAAAAGGTTGCTGGAGCTCAAGCGATTTATAGGTGTCCGTGTCGAGTCAGAAAACTCCTGCTTCGTTCGGTGGTCGTGCCGATTGTTTAACAATCGAGTTGTATCTTATCGGTGATGAGAAGGACTGAGGGAATACACTGAAATTGAATCTATCGAGAGTTGTCATCATTAGACTCAGATCGTCGCACAAGGTTGCGGCGCCCATTGACAAGGCCCTTTTGTCTGCAGTAGGAAGTGGACTCGCATTTATGGAGCCTCATCTGTTATTGAAAAATTGAATCCAAAAGCACCAATTATTGGAAAAAGATCAAAAAAATCCGTTTTGCATTTGAGAAATAGAAAAGGCAACGAATCACTTCTAGGATAGTGACTTAGGAGTGCAGGCAAACTGCTTGCATTGATAGAACTCGATCCATTTCGTGCGAATTTTTGGGAACACACAGCTGCATTGATACTTTCTCGCGGTGCCATTGCCAAGAGGCGTTAATAACACCAGCAAAATGTCAAAAGCGCCGTCAGCGGGTGAAGGCGAGTCGGGCATGGCTTACGTGTCCGTAGAGGAGAATATCGATGTAAAACGTGGAGCAACCGCGACTGCGCTCCGTGTAGTTGCAGGGGAACCCGGGAGTGCGTCGGAAGAAATGACAGGAACGATATTAACGCACCAAGGGCCTCCTGAAAGCGGAAGCGCGAAGGAGCAGCTGTTTTCCGCAGCGGAACTAGCTTTTTATCGCCGCTTGTTTGAGTCTGCTCCCGACGTCGATTTAGAGGACGGACGACAGTTCCTAGCTGGTGCGCCAGCGGCCGCACTGCTCGCCAAATCAAACCTACCCAGAAAGTTAAGCACTTGTTTACTACGTGTAAGTTTAGATAATCAATAGAGAAGGTAGTGGAGGAGAATAGATATAAGTACTGGTAACGGTTATTCTTGAAGATGAAGAGTAGACATCTTGGTTGTAGAAGAACTTCTAAAGGGTCGTATTCATTAAATCAACTAGGCAATAGAAAACATGAATCTATCATGTATGATACAAAGAAATGATGTATGCTTATACTTACTTCGTTCTAGTGTTTTTTTTGTTGAGTTTGTCGCATAAAAGCTCTAATTAGTGCATTGCATGATATCTGGAGGATCGCTGACGCGCGAAACGAGGGTCGCTTGGACTTTGCGTCGTTCTGTGTCGCTTGCCGCCTCACTGCGCATGCACAAGGAGGGCTGACTAACATCAGCGACGATCTGACTTCTGTGGAGCCGCGAGCACCACTGCAACTAGGAACGACAACCACGAGCACCAATGCGACAGGCTCAACGCCAACGCTTTCCCCAGCGGCAGCGAGCGTCTCAACGGCGTCCCAATTACGACCGTCCACGACGAACCTCTTGCCGCGGACCGCTTCAGCGGGAGTAAATGTAGTACTTAATTTCTGTATTTATAATATAAGATAATACTTCTTCAACTTGTCCTCGTACAACAAGGTAATAATCATGACATCACTATCTTGAGCCGCAGGAGGGGGTATGATTATCGTCTAACCTGGTCGTCCCCTTTGGTGTCAGTCCTTTTTCCAAATATTAGAAAGTACTAATTTATAATTCATCTCCTTCTATCTTACCGTACTTGTACTAGGCTGTGGATTGGCGTCCTACCGATAGCGAGTTGTCCAAGTATTTGCAAGTTTTCCGCGCAACTGATATTGGCAGCTCTGGATACCTCGATAGCAATGCAGCGCGCAGCCTCTTCGCGAAAGCTGGCTTGAGCCAGACAGAGCTAGCCGTCATCTGGGAACTCGCTGATCAGGACCGCGACTCGCGTTTGAATGTAAATTAAGGCCCTGGCAAAAGGAATGGAGAAAGTCCCGATATGAATCAGGAGCATCAATCCTAATTCGTGGAGAGCCAAGGTCAACAAGAGAAAGTAGGTAGCAACCTCGTCGCAACTGCCATCCGATTGCCTAGTTTAGTTCGTTTTTAGTTCTAGAGTAAAACCAAGAGTAGAAATTAACTCACCACCACTCAAGAGTAGTTACCCCTAATGTTCGGAGTTTTGCGTCGCGATGCACTTGATCACGAAGTGTAGTGTCGAAGGTATACCCTTACCGTTGACGCTGCCAAGTGAGTTGAGCAATTTCAGTTTGCCGGCCAGTAGTCCGGCGCCTCTGCCCGCAAGTAGCATCTTTAAGGCTAAAGTTGACTCGTCCTTGTTGTTCATAGCTTCCATTTGCAGAAAGAATCCACCTCGTCGATGAAGGGGCATGATTGAGAAAAACCTAGCTTTAGTTGTAGCACTAGTACTTCTAACATTACTAGTGGCGTGGCGGCAACGAGTACCGTTCAAAGCGCGAGGGAAGCAGTCCAAACTGAACAGCAGTCGTCAGCGTCTTCATCGAGCAGCGGTCCAAATGCGCGTGCGATCGCACTTTCTTCGGCGAGCCCTCGCTTGGTGTCGCCAGTGACGGCGCCCTCCCCGCGAGGGGGCACGGAGCAGGCTGGCGGCGCTAGCAGCAGCACAGCAGGGGTAGGAGCCAGTGCAGGCGTGTTCAGTAATTATGTCGGCTCTGCGACGTCGGCCCCAGTATCGGGCAAGGGCGTTCCCATGACATCGTCTACACATTTACAACTCCCGGTCAGCAACGGGGAGTCGGGGACTGCCGCAAAACCTCCACTTTCGCAGGACACTCAAGGCGGCGATGATAATGCTGCCCAGGCGAATAAGACAGGAGGTGATTCCATTTCCTTATTTTTTTGCCTTTTCCTAGTCCTAGATAGATAGACTATCTACGGTAGGTAATACTAGAACGAGGGCTACGTCATCAAGATGTTTTTGATGATGCCCGCGTGACTAACAACAAATATTCGTGGAGGACTCAGTACATTCAGATGAAATGTAGCATTGTAATCGGAGATATGGGAAACGTTCTATCGATATCGAACCTCCATAGAGCAATAAGAACGTGTGCCGATGCTATTGAATAAGTTACAGTTAGTACTTTCTGATGTATGACACAGGTGGTATGCTGACGCGGGCGTGGAGGGCAGAGGCAAAGATCAGCAATCAAGATCTGAGTCGGGCCGAAATCGAATTTCTGGAAGAGAGGGCGCATTTAGAGCTACAACTGAGGAGAAAGCGCGACTTTGAGCGGGCAACGACCAAATTGCGCCATCAAATTGAAGATTTACAGGTAACATGATAAAGATAATATACTCACTCATTTTAGTTTTTTAATACATGTTTGTTTTCCTCGCTATGCTTGCTGGTGCGGTGCTTGTCACTACGTTTTTTCTTTTTTTCCTTCCTCGGACTTTGGAATGTGATAGTGGTAATCATTACTTGTACTTTTGATTACAGGCGAAATCTGAACAATAAGTCTATTGTTCTTATTTAATAGGCACACCAGAGCTTAAAAGACGTCGAGCGTGCGAAATTAGCAAACCGTTTGGAAGAACTCGACGCGAGCCATGAATTTCTTCGTTCTCAAGTGGAGCAAGTCGAGAATGATGTCCTCCTCCTATCAGAGCTGCATCAGATTAAGGCTACTAGAATTGGCAGTTTAGTCCTTTGTTTTTGCTTCCTCCGATAAGATGCCGCACTGGGCATCATAGAAATGCTGTCGCTTCTTATCATGTGAATTTCTAAGATCAATAACAGCCGGGAAAATATTCCTCCATTGACGCCAAGCAGTAACTTCGAGGAATTTCGCAGTAAAGCTTTGCAGACGGTGCGATTGGATCGGTACTTTTGACATACTCTTTTTTTCCTTGCAGGATGTCCTTACTCACTTACGCCACGCACCTTTTCTGTCAATATTAAGGTCCCTCTCAAGTAATTGCTTCTCTGAATCTGATAGGACCTTTTTCTTCTCATAATCTCAACGTTACGTCTTTTTAGTACACGTGATTCTTCACTCAGTCTCAACGTGTCAAAAATTTAGGGAGATGGCGCGGCTAGACAGTCAGAAGGTAGAGGAGTTGCGAGTAAAATTGAAGATGATGGACCGCGAGCGGAAGCAGGTGACGCAAAAAACACCTCCTTTGCTCGAGAAATTCAGGCAAATTGAGCAAGATAGGAGTTTGCTGATGGCAAGTACTTCTGTTCGTATACTATAAGTTTGATTCTAATGCGAATGCTAGAAGGGACTGCATAAGACGTCCTTGACCTCAGATGCACGACTGTGCACTTCTGTACTACGTAATATTGTACGGCTTTTTATTTTTACGGACCGTTGATCTAGTCTTTTTTTGCTATGTTGTATCAGGTGTTGACGCGGAGAGGTCGAAGCTGCTTCTGTTGCGAGAAGAAAGGCTGAAGCTGCTGACAGAGCGTTGTGAGCTGAAGGCGAACGAGGCTCGCCTGAACGAAGAGCTTGCGAGCAAGCCCACCTACCTTCAGCAGACAAAGGCCCAGCATGACCTAACTTATGGAGAACACTTATTGCTGACGTCGCCCAACAATATTTATATTTATGTGCATCTTTGTCTATCTATGGAGGTTGGAGTTGACTATCTTTGCCTGTTGTGTCTTTGGTCTACTCGCAAAAAATTGAAAATCAATACTGCCCTCATTTGATGAAGACAAACTGACAACTGACATTTGTCAAAGTCTGAGGATGAAATTTGAATGTCTGATCTAATAACTGTCTTTCTCGGCTTTGGAAATGCCAGCGCTGAAACAGTGGCAGGCTTTCGGATCGCAAACTCCGGACGTTGATTGGACGCAGAACTTCAATGGAGCTCCCAGATGGGAGAGCTTCAAAGAATAGAGCAGATATTGGGAAACGAGATGGGTTCTTTCATGATGATCGGGTTGAAAGTTGAACCAAGCTGATCTTCGTTTTATATTTCTACCTTTTTAGAAGTATTCGTTTCCGTTTCAATCATAACCCTAGCCGAGTACAGTGGTTGACTGCAGCCAATGGATAGAGTTTGCGTTTATCTAAGGAATCATCTCTGCTTTCCACGGCTGGAAACATCATCAAGTATGCACGCGTTGTAGGATTGATGCTTTTTTTGCGATTTATGGTGTGAAGCGACGCTTTGTGTGGGTACTGATAAGCAAGCGATTCATCGCGTGTTCGATCGACTTACTTATTCGAAGTTTGTTCATCTACAACCAAGCAGTTTACCTTAGCTAGAGCTCTGGGCATCATCCACGTGATGGGCGTTGGTCGACTTGGAGCAAGCAACCAAAAGGCTTCTCCTCACTAAGTTTAGCCTCGTCCCCTTTCCTCTTGTGGTAACTCCAGTGGTTTATTTTTCTAAGGGTTCTTGCTTGCACTGCATATCATACATTCTGGTAGAGTCATGTACACTACTTACATGGAGCAGAGAGGAAGTATTTCGCGCCGCGTGTGACTTGAATATTCCACTGAATTCAGGCTAACTTTCGAGGCTGGGGCTTGATCAAATGTGTTATTGCGGTCAGGAGCGATGTCAAGAAAGAAGCCACAGACAGGGGTATTCTTTTTCATATTCAGCGGAAACGTAGATGAGGCAAACTGTACTTGGTAGTCGTGGTTGATTGGAAACGAAAAAATGTCCACTGGGTCGTCAGGATCGGCAGCTCTTGCCAGAAGAGAGAGGCAGCTCCCCTTACGGGAGGAACACGATAACAGCGGACGAACGCGGCAAGGACATTAAGGTTCTGCGATTTCTATCCGTGTGTGCACTTGTTGAGAACGAACTAGCGTCTAAGTCTTGACGTTGAAGAAGAAGATCAGAGTGGACGACGATGCTCTTGATGGGTTGGCTTAGCTGTCCTTGTAGCGGCCGGCATCTTTGCTAGAAGTGGTGTCACAGTCTTCATGCTTCCTGATTTTTCTCAAAACTTTTTGACCTCTCTAATGAGAGTTTCCCAGTGTAACGGAGGGGTTCCAGTCGAGTCGCCCAGAGTTGATGCGTAAGCCGCATTTTGCTCTTCTTGATGTCGCGATTTGGCTGCTCCTTTTCGCGTTCCTCCCTGGCATTGGCTTCTTGTCGGACGAGGCAGAGCGGCCCCTTGTCCACTTGGCAGCGGTCCCGCTAAGTCTCGACGTGCTCCTGCTTTTCTTTTTGGTTTTAGTGCCGCTGACATACTTTCGAGCCAGCCACGTCTCGCCTTGTGTCGTCGCGGTCGGGAAGAAATGCTGCTGCCGAAGGTCACGAACGCAGTCGGCCTCAAGGCCTTGGCTAGACGCAGATTCCCAGAGGGAGCTTGCTCTCTCACGTACGTACTTCGTTTTGATTTCCCTTCATTCATTTTTATTCATGATGATGATGCTGATGAAGTAGAAAGAATGATGCTGATGCTGATAGAGTAGTACTCCAAGGAACTCAAGCTTTTTGACGTATGCGCTCGGTCCTACTTTCAACTCCAACCATGACCGAACATTGATTTGAGTGAAATGCCTGTGAAGTTTTTTTTGGGGTACTAGAACAATTAACTTGTTGTCTGAACCAATGTATTATCTTCATGTTTCCTCAAGTTTCCTGTTCCTCATTTGTTTCTAATTTATTTTTATGTATAGTATTTTTACTGAGAATCTGAGATGACGTCGCTGTCCTATAGGTTTTTTCGTGCAGAGTGGGTCACATTCTCCCGCTTTGGATGAGGATGACCGGAAGTTGCCAATATCCGTGCGACGTCTTCCAATCAACGATACAGTTTCCCTGTATCTAAGGCCTCTTGACTACAAGAATAGTTCTGAAAGCTAGTACAACGTTGCCCGTACTAACTATAACTAAACGCAATCTAGTACTAGGTAGTCTTTCAATAACGGTTTTTAGCTATTTTCTGGATGTGGAAGTACGTTAACATTAATAAATATGAAGATCCATGAACAAAGGCAAACGTTTCAGTCATGTTTGTGTCGGAGACAGAGACTCTTCGGAGAATCTCACTCTGCCATCTCTAATGTTGATCGTCGGCACGATGCATATATCAAGTGCTTCAGCTCGAGATGCGTGGCAGACGTGCGTGAGAAAACGACCAAGGTGCGTCATGATCGAGCTTGACCAGCAACGGCTGCGGGAGTTGCGCAAAGAAGAACGTCGTTTTGTTAAGGCAGAGGATGGCATTTATTTCGCTGAGATTAAGTAGAAAACTTCATATGGAGCTGTTGGCGCGTGTAACTCATTATAGAAAAGTACAGAAGACCTCAAATTCTGATGTTGACGTGTGTAAATTGATGGTTCCGAGCCTCTAAGCTCCCACCAGCACGCACCGTACTAGTTGTCTCGTCCAGCCGCTTCTGAATAGTTAGATAGGAAGACTGCATCATGATAGCTTTAATATGTTCGCGCCATTTGTTTTTTCCGGACGCGGTCCGGGTGCAGCTGAAGCTGGCTCGCCAAGCAAGGCGACGAGCAGCGGTCTTGGTACGGCAGCGACAGAGATGAATGGGACGATCTCATCTTCTACATCAGCACTAAACATAACGAGTAGTACCGATGAAATTGCTGTTGGTCTTGGTGGTAGTAGCTCGCTGATTGAAAAGAACGGGGAACCAGGTGGTCACACCAAGAGCACCAGTGACCGTGATGATGCAAATGTTGACCACGCATCAACCGCGCTTGAAGATGCTGCTAATGATGCGCATGATCATCTAGCATTGAGCGACGGAGCGAGTGTCTGTAGCCTCTCGTCTTCTGTTGACCTGAACGAAGCTAATCGAAGCGGTTCCTCGCATACAACAGGGGAAGACGAGTGCTCGGGCGACGGTGCACTGGCGATTTCTCGAACGCAACTGGAGAGTATGCGCGCCTACTCAGATCATGATGGTCTGCTCCACATGGACGACAACGTATCGACGCCCTCGTCCTCCTCGACTGCACCAGAGGCCCCGTACAGCACGAGGCTCAGGAGCACTGGCGCGGGAAGCTACATCAAGATCATTCCCGAGTGCGAGCGAGTGCCGGTACCGTCCGACTACGTCAAAGGGACCGCTACACCTTCGTCATCGTCTTCCTTCATTATGGTTGGTATCGTTTTCGCATGTCAGGAGAAGTGCCCAGAATGTTGTAACTACCGCAACAGGTGATTGTGACAAAGCTTTCTTTATGTGAAATTTGCCACATATTGTTTAACGGGGACTGATGTTCGAATCGAACATGACCTCCAGGGTATCCTCGTCGCCAAAGCTTTCATTTCAGATGCACCACAGTAGCTAAATTTGAAGACAGAGCCATTTATGACGACCACGTAAGAAGATTGAACTAGTGCTCGTTGCCTATTCAAATTCATGTTGGCGTTGTCAAAGACAGGCTCAGGCAGCAGAGGATTTCAGAGAGCCAGTGGGAGCTTCCACAGCCCACCAAGGCGTTCGTTTCGGCGAAATTATCAGTACATTCCCGCTAGTGCTACTGCAGTTGGCACGGCTGCACACCTATCTGGTGGACCCGCGTTCGCTGTAGAGGCGAGTACTAGTCCTCCCTTGGATTTACTCACCTTTCAGTCTCGTGGTCAGGATCGGGTCACCTCTCCTTATGACTAGATGTGAGCGATCTGTTTTTTCAGAAATGGTAGATCTGGCTGCATAGTATGCATAGAGTGAACTCCGATATGCTGAGCAAGAGTGAGACAGCTCCAGGCGTGGAATATCTATGTATATTTTTGAAGACAACTTAGCGCGCGGTCTGGCTATCATCCTACTGGCAAGGCTATACCTTGTCCTTAATCTTCGGGCAGAAATCCAGCCCCTTCATAATTTTTGAAGAATAACCTAAAACACTTTTATTTGTTTTTCTAATTTTTGGGAGTACACTCGGCTTGGAACGCGTACCTTCCGGCGCTCCAAACCAGCTCCATATATCCTCTTATTCGCGATGTAGATTTTCCAGAGGGTAGCCTAGCGTCGAGACTGAATTATGGCAACAACGAACTAAAAGTGGACTATGATACTTGCAACCGATAATAGCCACTTACGTTGCAGCACAACTAAGATGAATATTTTCCCGACTAACAGATGGTCTTCGAGGAATTCACTTATCATGATGTTCATAGTAATTTGATCACGAAATAAACCTCCTGGTCATCATCTTCTAATCGCACTGCGCGAATTGTGCACTGGTTTTGCGTCGATCGCGATCAGTTTCGTTTCTACAACAGGCACACATTGCGGAAAGACTCGGGGCTAAGATTTTGTTGATCACTGATTTTCCTGAGTGTACAGGCGATGCCGGCACAGAGACTGCGGGCCTCATGCACGCTGGCGGCTGCTTGGCTCGGCTCGCGGCGTACCGGAGGTTTCGGACGTTTCGGATGCCAAAAGTACCCTCGTTTCTCTTCCAGAACCGGCCGGACGAGGAAGCGCTCTTCGCGGGGCTCACAGACGGGCGCTTTGCGACGGTGCGGCTCGGCAAGGCCTACGCGGCAGAGCGTTTACCACGTGCGCTCGGGATCCAAAGGGTTTGTTGCCGCAATTGCGTCTTAGTAAGTAGCGGCGTGGGCATTTTGTACGGAGTTATGCAGTGCGCAGGTGTCCAAGCCGGAGCGGAGTTTTTGGCGGCAGACGAATATACAAGAATGTGCAAGTAATATTTTTCGCTTATATATTCGCATCAATTCATTGGAACAAGATAGAGATCCTAATTCACCAACAATAGTTGGAAGTACTATCGCCAACAATAGTTGCAAGTAGAAGGGGATTTCGCTGCTTCATCTTTCAATATTTAATGTAAAATTGATGTTCATCAGGAGCTGCACCTGCAGCAGCCTCACTGCGTTTAAGAGTTTTCGCTATCAGGAATTCAGAGTTTCACTCAAACACCAAAGAAAATCCAAATTCTCCCATCAGCTTGCAGCCAACTTGCGTAGACGTGAGTGATCATTCTCTTGGTAAAGCATTTTTGTATCACGGAAAGCCGACCTTCCGCAACCTTGGCTACAATTTCTTGATGTGGCTGTCTCTTCCGCGATTTGTGTGGCGAAATTTCGTTTATTCTTATGCATTGGTTTGAACCATGATCATCATGAATCATGAGACGGGGTACAATCTTCATCATCATTATGAAGGAAGAGCGTTTCTTATGCTTCTTCTTAGCGCACCTCAACGATTTTTCACCAGTCTCTTTTTCGAGGGAGTGATTGTCGGAGTATAATTGTATGCAGGGATGTTTTTGTCCGAATTTGATGAAATATGCATATGGTATGATATGTTGCGGTCTAAATACGGCGTCCTTGATGATTTTTGGCTCCTGCGATGCTTTAATACTTTGATCCCCGACGGCCCGATGTGATTGGCATCGCCTTGCGAGCACTGGTTTTTCTACCGACACGCACCTGCTGTGCGCTACTGGTCGCTACGACTTCCGCGAGCGTGGTTCTTTTTCTGGTGCTTTTTTGTCCAATCTTGCTCATCGTTGCCGTCATCCACTGGATTTCGCGCTTGTTCCGCCGTTCCCTGGTGCTGCTGTGCGCGGGTGCGGCACGGCCATCTCAGTACATTCTGCATGATGCGGTGTCAAGCTCCACCACTTCTCTGCCGCCCTCTGTCTCAAGCACTAGTAGTAGCACTACAGTTTGGCCGGAACAAGTGGCGGACGCAAACAGAGTAGATAGTGGTACTGCGCGACCCAAGATGGGATATATTCCGGATGTAGTTTCCGCAACATCTTCAACTTCGTCAACATCGTCATTATCGGGCCTTTCATCTGCCGTGCGGAAGTCTCTGCCGGTGGCTAGTGGTCCGTCATCCTCATCGACAAGAGAAACGTCGGTGCTCGGCGGATTCAGCGAGGACGTGGAATCCAATAACGCGTTCAAGCAAGCTCTCCAATCCGGGACCTCGACGACATCGTACTCCTCACCAGGGCCCTTTGCCCTCAGGCGACTTATCTCCGACGTGGTTCTATCGTCAACCACGCTTTGTCCCGCTCCGCCAGTGCACCATCCCTCGACCAGTAATTCCATAATCGTCCATCGCACTAGTAGTACCCCAGCATCAACATCCAACATACCCAACCATCATGACCACGACGCGGAGGTGACTCGTCCACGACTACGAAGAGACGAGGACGGGGGAAACGAGCCTGACGACGCATCTTCTTTTTCTTCCTCCGATGTGCTTGGGGAGCTTTTGCTCCTACTCTTGCTCGCCAATCTCTTACCCTCAGTCCACCGAGCACTGCTCATGGACCGGGATGAAGCCATGTTTCTGGAGGTCCGAAAACATTTGGGCGTCACTACACCGAACAACGGTGAGGAACGGCCCAAGGCGAAGGGAAACAGCGTTCTCATAGTGGGCGCAGCGCATATGGCCGGCATTATGGAGAGAATACGGCTGCGCGGCATTGAGGTTGACACATAGAAAATAGAAGATAGTCTCGCAACAACACGCTATCACGGTTTCTCCCAGCATTGTTGCCATTCCCATACAAGGACAATGTGAAGAGGACTAAACTCGAGACTTCCTCAACAGAAGGAGCTACTTTTGCATAGTCACATTCATTGTGCATACAATTACAAGTAATTTGAGACTACAGTTAGATGCTCTGTTGTTTTCGTGTCCTAACGGCAGCATATCTAGACACTCCTGCTGTTGCGGTTGAGAATGTCATCCGTCAGGGAAGAACTGTGACGGAACACAGCGGAAACCGTGTTGTACAGTATGTCTTTGTTCGTGGTGATAACAGATCATGACGAAAACAGCTTTAACAGTCGAGTTCAGATCATTCGGAGATTCGGAGAAAGGGAGGACTAATATACTATAGATCAGTATGTCTGATTTTAGCGAACAGTCAGTATGTGCTGTGATTTTCGATATCAATGAGTGTGAGAAAATATGAGGACCTGCTTTTTTGAACCTAGTGTAATTCGTAGAAGACGAGATCGGGTACTTACACGAAGTGCGACCAATAGAAGGGCAGAAATTTTCATTAGTGGAGGAGGGTAGAGCTAGTGGAATTCAGATGTCGCCACGGGCCTTCGTGCTGCTCTCAAAAGGTTTCAAATTATATCACACAAGACGACAACGAGGACGCCAATGAAAGGTAAGCACACAGGAGGAGCAAGAGAATCCTCAGTGTTGATGAATTTAGCAGAAACTACAAGTAGTTTTTTTAGGATAAAGATGAACGAAGTGATACCAAGCGGTCTGCTTTCTCCTTTCTCCAGCAGGGGCAAACAAAATGGGTCTTACCGGCTCCAAGCAAGAGGAGTCGTCTGGCGATCAGGAATACACGACAAGCAACAGTTTCGTGCCTGCGGGTCGGCGTTCGCGTGACAGCAGGCGGTCTCTTCGCCGAGAGCAGCTCCAGAAAAGTTGTAAGCGCAAAACTAGCGGGGCCGTCGCTACTAGTGATGCATCCTTTGCGTCGAACGCGGAACGAAGCTCAACGAATGCAGATGGGGGTGTTGTTAGTGGAGCAAACAACACGACGTCGCCGTCCTCGTCACCACAGCGACGACGAACGAGTCGAACTAGAATCGAGTCACCGCATGCCGCAGGTGCTCCTTCAGCGGCAGTGCTTGTTCCCGAGAATAGAACACCTCCTACTTCTTCTCACGAACATAGCAGTACTAGAGTTGTAGTCGAGGAGTCGAACTCGAACGCGAGCTACGCGGTGAAAACTGAAGACGGTGTAGCTGGAGGCGATGTGGCGCATCATCAAGAACAGCGGACAGAAGTCGAGTTCTCCGATGATCTTGAGGTTCTGTTTGATCCAGAAGCGAGTGTTTCCGAGTACAGGCGGTTGCTTCTCGGTAGTTCCGGCGTTCCCTCCGACGGTTCAACGTCCCTCGGCCTCGGTGGCGCTCCGAGACTCAGCACTGCGAAGACCAAGTTTCACACTAGTTTTCAGGGCAATGCTGGCGCGGAGTATTTGGAGCCCGTCGACCGCGCCAAAGTCTTGAAATTAAGGATTTGAATATTGATGTACGCAGACTGGTCTATACAACTTTCATCAAAATCTATGAATTTCATCTTTCTTTTCATCAATATGTCATCCACATGATGGAAACCCAGCGGCTCCAGAGTGCATTGTTCCTCTGACTCAGGTCAAGGGGAGGGGCACAGCTGGTTCATGATCGATAGTTTCAGCAGGGGATCAATATCGAAGATTCTCACAGATTCACGCAACAGTAGGAACAAGCAGCTCTTCCTCTTACTAGTATGTAAGAAACAAAAACTACGTACTGTCCATCGCTACGAAAGTTGATATCGGGAACGGCCACAGGATATACCGCTAATGAAAAGCCACATGGGTCGGATGGAATACTTCAAGCGGTTGCCGGATGTGGACCGTCGATTGTCCGACATTCGTTTGCGTCGAACGGAGAGTAGTCCACCCTACGATACTAGCAGTATCCTCGAGATGCCTGACACTGAGGAGGACGCCGCCGCGCAAGGCGAGAGTGAGCGCCTAGAAGCAGAAGTTAAGACTCGCAATTTCCACGTACAACCTTCCTTCTGGGAGTTCATTTTATCCAAATGTTGTAAATATACGATTCGCTTTCGCTTTTGCTGGTGAGAGTGAACAGCTCCTTCGTTCGGATATCGTTCTATGACGCAAATGATCTAGTACGCGCAATCTTAATTTGTAATTTCCTTCGTGTAGAACTAGCATTATTATGACTCCGTGGGAGCGGCATTATACTCGCCTTAGCTCTAACAACTAGATCCTGAAGGAGACGCTGTTGCGGCATTTGGACATTGAGGACGAGCTTGGTGAACATCTCATATGGCGTGGCGGGAATTGTAGTTACATGAGGAAGGAAAACAATATGTGAACAATGTGATGTCGTACTCAACTATGATATTAGGTGGCTTCAAAAGTAGACAATAATAGCTACACAAGATGAGGCACCATGGCATGACAAGGAAAAACGACACTTGTTGATGTCACATTTACGTCCTGTACCTGTAGAAATATATTGTAGAAATCAGTGAAAATATTGACCTTGCGACCGTGAATTACAATGGGAATGTCAAAAATGCCTGTCCTCGTTGTGTTCTTCTAATATGCGGACGCGAAGAGGAGGATGGGTTTTGTTACGAAAGTTTCCGGGAAGAGTCGGTCAATTTCGCGGGTGTCGAGTCGCCCACTCTCAAGCAACATCGGCAGGATCTTGCAGCTGCTATGTCGAACCAGGGGCAAGACGAAGTCGCCCAAAGTTATGTGCACGAAAACAAAGGAGCAGTTGCTTACTTTTACTAGTTTGCACCTATCAATAGCAGGCAGGCGCCGTGTTGAACTTGAAATAGTTGTAGGATCTTTGGTCCGCTATCGCACAGAGGACTCTATTTCTCGAAGTACTCAGCCAAGCCTCTAACAAAAGGAGAATGTCATTCCATCGAATGATGGGAGTGCTGCAATCAACAATTTGCCAAAAGAGCGATTTGGGCATTCGTCACTCGATCCTGTTCTAGGAACTGAGAAACGGAGAAGCAGTGGCGAAAGTAGCCTTAATCGCAGAAAAGAAGAGGTGCAGAGCTTGCTCAGTGCCGTGGAGGACAACCCCTCATTGGCTTATGTTTAAGGCTAGATTGGGGATGTGAAATCTACACAGCACTTTCAAATAGGCTGACATGGCAAGAGACTGATCGGCAACAACATTTTTACAACTAGGTACAGCTCCAGTTTCATTACTTACTTGTTTCACGAACTGCAAATTTACAGAGGGATGTGATCAAGAATGGAGACAAAGCAGTCAGTGCTCACTGTAGCAGTGACTTGAAAGGTCATTAACGTCATGAGATGTGCAGATTTTTTGCGTCTAATCTGTGAAAACATCCGGGACCACGAGTGGTAAGCGGCACATTCAAGATAGTGTGGATTTGACCTTGCTTCGGAAGCGACAACGGACGCTTAACGTATCTGCGGCCTCAAGTCCGTGTATATCATGAAAAAGGCCTCACTTTTCGACAACGGTAGGCATCATACTATCGAATATAAAAGAAGGAGTAAGAGATGACGCAACAAAATTATCACGAAAGAGTAGAAAGATGCAAATGTTGTTTCTATCGCGTATGAGCCAAGTACAACCACGTCAATGTCCGTTGATAGATAGTGTATCAAAAAGCAGAAGTCTACCGGATCGATTTTTGTCAGGATTTCTTTCACCATGCTTGTACTACTTTTCGATGAATTAGAATCAATACTACAGAAGTTTGTTACAGATGAAGTAACAATATGGTCGTCCTCGTCTTTCTCCACTGAGCATCGGTCTTGTTGATTCAGACCCTCCATTAGGCATCCCTATGGTTCCTCATTAGTACAACGAACAAATTATATCTCTATATATTTGTTGTTCTACTAAATTATTTATGTTGCAGCATGATAGATGGCAACTGCTACAACATTATTTTTATATATTCGCGGAGAGGGCTAAAAACGGCAACACGACGTGTCGAATTCGCGGATTGGCGTTGGTGAGCAGCTCAGTGCTTCAAGAAATTGTGTCTATTTTGACCTCAATACTCTGCTCCTTTTGAGGCCTGTTTCACAGGTTGCTTGTGTCAGTATTTGAGATGTTCTTGCGTCGCGCAACAGAGAAGTACACCGTATCAATGTCAGAAAGGGGCATTTACAGACGCTACTTCTAGTGCGATCCGGCGTGCTCATTGTCACATGCTCGCTGCGATCGGTTCGATCATAGACGATTGGGTAGTTTCAACTACTTTAGTAGAGCTCTACGGCGTCAAATCTGAAATCTACCGCTGACGCGTTCTTTTAGGGTCCCGTGAACGATTCCGAGGTTACTGACTAGTTCGTTGCCAGCACGTTGCTTGCTGTCAAGTGTTTAGGTTACCTGGTAGGCGTGATTTTTTTTGGATCTTCTTTGTGCTAGTGTATATCTGTTGTATATAGTGTTTGTTAGAAGTGGAAGGCTGTCATCGCAACAAATGATTGAGGATCGAATTGTGAGCCACTGTAATTCTATTTTTCTGATTGTTTGTATGAATGTGAACCTGAAATAGATTAGTTCATATAAGTCGCAACTTCCTAATCCCAAACAAGCTTCAACTCCATCCTTATTTCATTCTGAAAAATTCTATGCCGTGGTCTCCGTGTGAAGGCTTACTAAAAGGTTCTTCTTTGATGCCGCCCCTCTTGTGGTCGAAAGAAGGATGCTGTGACTAGCCATCAAAGTCGCTCCTCGAATTCGTCTTCATCACATACTTGAGTATCCATCGCCCGGATATCAATCTCCATCTGAAGAGCTGAACAAGAGAACGAGAGAGTATGGCACCTATCGATGAGGTTACGGATGAGCTTGGGCGACCTCTGTTGAAAAGCGCACTTGCCCCAGCTCTGAGAAACGACACTATGGAACAGGCGGAAGAGGGACCGACGCTTATCTTCGATTTAAGGCTCATGGGGCATTTTGTTCTCAGAAAGGATAATCAATGCACTTATAGATACTTGTCTGGTGCGGAAAGAAGTGATCGTGATCCAACTACTCTAATAACAGGTGTCTGCAACCTCTGCAACGGTGCGATGCATTGGTACAATGATAGGCTTAGGGGAGACATGGACGTCAAATTCATGTGGCTTCAGCATCCAGAGTTATGCTTCGCTTTGTTCATCTTGATAGATTTCTTTGTTATTTCATGCGCTTGCGCATCGATCTCTCGTGTTTTTTGCTTTTTCTCAAGCATCCTCGTGGTAGGTCAGGTGTTGTTATCTGCAAGATAGTTGAAGTAGGAGGCAAATAAAGCGATGGATATGCAGCGATGTGTATCTATCAAGATGAAGCAAGTAGGAAGGACGCTCCAAGAGGCACGCAGGCGCTTTTGAGAAGGCACAACATCACCAACATCCACGAGTCATGGGCACTTATTCGGAAAGGGCAGGTAATGATTTTTGATGAGACTCTTTCTTTGAAGATGTTGATTCCCCTTTCTTGGTTATGTACTAGCTACTCGATTTTTTTGCATGTACTCGTTTGCTTTTGCATAAGTGGAGAATAACAATTTGAAGGAACGAAGGGGAATAAATATTAAATTATAGCTGAACGGAGACGAACACGAAAAAAAAATCAGGTGTCGCGTGGTTCAACGGCTTGGTTGGAAGCTGTATGGTTTTTGAAGACACCTTGGTGGCCGCTTTCGTATCTCTTGATTTTTCCCGCATGCATTCGAGAACCGGTTTACAATTTTGTCGCTCGAAACCGGTATCGTTTTTTTGGCAAAGCAGAGGCCTGCCGCATGCCGACGCAATCACTGAAGAAAAAATTCTTGCATGACGTGAAACCCCTCAAGGACACGTCGACATCAGAATCCTTGCCCCCGTAAAGAATGTAAGTCAAGCGTCACTTTGCGCCTCCTCGCCCCGGTGTTGCTAATCTTTATGATAGATAATGAAAATGATGTTTTAGTACTGTTTTTGTGAGTTCAGAACCAGAGCCGGACCATTCTTCATCTATAATTATCATCTCGTCCGCCTGTCTTGAGATGAATCCACGGGTGAGGCTTAAATTTAGTTTTTTCCGCCTAGATTAGTTATTTTCACTGATATGTATCTGATAGATTAAATGAAATCCTAAGTGAATTTCCCACTGATGCGAATAGTCTGGCTTTAAAGAAACATCATGTTCAACACTTCACTTGTTGAATCATGTTATACCTATTCGCCTACGAACAGAACTACGCTACAAACGAGGAAGCACGGAGTCAGTCCAATCTATTAGTAGAGGTCCTTGGGATCCAGGATACAATTTGTGCAGACCGATGCCTCTATTCTCTTTGCATGCATCAGGCCTGCGAAGGTAGGCTTTTTGCCTGCAAATTATGGTGAATTGAGTTCATCGTGTGTATCTTAAAGACGCAAGATTGCCGCCTAAAATTTTTGTGACTTGTATTTCTGTATCGTGGGATGGAGGTTCTTGTGGCTAGCTAGTGATGTTACTGTGCTTTAATAGATACCTCCTGATCTACGCCATTCCGCAAAGAATATTCCAGTAATTCAAGAGAATGTTGTCGATGTTAGGCTAGGCAAAACATTAGGTAGGAAGATCCTTCCCAAGGAATAAGTAGGTTGACAAATTAAAATACTGTGTTGAATCCTCGCTAGTAAGTCTGGTAGCTTATCGTTTGATGATGAGCATGGGATTACATATACAACGGGGGTGTTTCAGCAACTAACGGACGACGATGTTGTCGATAACGTATTCATATAAAATATGTTGTGATAATGTTATAATTGTGCACTCATTTTAGGCAATGAATGTTTAGGGTTTTGTCGACCCCACTTTGAGCGTGTTGAAATAAGAATACTATTCCCTGGCTGCGACTATTACTATTTAATATGGTTTAGCTGTTCATCGCATGCCTCGTAAACGGGAATTCCTCGCCTGATTTTTTACCCCGCTCACAATTCGTTAGGAGTCTGTCACAATATAGATATTTTTGTAGGAGAATCAATCGGTTGTGGTGGAGGTGGTCGGGGGACCGCAACGATGGCGCACATACTTTCACGAACTTCTGAATTAGATGCACGAACTTACGAATTAGAAGCCGCCAGGGAAATCTTAGGCAGTTTGCCGAATAGATTCACATCATCAGACGCACGGACGCATACCATCTTTTTCGCTGATTGATGCCTCAACTATAGTAAAGACCTCCCAGACCTAGGATGTACAAATAAAAAAACTTATCATGTCGTCTCAAAATTTGTATCTTTAGCGATAACAAACTCATACGTCGTTCTTGGAGCTAACTAGAGAAGAAGAAATTTAGGAGTAGTTGTGTAGACTATGTCAAGCATCATATCGAAAAATGGCGACGATGATGAGTTTCTCCTGTTTCTCCTTGGAGGCCTTCGAAGTTCTCTTCGCTGTGTCGTTATTTTTCAGTGTTGTGCGTACCTTCTCACCTTTATGTTCCTTTTACAAGTGGTTTCACGAAAGCGGCTTTGAAGTCAGCAACTATCGCGGATACGGCCAAACGGCATGTCGCTTTTACGGGTTGATTCCCAGTCCGCATCTCTCTCCGAGACAGCACCGATGGGCGGGCGCGGCTTGGATGATGACGATACTTGCCATCGGAGGAACTGCCTTGACGAAGTTGAATGATCCTCTAGTTCTACTTGACTACAGCACGACTACTTCTAATACCTCGACGAGTTCATCTAATAATTTTGTCACAGATCATACGGGTAGTAGTACTACTACTACTGGTGCCTCCAGAAGTTCCTGGGGCGGGGGCGTGAAGACGCATATGGTATTGGCAGGTTTATCTCTATCGTGCTTGATGTTCTACCACGCGTACATATCCCAGCTCTTCTGCGAGGCTCACGTTGGCGCACACGTCACGGTCATGATTCCGCCAGCACTGCTGCAACTGGCTTTATACAATTTTGGGCGCGCTGAGCAGGCTGGAGACTGGCCTTGGGGTCGTGCTTTGGCGAGATCCTCATCAAATGGCGGGACGAGGGCGAACAACAGCGACCGGTCTTTGTCAGTCATCAAAGTTGAGATTTACTTCGCCTTTCTTGTGAAAGCCGTGATCGTGCTTGCGTATTCGTGTGCAGGCCTCTCGAAATTGAAGACCAGCTGGAGAAACCAGAAAAAGAAGAAGTGGACGGACGGGAGCACTTTGCAGGCTTGTATTTTCGAAGCGTTGTCTCTGTCCCGGCATCCTGTCGTAGTACGGCACCAGTTGGACGTCGAACATGATAGTTTTCAACATTCTCAAGCTGAACAAAAGCAAAAACAAAACAAAAGGAACAGCTTGATGGATCAGCACGACGATGTAACTCGCTCGTGGCGCCTCGAGCATTCACCGAGTACAACAGACACTCCGACTTCTGCAGGCAACACACTCACTTCCACGACCATTTCCGCGCCAAGTTCAAGCGGCAAGTTACGGGTGGTCTCCATAACCAATGATCACTAGAAGTCGTTTGAATCTGAGGACTGTGCTAGGTGGAGTCTAGATTTTTTCTCATGTTTGAATCTATCATCGAAATGATATACGACAAGTACAGGTACAGGAGGTGAGAGGTATCAATCTAGACGAAGCATTTTAAACTTTAATGCGTGGGGAGCGAATTCAGCAGCCGGGTATCGTAGAATTTTACGAGACGATGAACACATTAGAAGCGCTGAAGGGCGGCACTGTACATGCCGAACGCAGTTTATGAGTACAATATCAAATGATTGAGGTAGTATGGACCCTTTTTACTTCGATTTTCATTTTGATCTCTTCTAGAACTATACTCCACTGATAACTCACGAGATGCTTTTTAGAAAAGAAGAATCACCGAAAGCTTTTTTAGCAGCCGAGCGCTAAAAACGCGACAATGCCACGTCGCGGTGGACGAACAGGGGAGCTACAACATGAAGAACAACAACGAGGTTGGCGTGAGGGAGCAAGACGGCACTGTTGGAGATTCTGTCGGCAGAAGTCGGTGTCGGAGACTTTTGGATTTGCCGCATTTTACATTTGGAGTTCCTACGCCTTTTTCTGATCGCCTCCAAGCCTGGGCTCTGAATAAGGTTATTCTCCTGCAGCTAGCCTCCACATTCTCCGTCTATTTTGAATTCCTGGCGCCTCTGATTCTTCTGGCGAATTTCGTGGATTTTCAGTCCTTGTCTGACTTTGGCGCCGAGAGCACTTCAGTGGTCAGCAGCGAGACGACTCCAGCGCCTCTTTCCTCCACCATTGAGAATCACCCTCTTGTTTCCAGCATAAGCATGAGACCGATTACAAGTAGTGCCAGTAGCGAGCGCAGAGCTGTGTCTGGGGGTCTGCCTTCCCTGTACTTTACAGTGTGGTCGCTGCCAGCGTTTCTATCGTTCGCGCTCGTGCTGAATTACGGGTTTGCCATCGCTGGGCTGAGTTTCCATTACGGCATTGCGTTCCTGCAAAACGTAGACTTTTTATCGTGGTGGGGTCCAGTCTATTTCGTATTTCTCACCGATCCACTGTTGGGCATGTGCTTTCATGGAAATGCAACACCTGCCGTGACCAGTACCCAACATCAGGGCTTTATCTCTCTCCCGGATGCAGCAGCAGAAGCGGCAACCGTCTGTCCGGTATTATTCTAAACAAAGTTTATTATAAATATCATTTAACATGATCGAACACTCTCACTCTCAAATTTCTTTCTCGCTTAAATTGTTTTGAAATTTTCTGCTTGTACTGAGAGTACGACGTTTTAATTTGCAGTTGAGTACCTGTCGCCTCAAAGAAGCTGCACAACTCCTAGTTCACCTACAGAGACAGAGAAATCAGAAAGTAGATTCCTATTTTAACTTCGCACATTTAAATATTACATTTGCTCGCAGACAATATTAGACTTATCCCGTGCAACAATACATTTGCTCGCAGATTGCATTTACCTTGGGAACGGTGTATTTCCTAAGCCACATCGGGATGGCGATCTACATTCAAGGTGGCTACGCGACGCCGGGAAAGGAATACTTGCCGTATTCTGGTTATGCCATGTTCTCGGACATTAAGGACTTGTTCGATCCCGACTACCGCAAAGCCTTTTGGCTATCCGAGAAACCGCACGCGACGGGTACGCTGAAGAACTACGCGTTTCCACTGCTCGGTCGGGCGCCTGTCGTAACCGAGCAAGAGTTGCAAAAGTTGCCTTTTCGGTACATGGTAGTGGCGCACAGTGGTATACGGGAGGTAGTAGAACAAGATGTTGACCACGCACTAGAGGTGGAAGCTAACTATGGACTAGCGGAAATAAGACGAGCAACGGAGCGGGGGCGAAGACTGAAGATGAGAGCAAGTATAGATGATCAGCACGTCAGGATAAGCATGTCGGTGGACCACAGAAGTTCAGCTGCAAAAACCATGTATTTCGGAAACAACATGCCTGGTGTGCTATCCTCATCCAATCGTCGTGACCGTAAAGATTCTAGTCGTGCAAGGGGTCGATGCTGTACTCGTTCCTCATCGTCTCCCGCGAGTGGGTCGAAGGACCGACGACATCCTGGGTCTAAGAGGAGCGGTTCTTTCATTACAAGTACACATCAAGGAAGCCGAGTAGACGAGGAAGAACCACACTCGAAAAGGGCGACCGCCTCTCCGAGAACCAGCAGTGGGTCAAGTCGCAATAGCTGTAGCGAGTTTATCTCGCGGTTGCCCCCACCTTTAGATGTCAACATGGGTAGGTCTTCACAAGGTAGTAGAAGCAGTAGTCGTAGTAAGAGTTGCGTGGGGAACAACCACACGAACACGCTAGAGAAAAACGAAGCAATTGACGATCGTCAACAACATGCATTAACTTCATCTTGTGTTAGCAATTCTGATAGGAACACGAGAAGCCGACCCCTCACTCCGTTCCAGCAGGCAAAGCAGCTGTACGATAGAATTTGTGGAGGAAGTGCTGCGTCCTGGTGTGGGTCGGGTGGATGCTCCGTATTCGCATCGGATAACAAAGACCCGTCGCACTCGTTGAGGACGGCTTTGCTCAACAAACAAGAAGATCCTACAACTGCTGACGGAAGTAAGACAGTACCTTCACCAGAAGAGCAGGGTCTTAGAAGTTATCAAGTCCTGCATCAAGAACAACAAGATTCATGTGAAGCAATATTGGTTAGTAAAAATCCTGATCATGTAGTTGAGCAAAAGCAGGTGAGAAAAAGGAAAAACGCCAGTAGAGACCGTAAGAATAGCGATGTTAGGAGAAGGTACGTGGAGCACCAACCACTAGAGATCGTGACGAACGTGGAGATGACGCCGAAGATGGACCTCTTACTAGGGAAGCTCACACTCCTAGGCTGCCTTGGCCGGGGAAAGTACTGCGATAAGAATAGCACGCGCCAGCTTCAGTTAGCTTTTGAACAGCTACGAATAGAATTCCTGAAAAGCCGACGAATATGTATCAAGCAGGAAGATGAACTCACCAGTCAGATTGGTGAATCCTAGAATCCTATTGAGACTCTCCGAGGGAGAAACAAAAAGTAGCGCAACTTTTGGTCGCACTTGTTGTAATGATACTTTTTACCATAAAAAAGGGAAGATTGATATTTTGAATGGTACGCCTACGCAGTTGTAAAAATGCTTTCAAATCGTCGGTGTTTCTATTTCTCTAATGAATCTTATATTACATATAAATATTCTATCAGCATGCTTCTAACAATTGAGTTTGAGTGAATATACTTGCCTTGAGGCAAAATTTAATGATAGAACTTTCTTCGATTGATATGAGAATAAGAAATCGAAGTTTTTCATACAGGATGCATGGAGATGGAGAGTAGTTGTTTTCACGCTTACCCTCCCTCGCAGGCCATAAACCTGCTATACTAAGTGTCTACCGCAATATTATTGAACTACTTACGCAAACTGCAAGCGTGGGAAGTCATGGATCTTTATGTTGATTATTCGGGTACGACGAGAGGTCTCTTGCACCTAAGAAAACACGTATGCACCGTTTACTTCTTGATAATCTCTCGGTCTCGCTATTCATTAGTTCGGAGAAAATGCAAAACGAGTGCCTTATGAGAGGACTTTTATACATATAGAGCTAGGTACTTCGTTTGACGTAGTAATGAGAGGTCATCCGTTCTTTGATCGTGTGAAGTGGTGCCAGGATGATGCTGACTTGTGTGCAGTTGAAAAAAGTTTGCAGAAAAATGGAACCCTATTTTTTTTTTCGGCGGCTCTCCCCAAAAAATATACTTTGCGCCAATATTGTAGTGCTTCAATCCAATGGCTTAAAGTAAGATTTTTTTTGTATCCCGAGCGAGTTCCGTAAAGCTTCCCTGCCTGCTAACGACTGTGAGGTGGGGCGAGGGTCTCTTTTTCACCTCACCACTCAGATCGATTAGCATGTTGGAACTCAAAAAAATGTGCAGATCATGTCTAAGAATGACGTGGGCCGGTCCTCCATTTTGTGTACTATAGTGTTTTAGAAAGATGGCCCTCTTCGGAGGTAATGTGATAAAGTCACAGAGGCAGCCACGAAGACGAATACGAAAACACGATTTGAAACGCTTGAATATAGCATTTTTGAAACACCTGGTGTTGAAAGTGTTAGAGTATGGCGCTTCTACAGTGATCGTCACTGGTTTATCACACCCTTCAATCTATGTGTTTCATCTTTCTCTTTACTAGGGAGTTCATACGTGATTCCCCAAGATGTACGAGAGACCGAAGCGAGACAAAAACAAAGAGTTTATTTTTTTTTGCAAAAGTGAGTTAGAGTTCTGCAAAAGGAATGAATGAAGGAAGATGGACAGTGTCGTGAGAGTGAGCCTAGAAAAGTGGCAAAGAACTACTCCATTAAATCATGAGAAAAATCAATGGCAAAATTAAGAATCAGAATGAATCAGGACGTTTGAGTTTGTCGTTTCAAAAACAAAAAAGGATTCAAAACCTTCTTCACGAACAAATAAAAGATGGCTTTTGTTCAAAATTGATATACTTACTTACTAAATCATTCAACATCAAATTTGACGATTCTAGTTTTAAGTAATTTTTACTACAAAAGTGAAAACAACACCAATTTCAATCTCAATACAACAACATAGCAAGGAGTAAAAACAGTTTTTGTTGAGCTTTCTATGACTTTCGAGGCCTGCTGGCGGGGTCCGTCTAGACTTGGGACCGCCTTGAGCGGTCTCAAGTGGGGCACTCAATTGCCGTGAGTTGCCCCACCTTTATCGATTCGATCTGTAGTCGAATAAGTATACGATTCGTAGTCGAAGTCTGCAGAAAATCGATCCCTGTACGTGGTAACGTGGCTTGCTCAGTCGTGAAAAGCAGCGGAAGTGGATCGGGACAAGGAGCATTCTCATAACAGAATACATCTACAACGCGTTCTCGTTGTCGCTTTATCCTGGTTGCGGACGGTGCGGGGCGCTCGGCTACGGGAGAACGACAAAGTGCAATGCAGTAGAAACAACTACACGAGTACGAGGTAGCTCATTCTAGTAAAATCGAAAAAGCTACACAATCAAGAGCAAGGCGAGAATCGCTTCCTTAACAAAACGAGATCTGCTTTTCGACGTCCTGAGACGAGGGAGGTGACTTACACACACAGTGCTAGACGTCGCGGATCTCGTGACCTCTAGCAGACGACGGGAAGATGTCCGGCTTAGCAGACATCCTGGAGCGCGATGATGAGGCGCGCTCCACCATGATGGGTGAGTTTCACCCACAGAAGTACCAAGGCCTCATCAAGCACATTGGCCAGATCAAGAAAAACATCGCAACCGACAAAAGACAATTTGATTATGTTGAAGGCTAGGTAGACTAGTATGTAGATTGAAGGACAAAATAGATACTCGCTCCTTAGTAGAGAGTGAAGTAGTACCTCTTTTTCGTTGCTTCATGCGATATGATTATTCGGGATGGATTTGGATTTTATTCTATTCGAGTAGGTTCAGGAGTGTCGTACTCGTACTAACAGCTAGGCGGTAGGGTGGAAATGTTGTGCTCCTACTTTGCATAATTCAAATGTAAATCATGTTTGTATGTTCATTTTCTCAGTATCAAAGGTCACGTTCTTCTCTAATCCGGAGAGAATGAACACGCTTTGCGAAAACAGATCGAGAAACAGGAGATCACTGCCAAAGTGGTGCAAAAGCAGCTGTCCACTCAGGTGGAGATCACAAATCGCGGATATGCCTCGCTTCTCACGCAGATGCAATTAAGGCTTCACACACGATTACAACATCATTCACTGACTTGTAACATCGCTGAAGCAGAGCCTACTTGGCATACAACTGCTGAGCACCGCAGCTCGCTGTGGCTCCGAGTGTATTAGACGCGGAGTAAGTAGTAGATTACAGTCAGGGATGTACTCGGTACTGAAGAATGCAAGAATACCGGCAGCTCTAACGCAAGGAAAGACGGAAGAATGCAAGAATCTGGAAGAAAAAGTTCGTTTGCTCACGAGCGAGATGGAGCTGAAGCAGCGGGAGTCCGCGGTAGAATTGAAAAAGCATCAAGTGGAGATGAAACAAAGGATAGACGAGAAGGAACTCGAAATCAAGGCGCTGCAGAGGTCGATAGTTAAGACAATCTTCACAATAGGAGAAAACGAAAGGAAGTAGTACTATAGTTTGAATGTTGCCTCTTTTTTCGACTTGTTTGTAGTCACAGTCTTTCCTCGCTTTGGGGCTTTTATGTATTAGCAGTTTTTGTTCTCCGCTCCAGTAGCTTTAATTTCTGCCTTTCTCTTGTGAGTTTGACCTCACCGTCCACGGCAAGCATCTGGCCACCTCGTGTAAAGGTGACCTCACCGTCCGCGGCAAGGCTAGAAGTACCCTTGTTCTAACAGAGCTGATCATAAACATGCGAGTGCGGTTACGGAGAGGGAGCTCCAGAAGAAAATACAGGATGCTGAATACATCGTCGATCGGAAGGAGGAAGGTCTACAGCGGCTTATCGACGATAATACGAAGTTGGAGCAACTCGTGGAGGCAGAGAAAAATCGAGCCGAAGGTATGTCACTCTCACCGTTTAGTAACTATGCTTTCTGTATCCGTGGTGTTCTCTTTTATCGCTCGTCGAAATCCACCACGCTCCCTGTTTCCAAGAAAAAAACGACCTCACGGACGCTGGACTCTGACATTTGTATTTTTCTCGTGAATAAGTTTAAGTATAATCCATGAATCAATTTTAACCTTTATTATCACCTCCCGCCCTCGCAGGTATCCGAGCTGACGCGGAAAAACGGGTCCACGAGTTTGAAGAGAGGACGAAGGTCGTACAATTCAGCTACAAGGAGAAATGTGAGGAGAACGACAGGTTGGAGCAAATAATAGCTGAAAAGGATCAAGAAATTCGTGGCCTAACGAATCGAGACAGCGACTTCGACCCAGAAAAAGACAATTATGGAAGAGAGAGTTTTCGCCATTGTTCCATGTACTATCACGTTCTATTGTATGTGCTACACCTCTGCGTCTGCTCCACTGGCGCTGCTGTCAGCACCTTTCGTGAAGGCACAGTCAAGGCACAATATATGATCCTATCCTATGTCTTAGCAGTCTATAATAAAGCACGCTCACGCTCACCTTCTTTTCATGCAGTACAACTCGCTCATGGGTAAATCCCGCAGACTCCTCCTCTAACCCCCGAAAGCAGCTCTTGCGGAGCAGAAGGAGGAATTCGACGAGTTGCTGAAGAAGAAGGAGGAAGGATTTCAGCACTTGATTGAGGATTTTTCCCTGATGGATAAGAAGAAGTCTGAGGAGCTTACGTTACTGAAGGAGAGCACGTTGCAGATGCGACAACAGCTAGAAGAAGAGATGAAGCTGACGAAACTCGAACTCGTCACAAAGCAGACGCTGCTAGACGAACAGATAAATTACGGTTGGAGGATGGTTGGCAGATGTACGATGACGACCAAGATGATAATTTCTCACAACACCTGTAACTGATTTGATGACGCTTTGTTCTCTGAGGAGGAACAACAAGAACAACAAAATATGTATTCTGTTACCGTCGTCCGTGTCCTTGGTAAATCTAAATTGTCTTCCTTGATGATTACTTACATACAGCTTTAGATCTTGTGACTTCGTCCGCTAATTCAAAGAGGGCGCGGAGGAGCGAGCTTTCTGGCTTGACAAGTATGAGAAGCTTGAAGCCGTGGAGGCGGAGGCACGAGAGGGTTTTAAGCGTAAAATTCGGGCTTTGGAGGAAGAGAGGGACGTTGCAGTGGAGGCCATGAGCAAGCTGAAGGAGTACACTGATGATGTGAAGCAGAGGGAAGCTACACTTAAGGCTACCTCTAATCCATCTCGTCCATAGAGATCCCAGGATTAACCGCATATTGAACTTTACTCTATAGGCATCCAGAACCTGACCTAGCCTAACCTAATCGGAGCAGGGATCTCCACAGGGATGAACTACTAGGGATCATAGCGCTAAGACACGCAAGGACGAAAAAAGCGGTGAAGTCGCTACGCTTATGCACAAGATACGCCGTCTGGAGCAGCTAATCAAGGACACCAATGTACAGGCTGAAGAGGCAGTTAAGAAGAAGGATGGCGAGGTCCAACGGTATATGGCGCAGATAGCAAAGCTGCAGGAGCAAATAACAGTAGCGAAGAAGCGTGAAAGAGACATAGACTTCATGTGGGAAGAAAGGATGCGGGAGAAAGAAATCGGTGCGGGGAAGCTACTAAAGGAACTGTCGGAGCTGAAGGAGGAGTTCGTTTTCGCAGAGCAAAAAGTCACAGAGGCACAAGCCAAACAAGAAGCAGCGCAGAAAAAAATGCGACTTGTACTTTCGTTGGTTATATTTGATGGGCTACAACAACAACTTATTCTAGCACGTGGATTCTAGCACGTTCTTTGAAAAACTATGGTATTCAATGTCCACCCCGCACTTGTACGAAGGTGAGCATTTTGATGACCACGACTCGCGGCGAGGTCGGGAAGAGACTCCCCTAACTAGATATTGTCAGCAAACTTTGATGTCTTCCATCTTCAATTTGTATCGCAACCATTTGTACACGACTCAGATCGAGGCGCAGCTCGCGGAGGAAATCAAGCAAAAAGAGGCCGAAATTGTGCGACTAGGTGGCGTCATTCAGAAGCTGAAGGAGGAAGTACAGCGTGAGATTCAGCGCCAGAAGGAAATAGAAGATTATGGCTTCACGTGCGACAGAAATAGAGATCACGTCGGTCTTGTTCTTGTGCTTACTATTTATAAATACTTGATATCCAGTCCGCATACATCGGCGTTGACCATACTCAGTGGTCGCTTGATCCGCGAAATAAAAAGGCGTGAATGCAGTTTCTTTCTTCCTCTAACCATAACTGTGGAAGCGTCGTCTTGCGGAAGCAGAGGAGCGTGAGCGTCTAGCGTTGGAGGCGAAGGATGAGCAGATTATGGAGCTGAAAGCTCTGCAGAAGAAACTGGAGAAGACTATTCAGGATCGCATCGCGGAACTCAACGATCTCAGAGAAGAGCTCGATGACTTAGGTACCGAGATGGAGGAGGAGATTCAAAGTCGCGATCGCATCATAGACGGTCTCAGAAACGAGATCACAGCATTAAAAGAGATGTACGAAGAGATGCTAGAGGGATTACGCGCAGAATACGCGAAGCTGAAAAAAACATACGACGAGGAGGTACTTGCTTCTTCTACTAAGGATATTTATATTACGCTGTACTTGTCTGGAATGGCAGTGGTTGCATTGAACCATTTTTGACTTACTTGTTCGTTTATGAACACAAGTAGATTCTCACACATTTACATTGTGTAACTAATCGACAAACAAAATCTTGCCATCCTTGTCTAGTTGCGATCTTCCCCCTCACTGTACCTACTCTCAACTTTTAGGTGGGAGAAGGTGGTGTTCAAGAGCAGAAGCAGAAGGCTGAGCGGCTGGAGAAGGATATGGCTGCTCTCCGTGAGGTAGTCGATCAGCTGAAACAGAAGATCATTGAGCTGAAGGCAATCATTCGCGAGAAGGACCTCGAACAGGACGAGCTTCAAAAAGAAACCATGGATCTCTTGTTTATCAAAGGTACTGCTGTCGAAGGAATGCACTGCTTTTGAGATACTTAGAAGATTGTAAAGAAACGCAAAAGAAAATGCATCGTCCTCTACATATCAATGCTTGCAGATACCTGAAGATCAAAATTGGAACTTCAACGTCGCACTCACAACACAAGCTACGCTTAAATTAGGACGGAAATCATTGAATCTGATTCATCGTATTGACATGGAATGCGTTTTTGAATCTTTTCCAACATTTCAGAAACCGCTTACAAGAAGCTTGCCGCAGAGAACGCGGAGATGTCCGATCAGCTGGAACAGTGGGAGTACAAGTTGAAGGAAGCGGAAATGAAGGGACAGAAGGACGCTTTTAAGATGAAGAAATACTTCGATCGGCAGCTCGCGGCAAAGGACTTCACCATAGGAGAACGAGACAAAACCATAGAAAAAAACAAAGAATGGGTACAACTGCCTGTTTCTTCTACATTTCAATTTTTGTTTTTCTTGGTTCAATCTCAATGATCTTGAGCGTTGTAGTATTTGTGAAGAAACCATCTAGCTTCATTCACTTGACATGAATGATCAAGTCATGAGATAACGTTGTCCCTCTGCTAGATGAATATGAAGACGAGCATCTTCGCACCACTCTATTGCTGGTCCTTCAAGCCGACCTCATGCTTAAATTCGTCCAAATGTACCGTCCACAGCTCGTTGAAATCGACCGGTGGAAGAAGGAGAATGAGAAAAGGCGCGATGAGATGGCGCAGATGGAACGGGACACAGAGGAAAAAATCCGCCAAAAGGAGGTCGGAATGCAATACTTAGTGGACGAAGTGAAAGAACTTCGCGGTGACTTACAAATTATGAAAAGCACAGATACAAAAAACACTTATTCTAGCGGTATCTATTCGGGTAAGCGAAGCCAAAGTCATAGGCAACAGATGGCTGCTTCGTCTCTATTTGATACCTCCAGACACAGCGCTGACATACTTCGACATAGTTTCGTATTCGTTGTTTTCATCTGTTTTTCCATCCTCGTGTTTGCTCCGTACTATTCGTTCTCTAAGATTTAGCAAGAAGAGGCATACGAACAGAAGACCGCGGCAAGGGAAAAAGAGGTGCGAGATTTGGTTTATACCAAGGAGGAAGAGTACAAGGCTCTCGAGCGGGATACGATACAGCTCCGGTCGGACTACAATCAGTGCAAGCTGGACCTTGCCGCTGCGATTGCCGATGGACAAAAAGTAGACCCAGAGAAAGTCAGGCTACAGAAACTTGCAGAGGACAATTAAGGCTTCTCGTTTTGGATGCAATTCTAGCTGCTTCTCCTCATCTGCACATACATACTTCAAGAAGAGGGTTAGTATTTGTTGTGCCGTATTCATCTAATGGGAATAGGGATACGGGTTGCTCACGAGTGAAAATGCGTCATCTATGTAGACTGAATTGAGTTTCAGACCACAACGAACAATTCCAATTCTTCCGTACGTAGTATCCCAGTCAAAATCAATGTGAGGAAAAAACGAAAAACTAGAAAATAATTTTGAAGTAGAAGTAGTTTTACTAGTTGTACACTTGTGTACCTAGTAGATCTGTCCATTCCTTTTTTAGCTCCTTCTCGTCTAAGATTACGCACTGACAATCGCGGAGAGCAAGCGGGCGATAGACGTCATGACGAAGGAGAACGAAAACGAGCGAAAGCGATCAAGGGAAGTCGAGGAGCAGTGCGCACGAGACATCAAGAGGGCGAAAAAGTCTTAAGGCAACCTTGTGTGGGTCTCAGCCAGAATCACTCTGTGGTATGATCGTTTCTCAGGTGACTATGTCCAGTTGTATCAGGGACACTAACATGAGATTACGAGCCATATACAGTAGGATGACTACACCAGCGATGATTCAGAATGCCTCGCGAAGAGGAACGAAGCACAATTCCGCAAGTCAGACTCTAAGAACCGGAGGAAACGGAGGTGAAACGGCGGGAGCATGCAGAAAGAGAGCTGAAGCTTGTGAAGGAGATGTGCGAAGAGCAAATGGTCAAAGCGGAGCTTATATGCAAGCAGATCGAAGAGCGTTATCGTGCCTTGCCGAATCCTTTCGCCGACGAGGTCGTCGAAGTCCGAGAAAGAGTCGAACAACAAAAAGCCGGTATTGGAGTGTTTCAGAATATGGAAAAGGGAACAGCTCTATACTTGAACAACTCATCTCTGGTACATACAGAACCATCATGTACAGCACCCCTAGCTTCTGGCGCAAGCAGTTGATACGATGAATAATCGTCTCTACCAGAGCTTCTCTAGCTCCACATAAGTCCAGCTGACTTCACAAAACATCATAAATGATCCAACTCGTCACGACAGGTATTGAGAATCTTCGACTGGAGAACGACACTTTGGTCCGCGAGCTTCAGCTCAAGACCAAGCAGTTTGCGGAAGACAAGCTCGAACTCGAAAAGAAACTGGTGTACGCGACGACGGTCCTGAACGAAGTATCGTCACTCGGCGCAATCCGCGGTCTCGCCGGATTCGACGAGAATGAGGTGCTAGGAGCGTCCGGAGCTGGAAGTCCTCGCGGAGGCAAAGGGCTTTTGGGTGGAGAAAAAAATGGCCTTCCTGGTTCACCTAAAAAAGGAAACAAACTCTCCGGAGGAGGGGGTGGAGGCGGATTCTCACCCGCTGATGCGCCGGGCGAAGGGAAGCAGGAGAAGAAAAAGAAAAAAGCCGAGAAAAAAGTACAAGTCCTTCCAACGGTGGACGAAGAAACCCGTTCGGAGGCAGCGGATACCGGCAAATCATAGTTCTTGCGAACCTCTGCTATTTCCTACGTGTTTAGGTGAAAAGTAGATTTCGAATCTACCGTGTAAACCTAATGACTTTGACTGCATCAAAACTTAATGAAGATCAATGAGAGAGAGGTTCCATCCCTCATCTCCTTCTTACCAAATGAAAAAAATCATCTTTATCTTACTTTCTGATATTGCGCGCTTTTCATTCAAGAACATTGCAGAGTTCGCTTACAAATATTTTCGATTTCTTGCTGACAATTGCCTTCATTGCTAGCCACACTAGCACGCAGGCATTCTGCCTGTCGGTTTCGTCTTTTTGTCGTGATTACTTATCTACTCTGACTGTGGTTCTATGTAACGGGTGTCGTTGCCTGCCGTTTTGGTATCCCCGTCTTGTCCAAGCATCATTGACTAATGCAAGACTACGCAGCCTAGGAAATTAAATCGTTGCTGAGATTCCGACAGTAGTATCGATAAACACAGGAAGTCATATAATTGTCAATTCTTCATTTCGGTCCCTCGACCAGCATGGTGGGGGAAGCATACAGGGCTTCCTCGCCCTCAACCTATACTAGGAGGGTCAGAGTCCCCCTGGCAATACAATTTCTTGAGCTATGCCAGTCTGTTCCCCCTGTTCCCTCTTGCCTTCCCGAGCTTAATGCATGATGGGGTATCCCCACAAAGTTCCATCCCCAAACAACCATTGGACGCTCATCAGCATCTAATAATGTCATGATACTAGTACGCTCAATCATCACGTTGTTACTTACATACAAACATCAAGAAGTAGGAACGCTGCAACCGTGGAGTAAGATGTGACAGCGAACTCGAGGAAATCCAGTGCTAGTGTTTGCCTCGGGGAAAGAAGTGCACCGCGTGCAGAATGTGAAAGACTGCTTGCGACGTGACGGAGAATCACTTCCTTCGGTCCGGATCACTATTGTGTTTCGCATAATTTTGTGGACATCTGTTGAGAGCCTTTTGATGAATTTTACCTCTGTTGATCTTCTTTTCTGTAGATACACTAAAAGAAGGACCGCCTAGCTGTGATTTTCTGCTCGGTCACATCAATTGCTACATCCTTTGATGAAAGAAATCCGCCCTGCTCAAGACATGCGGTACGGTACCCAGAAAGATATGAAAGCAGTGCAGTTGGGAATTTTGTGTTTCGATTGTTCTCTGGTAACTGTAGACGGATTATATTCCGCAAGCATATCTTGAATTTTTTGAATTTTGATTTTATTTTTTCTCTTCTTGTGCGAATGTGATTTCGAGGGTGTAACAAACCTCAGACCAACTCACTATGGCGAAAACACAACTTGTGGCATCGCAGTTGGGCGTGCCTGCCGAGCGGACAGGGAGTAAGCCATTCGATTTCGCCTCGCCGAGAGGGTTCGCATCGCCACTGACTTCACCGGCCGACCTGTTGGCACCATTTTTACCTTCAGGCTCGAAACATGATGAGGCATCTCAGAGGGACGCAGCAGAATGGCCGGAGAAGCCCAGCCAAGGTGTACTCTTGCATGCATCTTCTCTTCTTGTGCTAGCCCTGCTTAAGGGGATCGACTATACAATCGCACTGGAAAAACTAGGATTTTTTCGTCAAGAAAGTAGTTACTATTTGATGTGACTGGGAAGGGGAACCGTCCAATTCCAAAGGCTAAGACCACGGACCGAAAAGTTATAAAGCAATTTGAATCTTCACTGCAACAGTGTCCAAGGAGGAGACCGATGTGCTGTGCCGTTGGTGCTTCTTCCTACTCGTCACGTCGCCGTTTGGCGCGGGGGTCCTGACACTACCCTACACTATCACAGAAGGAGGGCTCGTCTTTTCAGCTTTTATATTCGCATTTTGTGGGTTACAGTCTGGGCTTTCGAATTTGTACCTTTGCCTTCTAGCTTATGAGGGTCGTGCCAACAAGTTCTACCCGATTTTGTTCGTTAAACAATTCACATCGTACAATGCCTGTGCAAGAAAGCTACTATGCTAGAAGCAGAAGTGATTCTATCTATCTCAGTAAGTGGAGCTTACGTATTGATGTAGAAGTTGGGTTCCATGAATTAGCATCGTGCAGATATAATAGCAGACAACCAGTACTGCAACGAGTGGGCGTTCTTGACGGTCCTGTTTTCATATACTGCGACATTTTTGTTGCAGTAAGTATGGGGATCTTCTTGAGTGCGTTGTGCAGAAGGTATTTGGCGCTGAAGACTATGCGGGAAGAAGCGGAACGCACGAAAAGCCCCAAGATGACTCAAAAGAGGAGAGAAACGAGCAGGAGAAGGCATTAAGACATGAGTTCAATTCTTTGATGGTATTTACATACTCAATCATAATGGATCTGCAGTCTCTAGCTGTATGTCCTAGAATTTAGCAGGCACAACTTGTACTACTGTCTACTTGAATCACGACTCTGCTTCCTTGTGCTGGTACTGTGTACTTGAGTCACGACGTCTCTACCTGTCATCTCTAATGGCAGAGGATGAAGAAGGTCCAACGGCGACAGCAGTAGTACGGCAAGTTCCTTCGTGTGAAATCATGATGCACATCGACGAAGAGGGTGAAGAGGACTCCGAAAAAGCCGCTTCGTTTTTGCAGGGTAGAGCCGCCAATTATGAATACTAGGTCATGCTCATGCTACATCTGGTACTGTGCTATTTACTACTACTAAAATATTCATCCGTTCCTCAACATCGTTGTTTTTTCTTGGCAGACGAGAGAAGATGAGATGAAAAAACTAGAATTAGCGGACAAAACACCAGGAATAGAATTTTCTGATCGATGGGTGAAATGAAATTTAGGTAAACTACGTAGGGCCTCAGCATTGTTAATTACGAAAACAAAAAGCAAGCTAATACCAATCGCTACTCGAGAGTATTCATTTTCTACTACTTTCATACCAGCAAAGCGAGCGACTCTTTTCTTGCCCGCGATGCCTCGACTACCTCTGCTGGAGGCGAGGAGTCTGGGAGCTGCTCCGGGTCATCCGGTGAACCTGAATATAAGCTCGTTCCTATGACAAAACCAGCCTTCTGTCGAACACTGTCTCAGGAGCAACTTTCTCAGAAAATCTATGATCTGCAGAGGACGACACCAACAACAGCCTCTGGTACAACTGCAGGACATCAAGACAAAAACAAATTAGGCTTCAGCTCAAGTGGAGTTCCAGGAGCTGCATTAGTCGTGAAGATGCGAACGGAGCGGTTCTTGGTGCAGAGCTTTGACATGATTATGTCTGCCATGACGTTGTTGGCTGTGTCCTCGTACTTCATGTTTCTCGCGGATTTCGTGACGGAGCTGTTGGCAGTCGCTCTGCCACCAGAGTCGCTACCCTCTCGTTCCACAGTGATCATTTATGGGTGTAGGGAATTCATCGTCTCCAAATGAGTCATCTGAGAGAGAGAGAAGAACACAAGAGGAGAAAGTGGCCCCCAGATGATCCCCGAGATGGATTCCCTATACCTCTAAGTCATGTGCCTAGGATGCGTCGCGCTACCTGCTGCCACCATCGACAAGCTGACGGAGTTGAAGTTCCTTTCGAGCTTCAGTTTGGGTTCGATGCTCTTCCTGATCGCAGTGGTGTTTGTGGAAGCAAGCTTAGGTCCTGCTTGTGGAGAAGGCGCTAGTGCGACTCTTGTGCTGCCCTCTAGTTCGGATCATGCGACATCCGCGGCAACAACGGGAAGCCCGTTGCAGCTTCTCGAAGTAGACTCCATTGTGCCGGTCTCGCCCCTGGAAGAGACGCAGGGAAGTGGGCTTCTACAAGGAGCACTAGAGGGCAGTGGTTTTGGCGAAAATATTGTCATCATGAAGACGGAAAATACAAGATCAACTACAACTACCTTGTCATTTTGGCCGCCAGTGTCTCACCTTTCAGAACCAAAAATTGACCCTGGAGGTCCGCCTCGGAGTACTCTTCTAACAACGTCAATTTAAGGGTAGGTTGAAGGTGTTCTTGTTACCGTTCGCTTTGCCTTTCTGAAGGGGGAAAGGCATAACGAAAGGGGTAAACGAACACCAAGAGCCTACCTCTATTAGATGCCTGGGCAGCTCTGGCCACTGACAGTCGCAGCAGGGACCAATGCTTACTCTGTGGTCTTTTTTTCGAATGTGAATCAGATGTGCTCCGTTGCCGTCGCAGCGGACGTGCTGAAGTCTGGGGTTTCCTCCTCACGACTCCGTTACCTTACCCTCACAGCGGCTGGCACGGTTGCTGCGCTTTACTTTGCCGTTGCCTTCGCTGTGTATTCGAAAAACGGGGCGCAGACAGACCCGAATTTCCTGGCGAACTACGCTGTCCATGACCCCGCTATCATCTTGTCGAGGTTGCTGCTTACCGGTACTGGTTTTATTGATTTACTCTTTAAAAAAGAGTACGAGGTACGATTGTTGGTTCGCGGCGTCGTCATGTAGACTACTTTCACAACACGAAATTTTAAAAGTATCGAGTCCTATGATGCAGAAGTAGAGCGCATTACAATCCCAGTACCATTTTTGAATCGACCGCCCTGAGGTTCATTCAAATCAGGTGTTCTTTTTCTCTCGGTGACGGTGGACTTGTTTACTGCTCGACAAGCAGTCGGGCGCATTCTTGGTGCCTGGTTAGGGCTAGACAGTCTTGACGAGCGAATATTCGTTAGGACGGCAATCGCGGTAAGCGTCGTATGCATCTGCGTCATGATTGCGTGTTGGGTCACCAACGTCGCGACTGCGATAAGCGTACTGATTCTGATTTCATTCTTGCAAGTACGTACTTAGATCCAAGCAAGAGTGTAGGGGTACAGTTTTTTCATGTTGCACCCACTCCTTCGACGGCGTTTTTGTCTTCATGTATCTCCCCGTCCTTGGCCTACACATCATAATTCATACCGCTTACCGGACGGGAAAATAACTAAGTACATCATGTCGTATTATATGGACAGGTAATCAGTTCTTTATTCGCTTCGTGCGTAGCCATGGCGGTGCCTGGCTTAATGGCGTTCGCTTGTCCGGAAGTCTCATTGCCGCTGCGACCCGTCGGTCCCGCTCTGCTAGTACTCCTCACTGTAGTTCTCTGGCTCAACATTTTTTCAGAATTTGTGCAAGTGCAAACTTCATAGGCAGATACCCCAATCGCTACATCGATACTGATACCCCAATGATCGCTAGATCGATGGTCGTCTCGTGTTGAAGAGATAGTATCTAATGTGTGATAACTTGTGAATTTGAAGGTCATGTACGTAGTATCGCTGTAGCTATTGCACGCAGCTTTTCCGCCTGGTGTCTCTTATTCTTATGGCGGCTAAGATTTGTTTTCTATTTTGCTTGCGAACTTATGGCGCGACATCAGCAGTGTTGGGTGGGGCTCTCAACGTCCTCCTCTAACATCGAGAAGCAAAATGTACTCTGAAGTCAAATGAAAGTGGACTCATTTTCCGCCAGCGTTGCTCGCGTAATAAAAGACATACAAGTTTTTCCACTAACATAAACTTAACCCACTGAATAAAGAAAAGTAGAACACAAGGACTAAGCTTAACTTTCCCGAGGCTACTAAAGTTTACTAAGTTACCTCAAGTAGATCAAAACAGTTATTTTTGAAGGCAATACCCCACGATTGGGTACACTACTACATACGTCTGTAGAAAGGAGGATCTTGTTCTATACTCTTGTACAATTAGTACGAGCATTTGGTTGATCCAAGAAGCTTACTTACCTATACTACCTACTAGTACGGTAAACGCACGACCGCTGCAGCTGTACCCAATACGCAAACTATCTACCATGGTAAATGCACCGCTCAAGCTCCTCCAACTTGCTGCCTCATACTCATAACTCTTTTATCAATCCTGTATTCCTCCACCTCCTTTTTCCCTTCCTGAAAGCAACTTCCATATTTTCACAGCACCATATTGCTTACTAGAAGGAACAAGATGCTGAATCATTTTCCTTAGCACGACTACATCTTACTTGTTTGCTTGGTGTCCGTCTGATTGTACTCTATACTACAGACCCTGTATGCACTGACACAGAATGGTGCCTGTCAGTCTTTCGATGTTCTTCCTCAGCATACAACATTTTCCCGCCCCCCTCAAAACTTAGACACGCATCTATCGTGATTGTTTTCATTATAGATTGATATTGCACAGACTTGGTGTACAGAGAGTGAGAGTAACGGTGTGTCTGCGACTCAAATGTCCTCCTCGAGGGGCACAGGATTTGTGATGCTTGTGTAGCCGGTTTTCGAGGTCGCATGCTCGTGGGCGACGCGATGTGTGGGATTGTCATGAAAGCGCGTCCCTACACGAACAGACGACCCGAAGCACCCACCATTTCTTTTACTGTGTGTAGGAAAAAGTTTCTGCTTCTGCGGGGGAGGTTAAAGAGACAACTTCAAACAAAAAGCTGCTTGTAGTTCGCTGGGTGACATTGGATTCCGAATTCTAGTGTGTTCTGAACGCGCGGTAGTGTCGTCCGACTTGCTGATACCAGTGCGCAGGATCGTCATCTTCTCGCCTCCGTCCACCTGAAATCAAATCTTTTATGCAGATGAGTTCTGATGAGAGTGAGACTCAGCACATTCCGCCTCCGATAATATTCGGAGAGTAACAGTTTCTGTCCACTTTTCTGCAGGTTGAGGATATGGAGAGATTCATCTATCTCTATGAATCATGGTTCGGTTCATAAATCGGTACATTTTCTCGGTGAATATTTTAGGTGGGGACTACGCATTATTTCTGATTTGTTTATGATGGAGGATGAAAGAACACGCACCCATATGAGATACGAACACACTCTCCCCACCTGCTCCCAATGCGTCTTGTACGATCATAGTTTTCCGTTGTTGTTAGACCACTTTTCGCCCTGATGCATATTGTCTTTCCTCGCTTAATATGAACTTACGTTTTTAGTATAGGACAAACTAGAAGAAGTAGCACCAAATCACATCCGTTGCTTCTCGAAATCATTCAAGGGCCTGACCTGGTTTTTATCTAAATGATGCACCGTCACGAAAATTTCAGAGGCTTTGCGGAGACGACGAGTGTGTTCGGGTCGCAGTTCAGTCTGTCATAGATCCAACATATTCACGATCATGTGATCTTGTTAGCTAATTCCTATCCTATCCTATCTATCAATCGCGTGTTGTCATAAATAAATGCGTCAGTATCTTTCTTCGGGATGGGGGATGCGTTTGCAGTAAGCGTTTGCAGAAACAACAGTTCGGGACCACGATTCTGAAGGATGTCATCGATTGCTGGCAATTTTTCAGCCCAGGACTCGGGTGGACGGGCAAGTGCGTCTTCCGAACAGAAGCGGCCAGGCGAGATGCTTGGTCGAAACGGACTTCCCCTTTACTTAAGACCACTCTCTTAACCACAGGAATATAACGGCTCTAGAACGAAAGTCGTTGAAGAAGATGCTGATTATCCCTCTCATCTGAAATGCAAGCGAGGATTTTTGCAATACAACGCGAACCCTAATCATGCGACTGAAGAATGTTCACGACGAGTCTTTAGTAGTGTTCTAATACTTACCGGCAATAGACGTGCTGAGGTGTTGGGACATTTTCTTGCTGAGTTTTGGGCTCCGCGCATGTTCTATTTTGCGTTTCTGCTATGTTTCGGTGCGTTCTCGTGGTGGCTATGTCCTCTCTTACTCGCACTCGGATTCGCGTTGCGTAGGCTGTTTGTGCAGCGGGACCACTTAGCGGCGCATCACCGCAACCCTCGCGACGACGTGCTGGAGGAGGAAACTTTCAAAGGAGTAGACAATCGTGGCTATCTGCGCTTTGCTGGAGGACCATCAAACGCAAGCATCGATTTGGCAACGAGGAGGTCGTCTGAAGAAGACTCTAATACTAGAACAGGAAGTCGAGAAAGTCATGATGAAGGGCCAGCAGGCGAGCAAGAACATCTTCACGGAGGACTGCAGGGTGAATTATCGGACAGGAGTCATGTTGACGCACGAAGACGAAGAGAGCAAAAGTTGGCGAGACTGAATCTGATGTGCGAGGTCGATAGCGGATACATCGAGCGAGGCCATCACGGCATGATGATCCCTGGAACTGGAAGTGAAGATGAAGACCTGGGAACACGCGAAAACGGGAGTCGCCTAGGCGCCTTTCGGGACCGGATGTTAGGCGCTTTTGGAGGCGGTCGAGGTCCGGCGAGTGCTACACCTTTCCAGACGAAGAATACCGCAGGAGTCGAAATGGTAGACACCGGATCCGGAAGTTCTCCGTCAGGAGCACTGAATATTCGTCTCGGTGCTGAACAGAGATCAGGCACATCCTCCTCGGGAACAGCACGAGGTGCAGCAGCTTCTGAGACTTAAGGGTTGGAAGTTGACATCTCTATGCGCATCTTTATGGCTTCTTCAAGTAGGAAAGCCATAGATATGCGAGCTAGAGCGGCCAACTTTCAACCCCCTAAGAGACGTCATCGCAATCGAGCAGCGCACGAAGGCCCCGCCCGACTCCTCTGTCGGATGATGCAGGACTTTTGCCCGGTAGTCACCCTGACTGGTTTCCGCTTCCATGTCGTTCACCTCTCACCACCCATGAAGGGGACATCCTCTCGCCTTCGATGGCCAGGGAGCAGGCGTTCTTTGGCGACCTGGAAGATGTGGATCTAGAGGGCGGCCAGCAGCAAGGAGAGCACGGAGGGGCGTCAGGGTCTTCTGCGGACTGTGGAGTTTCTCGAGGAGGACCTGCTGCACCCGGTGAAAGTATCACCAACAATTACATGTTTGTGACCGTTGGTCGACCGTTGCGCTCGGGCGGACAAGCCGATTACAAAAAGAATTATAAGAGTGCTTCGGGGAATGATGTAGTGCAGAGCACAGGTCACGGCGCTGTTCAAGAAAACAGCGGAGCCCCAGGGATGCTACTATCGCATTCCGTTCGCGAAGGCCACGACGATGAGAAGCGCTCATTGCTAGACGCGAAGGTCTATCGCGAATACAGGCGCACGAATTTGTATTTGCTCGCTTCGCGCTTGGAGCTAGTGCGTTGCCTTTTCTATGCAGTGGGTCTGCAGAGCTGCTGCTGTCATCTACCTGTCGTCCTGATCGTGCTCATGCAGATTCCGCAGTTCGTACTGGAAAAGAGAAATTTTGATTTGTCTTTCCACCGTCCCGCGGCAACGGAGGCTTCGCTGTCGGCGAGTGAGATCGCGTGGCTCTCGTCGCACCACCCGGAAGGAAACGGCCCAGCGAACTCCGGTTCCGCCGTATGGCAATCTTCGGGAGGATCCTCAGTCTCGGGAGATAGTAGCACTTCCAACAGCGTCTCGCAAGGAGCTTCCGGGGCTGCGTCCGGCTCAACGACCACGGGAAATCAAAACAGCAACGCCAGTCAGAATCAAGGTGGACGAGAGCAGCAGATAGGAGCAACGACGGCACCGACGGCGTCCACTGCAGGCACATCTTCAGCGTCAGGGGCTGTAACTACATCGGGTGGGCTGCGCACCGACTGGGATGATGTACTCACCGACGCGAACGACCCATGCAGCAACTTCGATAATGCGGGAACCTGCCCTGTGAGCGTTGAGTTTCAGAGCACCTACCTCGTGCATTGCTTGTGGAAGAAAAAGCATTGTGGCCGAACTATTTGGCGCTTAGATCCGGTTTTGGAGAAGGAATATCTCCTAGTTCGATACCCAATGCGTTCGTGGGGTGCAGCCTTAAGCTACTGTCGTGATCAACACAACAGTGATTTAGTCCAGATCAAAAGCGCGCACACTCAAGACTTCCTGTTCAACGAAGTGATAGACTGGAGCTTGGATCGCATTTGGGCTGGCGCTTTGGTATACGGCGAGCGCTGGCAGTGGTTGGACGGTGCGGGCTTCGATTCCTATGCGAACTGGTGTCCCGGAGAACCGACCGGGAGTCACAGCGGTCGCGTGGAATCGTGCATGGAGATTTCAGCCAACTGCGCTTTTCGGTGGAACGACGTCCCTTGCAGCATTCACGCGGCTTTCATCTGTTCTAGAGACAAGGTGAAGCGGGATCGCGATCGCCGAAGCAAAGTATCCTCCGTACAGCCGTCATCGCCCGCACCGCAGCTCACTGGTGGTGGCGCCACTAGGCGGCTCAGTGCACCGAATACAGGCGCAGGAGAGACGATGGATGAACACGAGGCTGTAGAAGTAGGAGAAAGCAAAGAGTCTAGCACTGCTTTAGTTGTACCAACATTGCACGGCGAGGAAATGGTCGATTCCTCTACTTCGGTGCTTGGACAGGACGTTTTGGAGCATTTCTGGAGTAGCGCGAACAGGTTTGACCATCACCAGGTCGTGGGTCTATCATCACATCAATCTGGAGATCATGAACAAGACCCAGAAGGAGACGCAGAGGAACCAGGAGCTCTTTCTCGCCAGCTTAGTGCAAGACCCCGCCCTTACTGCTTGAGAGTGCGAGCTTCGGAACACTTTATGATGGAAGACGATGTCATCCACGGTAATGGCGAAGGAGCAGGCGGAAGACTGAGGGTCGATGCGATTTATGCGACCGCAGCACACCTAAGGCCTTCGTCCCTCGTTGGAGGAGCGTGCTTGCGTGCCACATATGTAAGCAGCCGATTTCTGTGGCCGGTGTCGGAGTTCCGAATTATTGGTGATATTGGGATGGAAATCGTCAAAGGCGCAGGTCGTCCAGGAACGTTTTCCTTCGACCACTACCGGGGAGGAGCCTCTAATGCTTATGAAGTAAAACAAAGAATGAGAATTCATTGCATTTGAATATGCCACTGATTGATGTTCGTCTTAATGTCCCTGCTAGTAGACCCGGTCTACTTGCTACTCGTCTCTGTACTTCGTGTGGTTGTGCTTTTAATCCAACAAACTCGGAATCCTCTAATTCCCTGGAGATGTTGATACGGTCTCTCGGGACGGGGATGGTTTCCAGTTCGCAACACAGGGAGCAGGCGGGAGTACAACTTCGCACGGAACTCACGATCACCGTGGGGTCAGTGTTCTCAACTACAACATGGGTGCGAAATGCCTCTACAGAGACCCGAAGCTAATGATACAGGTAGAAGCTTTCATTTGCGTTAATGTGTGATATTGGGTGTTTAGATTAGGTGAGACGTACTTGTTGTTGTCCTTGATGTCATCTGGCTCTGGCAGAGAGGATCGACGAGCCCCGCAAGGAGATCTTTGGCCAGATATTTTCATGACAAAAGATTCCACGATGAAAGATTCATTCAGATTCAAATTGTCAACGAACCGCACCACACCAGGACAATTCTCCGATCTACCTCCGCGATTGCGATTACCGTGGTAGTTATAACTCGAACGTGTGGACAGTGATTTCTCGACTACATCGGCTTCTATGGCCTGGCAATGCATTTGGTGACTTATTCGGTGGCTCGCCTCGCTCTCACCAGAGCTACAGGTCAAACTTCGACCACAGAAGATCGAACGAAAAACGGGATAAAGGCTATGAAGGGGCTTGTTTGACTTTGAGTGTGTGTTACTGTTATCCTTATCTTCCCGGTGAAGGGACTTGTTTGAGATTGAGTGTGTTATCCTTATTTTGGAAGAGGACGTCTCCTTGCAGGAGGCTGTAGTTTCTAGCTACGATCATAGATGTATGTATGACTAAGTAGCTCCGTCCACAAAACTGCACACCCTGACCTTCGATGCTGAAAGCGCTAAAAAGGTAAGACGAAAGCAAATGACGAGGAGAATCAAGGCGCGTATGACTGGTCACCGGGCCATTGGATTGATCAGAATATTCTTGGGTCAGGAAGGCTAGGAGCTGATCCTCCAGATGCAGCAACACTAGACAACAGCGCCTCTGCGTTTGTGAATGCAAGAAGAACAGGAAACTTCTTACTGGAGAACGTTCAATTCACGACAAAACACGATTACAAAAGCAATGGAAGAGTCCTTTTGATGGATCACGTACTAGAATTTGACTTTTTTTGTAGAAAACTACCTATCCCTATGCAGCGGCCATGATGGCTTTCAAGTTTAACGTCTGTACTCTGCAAACAAATTGAATCGATAAAAATATGAAAAAATTTTGTTTCACTTTCAAACCCAGGGTATCTCTGCCTCCGGCATCGGTGGTTCCACATTTTATCTGGGTTTCAATGCGCAAAGAGGCGGTCGTTTGTGTCTGGTTCGGGATCGAGCACGGGCGCTCGTTTTTCCCGACCTGCATCATTCATTGGATAGTCCACGCGATTGGCCTGCGACCTTTCTGGTCGTGCTCCCGCAGTTAGTAAGTCTCGGTATCTGTTTCGCGCTGATGTGGCACGTCTACTACGGCTTGTGGCTTCTCAATCGCTCAGAGCGTAAGGTATATGCTGGAATAGTCTCAACGACCATAGCTGGGGAGAATGCACTTGGTGGAGATCGCATGTTGTCATCCCAACAAGCAACTTGGCAGAGCAACAACCTGGAAGAGGGCGCCTTTGGCTCACCCCAGCAAATTGAGGGCTGCAAGTTGACCTATCATCTAGAAAAAATATATCTGTGAGAACCCTTTCTTTTTCAAAGCTTAAATGGATACGATCGACAGATATGCGAACTAGATACATGGGTCAACTTGAAAGCCCTAAGCAACGGGCAGATAGCGGTAGTCCTGTGAGCAGCGGCGGCTCAGAACTTCGCGGGCGTGCTTCAGATGCGCTTCGATCTGCCGCAGCAACAAACAACAAGGCTACTCCACATAACGCGTCCTCGACATCGAGTGGAGAGCTGGAACTAAACATGCCACCAGAGGTCACTGTATCAACACCACGGGCAGAGGTGAATGTGCTTGGTCGGTCGATGATCTACAACACGCCCCCTGCAGCGTCTCGAACAGATGCTCTAAATACCTAGCAGATCATACGAACACTAGTACTAGAGATTCGCGCGATCGATTATCATGCACATGCTCAGGTATCTATAGGTAATCGTCAACACCTTCTGCTATACCGATTGTATTCATGTACTCACTGCCAATTCTGAGGAGATGAACGAGAGGTACAACAACGAACAATGATTCATAGACTAAGTAATCATGCGATCTTTAACATCATTTTGTAGACCAAAATAGATGTGTTCGTCTGACGAGGCGAGTCGTCATCCGAAAAATAGGTTCTTCAATCCGCTCTGTGTCTGTGTGAGACTAGCACCAATACCGGTCATAGTCGGTTCATCAGGAGAAATGGTGTGTCTGAATCTCAGCTCCTCTACCTTCGTTCTACATGTGCAGAAAGAAGCACTCTATTTCCTAATGTCAAATCGACTCTAACGAGGATGAGACCACGAGTATAAGATGAGACATTGTGTGGCAAGATCGCCTGTCAAGATCCTAGATGAAGGAAACACGGTTCGTATGGTTAGTTATAAAGCGTGAAAAAGATCCTGAAATGACAATGAATTCAATCTCGATCGCTGTTCTTCAAAAATTTTTTGAGAAATCAAGATCCTGAATCTGATCTCAGTGCACCGTGCTGGCTTGTCGCTTCGTTGTCGTCGTTGGTGACTGCGATGGTCTAGCGGCGTCGTAGTGAGCGTGGTTTGTTAACGGTCGGTAAAGTCGTCAACATGATGTACGTTTCTGGATGAAGATGTAGCTACTCAATGTAGTCCATCGAGGTCGTGTTGATGCATTTTTTCAGATTTTTTACCTTTGTTAATCCGAGCATGCATCCCAATTCCAACAACAAACCATCTGCAGGACTTGCAACGATATTTTTTTTTTTGTAAAGTTTCTCTTTGTATTTTCATGTCGAACGACGCCCACGCGATAAAAGAACTAGATCTTTAGAAATTTATTTGAGCAACCTTACTCAACAAACTACTTACCTCCAGTTTCCCTTTTTTTAGAGCTTCAACTTACAACTGACTATCATCTGCTACATTTGGTTCCTCCAGCCTATCCGTATGTATGTTGGTAGCCCAACGACCCTAAATCTTAAACAAGAGAAAAAGATGGTGATCCCCACGTTGGACTTGCTCCAACGTGCACTCTCCATGAATGTTCATTCCTCTTCGAGAAGAATTGACGGTGACGATGGATACAATTCGACTGAAGACGAGTGGCGCAGATCGGTCAGCCTCAACGACGCAGGGAAGTATGTAGAGCGTAGCTGCCACGAACACGAAGAGGCAGAATTTGACGTTCTGGAAGTTAATACCGACGAAGAGGACAACGACATCGACAATGACAATCTTCATATCACCGGTACTACTCGTCGGCCCACCACCTCCAACGATGTTTTCATGACCACTTCTGAAGAACTAGAAGAGGGAAGAAAAACGCCAATTTCCTCGTCGAATACGCGAGCGCCATCTCCGAGTACGACAGGTAGTTCATTGAGTACGCACCGTTCGAACCGCATTGATTTGCAATTATCTTGTTCTTCTTCGCGAGCTTCCTCGTCAAGAAAACATCTGAGTATCCAAGGTCTCCGAGATCTTGAAAGACATGAAAGAGAAAGAGAAGCTGTAACTGGCGCTGGCACGACCGCTACCACGACTACAACATCTATCTCCGAAGATGCTAGTGAGTGCGATTCCCTTGTTGATTCAGGCGAAGACATCTCCCCGAGTAGTAGCATTGCCTCCCCGATTTCAGTCAGATCCCAGCCGACCAACGCTGATGACGATGTAGGTACTGGCAAGCACATGTCGTGCGACGAATTTCTTGCTAATCTGCGTGCTTGCAAACAGAGGACGGAACAACTACGAACTGGACGACGATTAGAAGAATACCAACACAGTTCCAGTTCCTGTACATCAACTTCCAATACTGCTAAACATCAAAGTAATTGTAATAAAGCAGGATTTTCGAGCACGAGAAGTACTCCAGCCGCCGTCCGCTGTAGTTCTAGAAGAAGACGTGAAAAAGAAATCATGTCCTCCAGTCAAGGAGGCCGAAGCAGTGCTAGTACTATAGCACCTGGAGGTAGCGGTGGGAATAGTAATGTTTCTACTGCTGAAAAAAGAAGAAACTCCGTCGGAACAAGGAATGTTCAATGGACACCAGAAAAAAAGTATCGCAATAGTGCCACCCCACTTTGGTACTTCGGTTTTGGCAGCAATGTCAATCCGGAAAAAATGAAGCAGGCTCGGAAATTACGTCCCCTTGCTTCCGCCGCCCGCGCGGTGCTCCCAGATTATTCGCTTACGTTCACCCACAGCGTGTACGGCTACGGCACCGTGATCCCGAGGACAGAGTTTGATAGACGTGCCAGTTCGTACGAAGCGATATCATCTGCTTCTTCAAAAAGTTTGTCGGAAAGTACACCTTCGCCCACACCCTCCTCAGCATCGAATTTTTCAACGAACATTTCAACTCCAGCTCTTTCTACCACCACAACTCCAAGTCCCGACAGAGCATCCGAAGCAGAGACGCCGAATAAATCCTCCACGACGAATCCGCGTGAGGTTCACGGAGCACTGTGGCTCCTTTCGCCTGCTGACTTCGACATTCTCGTGCAAAGTGAGTATTTTTACGATGTGATTGAGGTCGAAGTGCAGGTGTACGCTGAAGACGCAGATCTGGTGACGCAAGTGGAAAAGTCGCATAATCTCGTTTACAACCAAAGAGGTCAAGAAAGTTCTTCAGCTTGGAAAACGGTACGCGCTTTGACTTTTGTCACCTCCAGACACGTGCCGGAAGCTCGCGCCGCCCCAGGCACGAGACCGACAGCACGCTACATATCTCTTATTAGCGACGGGGCACAGGAAATTGGGCTCCGAGGTTCCTACTGCAATTGGCTTCAAACTATCAAGCCGTGTGATCGAAGCCAATACTCCTGAGAGCTCCGACTTTTGCTCCTGCGCCCTCTGGAGAGTGAGTGGTCATGTCCATCTTGGAAATTCACCTTGATGATGACCTATTCCCTAATACAGAATTGCTTATCCTAAACCTAATAGAGAATTATCCCAATAGATGATTATCCTGAGAGATGATTATCCTAATATACATAGAGAATTCTAAGTATATTTATATTTATAAGTAGTTGGCTATAAATATGATCCTAAAAGAGGATCGTCCTGGGTGGTGGTGCGTCTTCTTGAGAGAGTTCTCTGACCCAATCAACCAGACCTTTTTCTTCATCCTATAATTACACGTAGTACTCACTTATTGACGTTGTGAGACTTAAAACAGTTTGTGATTCCACTACGTTGTCCCTGTTAGATGAACACGCATACGCACCATACGCACTAGCTATAAGCTCTTTCATAGCAGAGCTCTATTTAACTATTGAAATGGCGACTCAATTGAAAAGCATGATGTGATTCCTGCGCAGCATGATGTGAATGTGACACCGAGTAAAGGTTCTTTCTTTCGATTTAGAACTAGACTCGTTGGGAAAGAATTTTCTAGCTTTTTGGTCTTCTAGATCTTTTTTTTGGAAAATCATCTACGTTTGATTGACAGAGAAGTATAAGTAAATCTTAAGAAGTGAAGTAACTACAGCAATTGGCTATGTATGGTATCCATAATCATTAAGGTTCATTATTGAACTTTTGTGATTCTTGTTGTGAAAATGGGTTGAATTACGACGACGAATTTGATCTCGCAAGAGGTTTACACAGTTCCGGGAGTAAATACAACATGATCCTAGTAGTGATACAAGTTAGTACAACGATGAAGACGGAGTCCATATTTTTGTGTTCGAAAAAATTGACACCAGATAATGTGGGGTGCTCTCTGTGCTGGTTGGGGAAGTTCTTGCCGTAGTCGCTTCCGTTCCCTGAGTTGACTCATAAGTTTCACCTGTAAGGAGGAATGTGGTACGAATTTCATCCAGAGAGCGACCTCTGTTACTCATCGGTCAAGGACACTACAGCACGCTTACTACAGTAAAATAGACCAAGAACTTCAAGTATGCTCTCTTCCAGCAAGTAGAGGTTAAGACTTCCTTAATGAGGCCATGGATCTTTACAAGAATATCTTCAACAAGCGGGATGTTGTTCCGTAGCATGTTTGTGTGTAGGTATGTGACCATGTGCACCGAATTTCGGCGTTCGTCGTCCCGTAAAAACCTTTGTTTCTCGCCACTTAGAACTAGACACATTTTTTTTGCGTAATAGTAGTCAAGAAGAGTGAGACGTAGTTCGGCGTCTTGGCCCGGATGCCGCGCCCTTTCGGTCCCCCTGGGACGCGACTGCTCTGGGCGAGCTCGCCTCTGCCTCGCGCTTCTCTGTGTTAAGTTATGGCGAGTCATATCGCGACCATACTAACACCAGAAGACTGATTCGGCGCCGCATACGACTCTCGCGCTGCATGATGTTGGAGATCCGCGCGGCTTCCCATAGTAACTAACTAACTAACTAACTAACTAACTAACTAACTAACTAACTAGTAGGCAAGTAAGAATAAGAAGAGCAAGAGTGGAATCATATTGATTATGCGACATATCTAGCCTTATCAGTGTGAGGCGAAGCACGCCCATGTACGTCTGCCTTTACGTTTTCATGTAGTAATCAACAATATTAATATCAGCACCAAAAAGTAATATAACATATCATGTTCTTCTTCCTTCTACCCAAAGAGAACTAGATGTGACGAAATCGACCTATGAGTAGTATGATGAGGTTCTTATATAGAGATAGGGTTACGACAATTCCTTATCTCCTCAACCAAGCTTTACGTTGGTTATCACTTCTTCTCAGAAAACTTTAATTTATGGCGTGGATGCGTGGAGCCATCACTAGCACACCAGAGTCTGAAGAACGGGACTAAGATGAGAAATATGGTCGCTGTTCCCCTCGCTGTATAGCTCAAGGTAGAGGTGAGTGACCGACTGACAGGCAATTACAAGAACACGTCGGTGAACGATGGAAATTTACCACAAAAAGCCGGGAATTTAATATAGATCGCGCGATTTCGGAGAGAGCCTTTGTGACGATTTTGATAAAACTTACGATGGCCGCTGTTGCAGATCAGAGAGTGCTATAGAATTCTGGGAAAGAATCATCTCGCATCCAAATGAATCCATCGGACTGATGATCGGTACGTAGTCGCGCTGTGTCGTCATGTAAAAATGCACTCACCGTTCGGTCTTCTATTCGATGTACGTCAATGACGCGAGTGACGAATCCCCGTGATCAAGCTTTAAATACTCCACGCTAGAAAAATGTATGAAATCAAATATATCCTTGATTCAATACTCAACAACGTGATACGCAGTGACGACAGCTGAGATAAAAATTATGATTCATATTTCGATTCAGAATCGGCATTGCGACATCATTGTATTGAGCCATGATCTGGCATTTGCGATATTGTCTTGGTAGGTTCCCGTCGTGATTGTGTTCTTTGACATCGACGCGTCTGAGAGGTGTTGACAGAGACGAAAATGGCCTTTTTTGCAAACGGAGGACCGCCATCATCGAGCTCAAGCTCGTCCTCCGCGGGTGGACCGATGAGCACCCGGGGTCGAACATTCGCCACTAAGTTCACCTACGCACCGTCAGAGCCCCGACTTAAGCGAGATCCTCTGTCATCTACAGGAATTGGGTACCACGCGGGGGGCTTTTTTGACCGCGAAACGCTGACGAAACGGGCCTTTGGGCTTGGGGCCGGAGGTGAAGCAGGAAAGAAGAATGGTGGGCAGCAGACTACAGAGCAAGATAAAAGTAGGGGAGGCGTTGAACAACTAGTACATCAGACTCAGAGAGAAACTATCAAGGTAGGTGGCGGTGCTTCGACGACTTCAATCGAGTCTCTGCAGGCGGATTACGAGCGGCTGGCGAAAAAGATGGACGCGCTGAAGAAACAGCATGAGCAACGTCTTGTGCTCCAGTCCTTCGCAGAGAATCCACGGAAACCGATAAATGGCGTTTTCGCTCATTATCGGAAGAAACGTATGAAATGGACATCTTCGGGTGACCCGACTGCTGTAGTACAAGAACAACTAGGTGCAGGTGCTAAAGAAAAGAAAAACGGAGGAGACCGTCCGCTAGAACAAGCAGAAGATCTTCTGGATCCTGCAAGAACATCAAGTACCCCTCCACCTGGCGACTCAAACAGAGGTAAGAATGTGAACAAGCTGAGCGCATCGCACCTAACGTTTTCTCCACAAGAACGACGTCCTTCATGGGTCCAAGCACCAGCAACGTCCAAGAACGCGGGAAGGAAATTTAGCGTGAGTGCTGGATCAAGCAAATCTAGTATCCACCATCATGGAGACCTCAAGATGAGCTCCCTACAAGCTTCACCCATCCCAGACGAGTCGTCATATCGAGATCCTGTGGGTGGCGCTTCTCAGCTCCGGAACTCCCGTAATTCGAACGCCTCTGGAGCTTTACATTCGAGTGTTGTTGGCCTAGGGACGATGAAGGAAGGAGTTGAAGATCTTCACCAACATACCTCCAGTGGAAACGAAGATGCCCAAGATGGTCGTCAAGGCGCTGTTGGAGCCGAGCAGGGAAAGAAACCTGGTCTAGCCGCTAAGAATTTCCATCTTGGTCTAGAACAGCGAATTCTCCTGACGGCGACGCGAGAACTACATTCTCAACGGAATGCGAATATCCGAGAAGCCGCGGAAGAAATCTCTGCCGCGTTACGTACAAAGCGGTTTGCGCGTCTACATCTCGAGGAGTCAACCGCCGACTACCTCGAAAATGTACAATTTTGGGCTTATCTCATCCAGTAATTGATAGATATTGATATTATTGAAGATTTTCTGGGGAGTTTCGTTTTTCTTCCACCTGCAGTGCCTTCTAGGTACATTTCCAATCATATTCAAGTGTTGTTGCTATTGTTTTAGAACCAAGTACAACTTCCTTGATGGTCCATCGAAGCGAGCAGACACGAGGAACAGTGGTATTGCTAAAAAATATAGCGACTTGAAAAAAATGGTTTTGAACAACATCATGTAGTCGTGATCAGCAATGGTATTGCCACTGGAACTCGACTAGGTTGTAAACCGGTGGCCGGTTTGGTATACGAAGGTTCAGGAACTTCGCGACGACTTGATGCACCACGGAGAGCGCCTGTCGACGTTGAAATGGAACGCAGAACATTGTAACGAGGTTTTGGCCGTCCAACAGGGACTTCAAGTTTTCCGGCAACAAGTGGAGCAAGAGATTGCAGCTGCTGACGTGCATGAACTAGACGACTTTGCTTTAGATTTTGACGTAGTTGCGCATGGTCACGGCAAGGAGGCACCAGGTAAGGATGGAACAACAGGTGCGGCGGATGAGGATGAGGCTGAAAAAATAAAGGGCGGCGAGGAAACGCCAGTCGTGCCTGCATTGAACTTGAGTTCTGTCCTGGATCATGTGAGCCCCGCAGCACTGAAGCCACAGAGAAGGGCAGAACTCGAAGACGAAGACGTGAAAATGAAGAGTCCGCACGCTGACGCGCTCCTGCCGCATGGCGACGAGGGAAAAACGCTCAAAGCGCGGACTATGAACGTTCCACCACCTACTTCATCGCGACAGTTTCAGGTGCACCAAGGTGCGAATCGTTTCGATCCGCTTCAAGCAGCGGATTACATGACTGCTTTTACTCAGCCTCTGGACGCGCCTGGGTTTTCGAAGACGCAAGAACTGAGAAAGGCGAAAGAAGATGCGAAAGCGATGCGCACCGGCCTCCAAACAATGCGCGAAAAATTGCGGTATCTGGAAAACCCGAACGTCGACTACCACTGCCGGAAAGATGAAAAAGGCAAGGATCATCTTCGTGTTGAAGATGACCAAAACCAAAACGCTGCCACTTCTGCCCAGTCAAAAAGCGCGACACAGCAGGAGGAGCAGCATCTATCTGATCGTGATGCCGCACAAATCAATGGCGGACGGAAACGAAAGCCGGAAGGCGAGGCCGCGGACCCTCAGCTCCTAGATGGGCTTTCGACTTCTCCGGCGCAAGCGCCTTCTTTAGCACGGACAAAGTCCGCTGCGGCGGCGCGACCTTCAGGGCAAGAAGCGGGTGACACGTGTGTCGCGATGAACCCTGTCTACGCTGAGGTCGGCGATATGCCGCGCATGGACGTGCCGCAGATCAGTCCGCGGTCCGCTGGACAGGTCGCTCGTCGCTTGGGTTCACCACGAGGGCCGCGCCAGGGTAAAGCTGAGTTCCTGCCAGCAGGAAGCGTGCGAAGTCAACATGTGGCGCCAGACGAGGATAATCTGGACAAGACTGGACTTACGTCCGACTCGGACGAGGAGGACATAGTTGCAACAAACGCGTTGAAAGCTGACCAAACGTCTAAAACAAAAACGCAGGGAGTTGCACAGCACTATATAAGTCCGTCAATCGTAGAGGCTTCTCAGGAGTCCGCCTCTGTGTTAGTCGGCGGCCGCGGCAGTGGTGCGGTGTCGCATGAAAGCCTGAAGATGTTACCCGAGGAGCAGCGGGCTGTCGAGGAGAGCTGTGGTGCGCAACCTGTTTCCAATCTCCAGGCAGCGAATGCAGCCACGAGAAAACAGTACACACAAGCCGGCCCCTCTAGTCGGCTGGGGAGGCTGCAGGAAACGCCAGAGCATGCTAAGCCGCGCATTGGAACCCTCTCGCAGCTGAACAGTGTGCGAACCGATGATTCAGAGCAAAGTCAAGACCTGCTTTCCATCGCACAGGACTACCAGCGATCGCGGAACGCGTCAGAGGTTCCGCAACTCTCTGCAAGGCCGAGCCCGCGAGGACAGCTTAACAGTAGCAACGGTCTCGTTCCCGACCAGCGAGGCGTCATGAGTCTGATCGACGCATCCTCAGCACAACTAGCCATGACAGCCGGAAGTCAGCAGAGCAAAATGGGTGGGACGAGTGGCGTCGCCCCGTCAGCAGGAAGAGGGGAACAAGTCTTCTCTTCTTCAGCAGAGCAAAATTATGCGCATATGAATAATGAAAGCAGCAACAAGGGTTCGTCGGAAGATAGCCAAGCGAAGATTCCACCACAGAGTATTTTGATTGGAGAACGCGTCGTGCCGCCTTCTCCTCGAATGTCGCGCACCCTGCAGCAAAGCGGAGAGTCGAGCCGCGCAAACATTTCCTCAATTCCGAACGAGGAAAGCGTACATCTGTGGCAACAAGGATCGCGGCAGACGTTGGCCACGTCTACGGAACGTGCTGCTCGAGACGCTGATACTGTTAACGCTGAACGTGTGCTAGTGTCAGGGGACGAGGGAGTTCGGTCGAAGGATCCTCAAGAACACGAGCAGGAAGATGATCACGTTGGAGATGACGTGTTTCGGAGCCACCAGAAGTCAGTGTTCCTTGCGGAGGGCGAGGAGGATGACAGCAGCGACGAGGAAGACCCCCTCAAGGATGCGATGATGTTTCCCATAAGTGGGAACGGTGCACTCTATTCCGCTTCCGCACATGCAATAAATCAATTGTCGACTGGAGGAAGAACGAGCAAGAGCAGCGTAGCGTCGAGTGAGGATCGAATAGCCTCTTCCTCTGCCAACGGCAGCAAGGATGCAGGTGGTGCGATGAACTTGGGTACCAGAGGACCACCCTGTGATGTTGCGGATCCACTGCTGGGTCAGGCCTTAGGTGCTGGCTCGCCAACGTCAGAAGTAACGATTCGGCGCGACCACATGCAGACAGCGCGCGACTCTACGGTGACGCTGACCGACATCGCCGCCGACAGCAGTGGACTGCAAGGGGCGCAAGGAGGAGCCGCGTCCTCTAGTACGTCCCAGTCGCATGCGACCACGATTTATGCGACCCCGAAGACGCTGAACAGTTCGAACTCGATCGCTTCCAAATACGGCGGTTCCGCAACGGTGAAAAAGGTTGTTCACACAGAACGGCGCACGAGAGCCGGAGACTATTCCGTTTCCAACAACCTGCGCCGCCAAATCTCCGCGGATCTCTCGGTGAAGCTCTTCTGCTTTGCATTTCTGGCGGAACTGGTAGAAGATCAGCTCCAAGACCTAGACGACCTTCGGGGCTATCTATCCGACTCAATCTTCACGCAGAACATGACGTCGGCTCGCGAAAGTCTAGACCTCGACTTCATTTTTCGTTTTCTCATGGACATTCAAGACCAAAACGAAGACGTCATCGAGGAATTTTTCGAAGCGGACAATCTAGGTATTCTTTGCCTCCACTTCTTGTGAAAAATGCAGTTGCAATTCCAAATACTTAGTTACTAGATTTAATAAACATTACTGACAAGAAGTTTTACTTTCTTGAGCCAAATGGCAGCATGGATTCAATTTGTGTAAGGAGGATTGTTACAGGGACAACAACAAAGTCTAGAAGAATTTGACTCGTCTTTGTTCATGAGTCAACACAACTACAAAGTCTGGCGAGAGAATTCATCACGTTCATGTCCTTACTTCGTCTTCCAGTCCCCACACACACACCTTTATTCAATCTTCAAAATCAGCCGTCGAGCATATCCACGCCGCATTGTTCTTGCTTCCGATGGACGAGAACCCGCAATTTGTGAAGGTTTTGAGGGAACATTGTAACTTCCTCGAGGCTCGCCGTGGGCGGCAAATCCTCGAGAAGCATTGCGAGTGGTATGCGCAAAAGCGACAGCAGGGTGGATTGCGGCAACCAGGAAGTGCGTCACGACGTCCCCAACAGCCACTGCGTTTGAATCCAGCCTTTCTCGGATCCTCCAATGTGGCGGTTGATGAAAGTGAATTTGCTGAAATATCTGAATTGTGAAGCGTATAATGTTGCATTACAGGCTTCTCCACCATCTCTAAGTAGAAGATGATATTCATATTTTCGAGATAGAAGTACTCCCGTATGATGTTACGGTGTATCTTCAATCATTTAACGCAACACACATCCTCAAATATGAACCGAAGTTCCGAACTCCGAAGACCATTCTACTTCTTTTCTCAAGTCTATTTTCGTGACATTATCCCTCGCGGTATTGTCGTGAAGGCACCGATGATTACTTTTTTCTGGCTGAAAAGAACCTCTATTTTCTAACGCAAACGCGAAAAGCCGAACTCTTTTTTGGTTAATTTGAAGACTGTAACAGGAGAAGCTTTGAGTTTGAACCAGTTTGCTGCAGTAGAACAAAATTACAGTCCTCAAATGGGCAATGCTACTGAACTGTCTGCAAGTCGTGTTCATTGCAAACCCGATGGATGCGTCTACACAAGCAAGAACCCGAACAAAGCTGTTGATCATGGTGCGCCGAATATAGTGAATCAGCCTGCTTTAATTTTGCTTAATATCCTGCTAGCTGCAAAAACATTCTTCCGCGTAAGGATCCACTACTCCACTAACAAATCTGAAGAACTACTACAGAGTGAGAATCTGCAGCACCTTGTTAACGGCTGAACCAGAAATTTCTGCGATGAAATCAATGAAGGTTGTGGATGGAAATGATCTTCAGACGGCGTTCAATTTTCACAACCATTCAATTTTAACAAGAATATAATCATAGCATTAAACTAGTCTATGTACGAGAAATAGAATCTCTATTCATTGCTGTTTCTTCACATCTACATTCTTCACAGTTTTTAAGGAAGATACAGCTTCTCCTACTAACTTCTCAATCTCAACCTATTCACCAGGGAGCCCTTGCTTTTTGGCAGTAATGATCTGATAGACTGTACTTTCAGCTTGAATAGAAGAGGAAGTTCTTTCCCACTCTCGAAGCTGATAGAGATTCTGAATGGCGTTTATAGTTTCTGTCCACCGCTCCAGCATATCTTTTTATTTGTTTTCGGTCGATAGGATATCAGTTGCAAAGAATTTTTGACCTTCGTTCTGTGCTACAGTTTTCATTCTCTTCGGAACATAACAAACGTTTCTTCGCCACTAAGTGGTTGTAGCTCCTAAGTCGTGTGTACCTACTTTATTTGTAGACGAAAAGCATGTGATTGTGATAAAAACTACATTGATTGACTATCAAGTACTCATTTGTCATCACATTGACGATTGGGATTCATCTGCTTAATATTATAAATCCAGTATTTCAGTATCAGTATTCACTCGACGATTTCCCTTAGTTAGTCGATCATCATCCACCAAACTAAATCTTCTAGGTATTGGTCGTCCAAAATATATCAAGAAGATGAACGCGTCTGGTGGAACGACGTGGCCTGCGGACCCGTCGGCATATGAGAAGACAACGCTGATCGGGACGGGCGCGAGCGCAAAAGTATACATCGCAAAGCTCAAGGGTGAGGAGAAGCGGACATGCGCACTGAAGATTCTAGATCTGGAGGCATTGGTACACGACGATGTTCTCGACGAAATCCGAAAGGAACTTCAAGCGATGGCTCTCTGCAGACATCCAAATGTCATATCACATTAGGAAAGAGTTGTAGTCGTAGTACTATTAAAACTAAAAAAGATCTAAAGGAAAAATTTACATGATAAGCATTTAATGTGAGTAGTTGTATTTTGCATTTCGTCTATGCCTCATCACGACTTGCTCGTTCTTAAGTAGTTTTATCTCGTAGTGTTAGCTCACTGAAGAACGAAGCAAGTTGCTGGCTGCTCTTCTCGTCCGTCACTCCTCGAGACTAAGCAGAGCCTTGATGTTTTCTTTCGTCCTGCCTGAACCTCATTCTAATTTCGTTATGTCTCGTTTCCGTATAAGAGGCAAATGTGGTTGGTAATGCCTTTGATGCATCACGGGAGCTGCGCTGATCTACTGCGATCACACTTTCCGCAGGGTTTCAAGAATGAGCTGGGCATACTACTGCACCTTTTGTATGAAACTTTGAAGGCGCTAGAATACCTCCACGATCCGAAGAATGCGCAAATACACCGAGACCTCAAGGCGGCGAATCTCTTGCTAGGGAAAGATGTACTACACAACTAGTCACAAGAAGAACATTCGTTTTTGGTAGATGCACTAGTCAAAGTTTACTTAAGAGGATCATGGAGAAAGAACTACTCTATTTATCTACTTGAATAAATTAGATAAAAATTTTTACCAAGTAAATTTGAATTCTACTGTTATTTAAAGATACGCCGATTAGATTTTAGCTCATTCTTTTTTCGCACCATCATTCATATGTCTATTAAGAACAAAATTATCAATACCACAACGAACGTTGTTTTCTCAGGGCGAAGTTTGCTTAGCCGACTTCGGAGTAGCGGCGTCCTTTAAGGAGCAGCGGACACGACAGACATTTGTGGGTACACCGTGCTGGATGGCTCCTGAGGTTTTACTTGCTGGGCAGCAGGACGGCGCGGCCTCGAGCAATCAGGGTTACAACTACAAGGCGGATATCTGGTCCTTAGGCATCACGGCACTGGAGCTGTGCAACGGCGAAGCGCCCTATCAGCGGTTGCATCACCTGAAAATCATGCAGAATATCCTGGATAAGCCACCACCGCAAGCGCCTGCGGATGCGGATCAGGGTTTCCGGGATTTAGTAACATACTGTCTGCAGAAGAACCCGGCGAAGCGACCGACGGCGAGTGAGTTGCTGAATGCCTTGAATTTCGGGTGGAACAAGCGGCAGCCGGAGAAGCTGAAAGCATTACTGGCACAGCTGCCGCCACTAGAGGAAAGGCGGCGAGCCAAGGCACTGGCAGAGAAGAACAAGTCGCCGGAGCAAAGCGGAGAGGCGAAAAAAGGTAGGTCTATCGGTGGGGGCTGGGATTTCGACCTGCCTGATGAAGATGAGGAGGTCGCGACTAAAGCTCGGGAGGCATTAGATTCCTTGCCAGACCATGAATAGATTGCATCGACTACATGTGATAAACGAAACATGAACCAACACAAGAACTCGTTCGTTATCTCATGAGTACCTACCTTATGTCGTTCTTGTATTCATCCATAAGTGTTTGTACATGTAAGTCGATTCTTGGATGGCATACCAGGCTACGAAAAGATCGGCTACAAGTTTATAAATATATAGACATCATCTGGTTTTATATCTTGTACAAGAGGGGGACGCAACAAGTGACGAAGCACATATTTATAGATTCTCGTGCTGTTTGTTTCAGGGCGGGGGGCGAAGTGGAAAAACGAGCGTCGTGGAAGATATAAGAACCGACTTCACCGCATACAGGAACTGAAATGGTTCTTTTTCATGTCAGGATGCGATTTCCTCCACAACGTTTACCACGATTCGAAAAAGTCTAATTTTTCACACGCATCACTTTGATATTACTCTCATACACTCTCCACCACACGATATGCTACTTGCTTTGTGCCTCCATACTCGATCGAGAGACCACCTCCTTAGAGTATGTGTGAAACCTCCTACAAACCGAAACGATGCTCCGTAAATCCATGCCCTGTTGTCAACTCTCTTGTCCGTAGACCCAAAAAGTTGTTCAAGCATTCTCCGATGCTGAGAAATTACAGAAAGTGAAAGACACCACGATGACCAGTGCAGCTTGGTGTGTTCAAAACGCTGCAGCACGGCAGCTAGTATGGTCTGTGCAACTATTAATTTGTTGCCACGTCGTGATGTTCTTTCTTTGGTGGTCCCAGTATCTTGTTCATTCGCCCGCTTCATGGCTCGCGTGTAGGGAGGCTACGTGATCCTCGCTGGACGGAAGGCTCTCTCTATGTTCTGGGTCTTAGCGTTAGAAGTGGAGTGACTGTATACGGCGTCTCCTCCTCAAGTAGCAATATCATGTAAAAATCATCAAAGACAACTCAGGGAGTACTTCGAACCATTACAAATCAACACTAGATATAATTGTGAAGTGGCGCACTTAACTTGCCGTCGTTGAAGGTGAAAAAAGACGATTATTTGAACACAATAAGGATGAAGTTCAAGATGATAAAAATATATAAAAGGGAGTTCTTGATGCGCTTGTCTTTGTTGAGATGAACGATCATGATGATACCGATGCGCCCAACCGCCGTGTCAGGCACGTGAGTCGTTCCCTGTCTTCAATCAGGAGACAGAAAAACCGAGGTTGCTTCTCGTATCAATCATCTCGTAGAAGGAAGGCGTTCGCGGCTGAGGCGTACTAACTGAAATAGAATTAACATGTTGGGTGGTTACGGTAGCATGGGTTACGGTGGAGGCATGGGCTATGGCGGCTATGGAGGTGGCATGATGGGTTACGGAGGCGGCATGATGGGAGGCTACGGTGGCGGGATGGGCTACGGTGATTCGCAACAGTGGGGAAACTCAGTTCAGCAGATGTTCCAGATGACGCAAATGATGGAGCTGAATGCCATTATGCTTCAGCAAATACAGCACCAATGTTATGGCTAGTGCCTCCCCTAACGTGTCTCCATCATAGGCATCGACCCCTAATCGATTTAATCTCGGACGACCATAGGGACGAGGATCCCCCTTGTTCCATATACTAGATGAGCTAGGGATGATGCTGAATATGCTAGTATTACTAGTCCTGGTTCCGTATAAGTACTAGTACATCTCCTAGTATCACTAGAAGATGAACTAGGGATGTCTATGCTCCACGACCTGTTCGGAGGGATCCACCTCAGAGGGATTATAAACTACTTCTAGAAGGGGTAGCCCCACCTCTAAGAAAGCAAGCAAATATACATGCGAATATCGCAGCTTTTCGCGTGGGGTGTAGCGATGAAAAGGCATTTCATCGAGAATTACTTTCGAAAAGAGATGAACGAGCAGCAGCGATCGGCGGCAAGAGCGGCCGCTGCCGAGAACGGTGGCGCACAACCGGCAGAACTCGTAGGACGATTAGAAGAGTTTCGGAGTGAGAAGGAGCGGCAATACGTTCTCGACCAGATTGCACGGCGTATCCGAGCCGGCATGATCGTACTCCTTCTCATGGCAATCTACAGATGGAGGCAATATCGCCGTGCAAGCGCCCTAGCGAAAGCTTGTGAGAGCGCGTGGTCAAACGCAGAAAAAACGCGGCTTACTGTGTAATTCGAGACTAACAGCTAACGAATGTCTTGTTGAGTCAAGAATATCGAACAGCAGCTGGTCGTCACGAAAAGCGTTTATTGTGAAGTCTCATTTCTACGCGTCACATTGCCTTTCTAATAAATAAGTATGCACATATGCACTTCTCTATTGTTCTTGCAAAGCGCGGGCAGGAGAAGAATTTTGTACAGCTATCGTCGGTTATCTGGCCGTCTTTCGTTTCACTGAAAATCAACTTTGTGCCAACCGATACCTTTCGCACACGGTGTCAAGGCAATCACATCATCCCTGCTTAAAATTGAATTCAGATAATTATGTGATCTCTGAGTGAGTGACGTCTCAGGAGGGAGGCATGATCATTTTTGGCTGGTCAGCATCGTCGTCATCGTTTTCGTTATCGCATCGTAACATCACGCATCGTTCTTTTGTTTTGCTCTTACCCTCTATCTCCAGAACGCACTCTCACTGCTCTACCGTTTTTGTTCCCCTCCAGATTTTCTTATCAAGAATTTGAATTTAATATTCAAAATATTGATTCTATCAACAGTTCGAGTTAATTTCACTTTTACAGAAGTAGTGTTGTTCGTGTAACCACTTTCACCACTTCTGAGTCAACATTTGATGGTTTCGCTACCCGTGGAAAGGTCTATAGATCTGATGTTTCATCTTTTGTCTCAAAAAATTGCGATTATTTCACTTTCCCAGGCCGAGCAGACATCAGCATAGAGAAAAGCCATTGTGTTGTGGCTTGCTATTATTATCTACTTCTTTGCCAAAGCTGCAATTGCAAAAGACGACAACCTTAGTACCAGCTTGTGACTCAAATATACTAACCTAAGTACTCGGAGTTTTTAGATTGTCTTCAGTGTCGTAGCATAAGCGTTTTTACAGGCTTCCTTTGCTTACGACTGCGTCAAGATGCAGGGTCCCCCATTAGGTGTGCCGGCTCGGCAATCTCCGGCGCAGGCTTCACCTCTCAGACAGTCATCCTCATCTCCAAGAGGGCCGTTCTCCCCAACCGTCATTTTGACACTCAAACCCTCTGCCTCTGTCGTCTTTGACGACACTGGACCCGCTGTAGCAGGCAGCACAGAGCTGAAAGAGAACAAGCAAGCCTTTCTTCCTACACAAGGAATTCCCACAGATCCTATTCCTACTCGAGGAACCACAACTTCGACTACTACACGACCTGCTATTTTTCCCACTTCTCAAGTAGCAGCAACTGCAACAACGTCCACTACATGTACTAACGTAGGTAAAACTTCGATGAGGAACGCAAAAGTGTCTACGACTATTCCCGCTACTTCCCAAGTAGGAAACTCCAGCACTACTCAAGGCGGAGCAACGACCGCATATGGAACAACCAATCTTCCACCAGAAACGGGAAACTCCACAACTACAACTAGTGAAAAAAAATTTGTCAAGTGTAACCCGCCTCCTGACGTGCATTTCAAAACTAAGCCGAATGTCAAGATTGTATTCTGCGAGAGTCCGCAGGGAGAACAGCGAAATATTAGCGGCGTACTTATGTGAATACCTTGCTGACCCTTTTGGCTGCCGATTTCTCGGCTGAAGAGTTCTTGATTGAGGGTGAATGAAGAAGATAATCAGGCTTAAATTCATAGATACATATTGTTATTTTCGTGCGACGAAGAATCAGAATCTTCAACAATGCAGCAGCACTAGCTACAGTAGGTAGAAAATGAAAATCAACGAACTCGGATGAACAAATAGAGGCATAATATTCTAGAGTACTAATCAACTTTTTCAAATAATCACAATAGAAATATATCAGGTTTCCCAAGCAGCAGCGCCCAGCGGTGTAGTTCCAAAGAGTGCGGGCCTGCCTGCTCGTGGACCGGTACAACTTATTCCTGTGTATTTATCAAATGTTTTTTTTCTCGTATGATCCACCTTGAATACATGACTTGTCTTCATGTCTTATTTCTACAACAACAGGTGAATGGTAGGTGTATGTTGTTGACCCAAAGGTTAATGTTTGTATCGACCACTTATCTGTTTTTCTGATATGCATTTTCGGTTTGTTGCAGCAGACATGAAACTTCTGAAGGTTTCTTCGAACTTTGAACGTGCGTCTGTGCGGCCAGATGGTCTGAAGTCCGCAAAAGTTGAACATCAAGATAACGGTATTGCAGCTCCTCGTAATCTCTTAACTACTTCGGCTACTAGTTCTGCCTCTTCTGGCAGCCACTGCAGCGATGGCGTATCGCTTGGTGTGCCACTTCCTCCTCAGCACGAAAGGCAGTCGCGAGCAGCTCAGGATGGTACAACTACAGATGCTGGCATTCGCTACCTGGGGCTCTTCGACGCCAATTGCCGGGAAGTCTTCGAGGACGAGCGCACAGGACAGCTGTTCACACTAGCGGTACCAGGTGAATCAGGATCGGAACAAAGGCGTTTGCCGGTCGTGCCAGCAGCTGGAAACAGTAGAAGCTCCAATGCCAATGGAGCGGATAGCCTCGTCACGCTCTTCACAGCGGCAGGACAGAGTATCAGATACGTGCAGGAGTCCGTTAGGCCCTCGTCATCTTCAGCTGTTTCATCTAAAAGATCTGTATGCACTAGCGCATATTCCCTCCCTGGCGCGACGGGATCTTCAGCACTTCTACGAGGTGGTAGCACTTCATCTACTGCTGGAGCAGAACCACGAAATGCTGAAAAATATACAGATTATACTGGCGACGCTGCTCCTCGTAGAGGCAGTAGAAGCAGCGCCCGACCTCCACTGTTGGCTGATAGCAGCACACCGACATTCGATGATCTACGTCGCCACTATAGCAGTAGTGGATCAGTGGACCATCGAAACAGGACTCCTTCGCCATCAGCACTCTTGGAGAAGAATCTCAGCGCAGGCGTCAACGGAATCAGGGAGCTGAGTAACAGCATGCGACGGCTTTCACAAGGACATGCCGCCGACCCGAGTCCGAAGCGTCGCAAGACACCTTTTGGGGCCGTTGATTTGTTCTCTCCCCCAGCCGGCGTCGACGAGCACTCGGTATCTTCCAGAATGACTGACCATGGAGAGTCGGACTTCGTGACCGCAGATGAAGATGGCGATCTCGCGCATACACTGGAGGACCACTTCGCAAAAGGCGCAGGCAAAAAAGGCAAGGAGAACAGTTCTAGTAAAAGTGATGCGATGGCCTTGTCATCTTCGTCTGGTAAAGGCGGCGTATCAGCATTGTCTAATGGTCGTAACGCGGAACTTCTACATGATCGAGCAGCCGTCAACAACACTGAAGGAACAGGAAGTGAGATGAAGCGAACTAGTATAGGTTCTTCAGGCAAGGCGAGAGTTCGCGATGAAGACAGAAAGTCTGCTTTCGGAGGAGGAAAAGGAAAGGATGGTGGTAGTGCTGGTGCTCCCTCTCGTGAAGCAGACCTCCACGGCGAACCTGAAGCGGATCCTATGGAGAAGGACGGCTTCGCCGACTATGATCACCTTGTTGGAGCAGACGACCATGACTACTTACTGGGAGATGAGGACCACGATTTTGACAGTGGCACAGGAAATAAAGGGTCATCTTCTTACGAGAAAGGTTTCGGCAAGAAGGGCAAAGGTAGTAAGGACGGTTGGCCGAGTCACGATAAGAATTCGAGCTACAACAAAGGTGCTGGCGCCTATGTTCGTGGGGGCAAGGGGAGCGAGAGTCGTTCCTTCTTGTCCTCCTCAGGACTCGTACTGCGCAACAACAGCTTCAAGTCCCCTTCGTCGACTCGTCGCGGGCGTTCCAAAACCCCCAAGTTTGGGCGGGATATAGATGCTGCTATGGCACAGCGCCTAGCATCGAGAGAAGTGGCGAAGACTCCCGCGGAGTTGGGCCATGCAAATTTCTCGACCTCAACGACTTCTGGAGAACGCCGCAGTGACCGCGCCAGGATGCAACCACTAGACCATTCGCGTAGAGGCGCGCGAATCCTTCCACAGGCTGGTCAGGCTCAAACCACATTTGTGGACGAGGGCTTGATGGGCGGCTACTACGATCCACCAGCGACGCCAAGATACGGCATCAGTTAAGGCTCCATGTGATTCATTTTCACAGCGCATTTTTCTCGGTTTCCTTCTCGCCGAATTCTGAGAACATGGACTGAAGAAATGAGTTTCAGCTTCTCTAATTCAGTTTTCTTGGGGTTGGAGCTACGCCAGAGCGTCCGGCGTTGCATGACGATCCTCTGCGTGAAATAGATGCTTCCACCAGTTTCCAGCGGCCTCTGGGTGGGGACGCCAATTTCCTTGGCAGCGCGGCTTCTAGTCCGGATGATATGGACGGCTTGCACAGAGGACGAGCGAAGCGAAAACGAAGACAGCGCCGTGAGTGGGAGATTGTCGAGGAACGGAATCGCGGTCTTCCAAGGAAGTTGTGGGGTCGCCAGGAGCACGCGCAGCCAGCACTCGTCTACCTACCAGACGCCGCGCACTCACCAGGTGTGGAACAAAGACAATCCGACTTTGAGGAACTCCACGGCAACTTTTTCTACAATGAGGCGGATGATCCTTTTGGCGACGGCGGAAAATTAAGGGAAGCAAGAACTAAGATGTGTTTCATTTCTGTCACTCTCTGTATGAGTATGTATCCAGTTTTCTCTGTTTTCTTGTATGACCGCTCGGTAGAGGCATTATATGCTTTGTATTCACTCTTTCTTATTCTTTTCTGGAGTGCTAGTTTCTGAGTTAGAAAGGTTTTCGAGCTCGTCTAAGACCAGGCGGCGACAGGCACGACCAAAACGATGGCCTTAGGAGCTTCACAACTTCCGGACGCACGGCGTTGCCGCTCATGGACAGGTCGCGAACACCAAACCGACCAGGTGCGGGTATCAGAGCTAATACTCTGAACGGATCCTCCGGGTCTTCATCTGCTTGCATCACTTACACTTCGTCATCGTCTAGCTCTACAGCTGCTGGGAATGGTAGAAACACTGCGATGAAACAGGCGATGAAGACTGTTAGTGCTATTTCTACGAAGTCCGGCGCAAAGCCGAACAACGGCGCTGTTTCGTCATCAATGAAGTCTGCAACTTCGTCTTGTTCATCTTCTACGATCAAGAAGAGTGCTCCAGCTAGCAATCGCAAATCGTCTTCATCGACTTCCTCAGGGGCCACAACATGTTCTTCCCATTTTGGCAGTAGAGGTGCCGTCCAAGCTAGTAAAATTCCTTCTGAACAGCAGCAAGATAAGCATAAGAAGGAAAGTGGTGAGCTGCAATCAAAGAAGAAGAGTTCTAGTCAAAAGAAGTCGTCTGGTGAGATCGACATGGGGAACATCGACGTCGGGAGTTTCGATCTGAGACCCGCTATCACGATCGGAAAACCATCGCCAACGGCTAAACTACCACCCCATTTGCAAAAGTTCCTGATTAAGAAACCGGATGACTACGTGCCCAACGGGAGCAGCGACAGCAATGCCGCGACGCCGGCGGCCTCCTTGGAGGCCAGTCCTGTGGCAGAAGGGCACGGAGAGGTGTCGCCGCTCTCGCCGCAAAGCCTCCAAAGAGCCATGGATGGACGACATCGGATGACATACATTTAAGGACTCATCAAGACGACGACGACGACCTTTGTTTTAAGTGTCTTCGACAGAAGTGCAGGCATCTTCTTCTTGGAACAAGGTTACTTACTAGGTCTATTGGAAGACCGGGAAAATTATAAATTCTTATAAGTTGATAGATAAAAAACATAACAAAAAAATAATCTATATTATTAATCTATATTGGCGCTAAGTCAACTAAGAACTGCACAAAAACGGTCATTATTGTCGCCTCCTCGTCCTGGAAGTGCTTCGCTTAGCGACTTTTGCAACTTGCTCTCTCTTGGTTTTTCTGTCTTTTGGTTTCGTTTCATGTGATTCCCCGCGCCCCTCCAGAGTCCACCGCACCAGCCTGCAAGTGTATGCGGGGGGATTCTGGAGGGGCGCGGGGATTTGGAGGGCGCCCGAGGTTCTTGGCTCGCAATTGGGTGAGGGTTTTCCAGAAGGGAGCGCAGTAGGCGGCGAGTGTTCTGCGGATTCGTATCATGCCCGAGAAGATTGAATTTTGTCCGGATTTTTGCAGTCCTTAGTTGAATTTTCTCCATTCTAACTCCACTTGTCTGTGGTCGAATTTTTCGCCATAATCGGAAAGGTTTGAGACACTCCGCCCGAGGTTCTTCGTTCTTGGGTCTTTTCATGTTGTTAAGTGTTGGACTTTTGACCACCCGGCGCCCCGAAGCTCTCGCGCCGGGTGGGATTAGTTACAAAGAGAAGCGACGCGCTGCCGCCTTCAAATGGTCAGACCACTCACGCGCGCCGCCGTTTGTGCGCAGATTGTCGGGGGGGTTTGCTGGCGTTGTTCGCACTCTTTTGAAGTATTTCAGCGGGGAAGTTTGCGGGGGTTTCGCCAGAATTGAATAAACCTCTCTATTGTTTGCCGCTTTCCTGCTCGCTAGGCCATTTTTGATGAAAAAAGTGAAAAGATGTCTTCAGATTTTTTTCCAAAAATGGCCTTGCGAGCAGGAAAGCGGCAAACAATAGAGAGGTTTATTCAATTTCGTGGCATTTCTCAAGAAGGGCTGGACCGGTTGCCGCTTGAGTTCCAAAGGGCTCGCGCCTCCTCTTTTTGTTAAGTTTCGATGGTGTGGCGTGCTCGCTGTGCCTCTGGTGCTTCCGCAGATGGCTGATTAGAATGGCGCTAAGTCAACTAAGAACTGCACAAAAACGGTCACTATTGTCGCCTCCTCGTCCTGGAAGTGCTCCGCTTAGCGGCTTTTGCAACTTGCTTCCTCTTGGTTTTTCTGTCTTTTGGTTTCGTTTCATGTGATTCCCCGCGCCCCTCCAGAGTCCACCGCACCAGCCTGCAAATGTATGCTGGGGGATTCTGGAGGGGCGCGGGGATTTGGAGGGCGCCTGAGGTTCTTGGCTCGCAATTGGGGGAAGGTTTTCCCGAGGGGAGCGCAGTAGGCGGCGAGTGTTCTGCGGATTCGTATCATGCCCGGCAGGATTGAATTTTGTCCGGATTTTTGCAGTCCTTCGTTGAATTTTCTCCATTATTAATCTCCGCCGCCATAAAACTCCCCGCCTAACCCACCGGAGATTAGTCGCCTCCTGCCGCGAAGCTATTGCCCATAGCCTCTTGCCCTTTCCCCTCACTCCTAAGCCCGATAGTCTCCGGCCGTTTTCTTGTTGGAGTTCACGTTGCAGCCCCGTGGCAGACTACCAGAAAAGAAGCCAGGAAAATGCCCGACGGGGGTAGGGGCGCAAGCTGGCGAGAGAAGTCCAAAGAGAAACAGCCGAAGAAAGACCTTCGACCACAGACACCTGGACCCCAGACCTCTGGACCAATGGCGATCTTTGGACCGAAGGCGACCTTCAGACTGAAGGCGATCCTTGGTCCGATCTTTGACCCAAAGAAAGGCGATCGTTGGACCTACCAGAGACGATCCGGGGACCAAAGGCGATCGTTGGACCAGCGGCGATCTCTGGACCAAAGGCGACCTTTGGACCCGAGACGACCTTTGGACCCAAGACGACCTTTGGACCCAAGGCGATCTTTGCTATTGCTGGACCCGGGACGACCTTTGGACCACCGGCGACCTTTGGACCACCGGCGACCTTTGGACCACAGGCAACCTTAACCTTTGGACCACATCCACCGGCGACCTTTGGACCACACCAGACGACCGCCGGACCAAAGTAAGGGGACCTTCGGACCAAAGTGCGGCGACCTTTGGACCAAAGTAAGACGACCTTTGGACCAAAGTAAGACGACCTTTGGACCAAAGTGAGACGACCTCAGGACCAAAGTAAGGCGGCCCACCTCTGGACCAAAGTAGGGCGACCTCTGGACCAAAGTAAGGCGACCTCTGGACCAAAGTGAGGCGACCTTTGGACCAAAATAAGGCGACCCTTGGACCAAAGTAAGACGATCTTTGGACCGAAGGCGATCCTTGGACCAGAGGCGATCTTTGGACCAAAGACGACCTGTGGACCAAAGACGATCTTTTGACCAGAGGCGTTTTTTGGACCAGACGCGACCTGTGGACCAAGGGCGACCTTTGGACCAAAGACGACCTGTGGACCACAGACGACCCTTGGACCACGGCAGACCTCTGGACCAAAGCTGACCTTTGGACCAAAGACGACCCTCAGACCAGAGGCAACCTCTGGACCACAGACGACCCGCAGACCACAGGCGACCTTTTAAGGCGACCTCTGGACCAAAGTAAGCCGACCTTTGGACCAAAGTAAGCCGACCGCTGGACCAAAGTAAGGCGACCTTTGGACCAAAGTGCGACGACCTTTGGACCAAAGTGAGACGACCTCTGGACCAAAGTAAGGCGACCTCTGGACCAAAGTAAGGCGACCTCTGGACCAAAGTAAGGCGACCTCTGGACCAAAGTGAGGCGACCTTTGGACCAAAATAAGGCGACCCTTGGACCAAAGTAAGACGATCTTTGGACCGAAGGCGATCCTTGGACCAGAGGCGATCTTTGGACCAAAGACGACCTGTGGACCAAAGACGATCTTTGGACCAGAGGCGTTTTTTGGACCAGACGCGACCTGTGGACCAAGGGCGACCTTTGGACCAAAGACGACCTGTGGACCACAGACGACCCTTGGACCACGGCAGACCTCTGGACCAAAGCTGACCTTTGGACCAAAGACGACCCTCAGACCAGAGGCAACCTCTGGACCACAGACGACCCGCAGACCACAGGCGACCTTTTAAGGCGACCTCTGGACCAAAGTAAGCCGACCTTTGGACCAAAGTAAGCCGACCGCTGGACCAAAGTAAGGCGACCTTTGGACCAAAGTAAGACGACCTTTGGACCAAAGTGCGACGACCTTTGGACCAAAGGCGACCCTTGGACCAAAGGCGACCGTTGGACCAAAGGCGACCTTTGGACGACCAGAGACGACCGCTGGACCAAAGATCTCCGACAAGACAAGAGACCCGCGACAGCAGACATCTGACGAACGACCCCTGCCAGAAAAGCTGCCGCCTGACCTGTGGCGAGAAGCCCTACCTCGACGAGGATAGCGAAGACCTTTGACGAAGGACGTCAGTCCGACGAACGCGGTCAGTCTGGCGAAAAACGTCAGTCCGACGAAGGGGCAGCATCAACCTCACGAAGGAAAGACATCCGCAGCCCGAAGAAAGGCCCCGCGCAGCCTGTTCCGCTTCTGACGCAAGGCAGACGCCTGGCGAAGCAGTGCGCCGGTCTGGCGAGAGGCGTCACCTGGCTGGTCAGTGCATCAGCCTGACGAACGAACCAACGGCGCCACGCTGAAGCAAGCCATCAACCTGACCAAAGGCGTGAGTCTTGGCCCGGCGAGGAATGTCGGCCAAGCGAAGCGCTTCAGTCTGACGAAAGGCGTCAGCCTGACGAGAGACGTCGCCCGACCCTGACGAAGGGCCTCAGCCTGGCCCACGACGTCCGCCGAAGGGCGCCGGCCTGTCGTCCGACGAAGGCCGCCAGCCTGGCGCAGCGCGTTGGTCTGACGAACGGCATCAGTCTGATGGAAGGCCTCAGCCTCCATCCTGGCGAAAGACGTCAGCCAGTCAAGAGGCTTCAGCCACAACCCGAAGCGCGACGCCCCACGCCCCCGCGAAGTGCGCCCGTCTGTTTCTGTCGAGAGACATTTGGCGAAACAATAACAAAGAAGCCCCGCCAGGTGTAAGCGCGTAGAGAGACCCGAGCAGCGCGGCCCTGCGTTGCTTATGCTCTGTCTTGTTTGGCCTGCTAAAGCCGCCGCCCGTTCTTGCCTGGCGCCACCGCGAGGCGTTTGCGTGCGTTGGGGCTTGCGGATTCTTGTGCGTGTCTGGCGGCCCTCTTCTGGTTTTTTCGTTGGACTGCCGTGGGGGTCTTGCAAATTCTTAAGAATTTGCATGACCCCCCCGGCAATCTCATAAAAAAACCGAAGGCAGCGCAATGCGCTGCACATGAGTCGACGCATCGATCTGAGTCGGCCACCGTGCTCGGCTCTTGTCGTAGTTAATTCGTAGGGTGCAACAGCTCACCCGCGGGCTGTCTCTACTCTAGCGGCTGTAGCCCGTGGGAGGCTGCAGAAAAGTGCTTAACTAACTTGAAGCCGGGCGAAGCTTGTGGAGGCTAGTATAATGACATCAATACGAACGTCGGCGTCGCGTTGTGATGTGACTGGAAGAGACGTCAAGTACTCCTTCTTACGCACAAGAATCATGATCTTCAACTCCAGATGTAAGTATGTTACGTTGGAGTGCGATTTCTTTGAAACCTCTAATAGATTCACCGCGGTCGTGTGAAGTATGACGGTTCCGCAATGCCTCGTCCGTCACCTATTCCCGAATGCAGTCACGAGGATTCGGCATCGCGAAGCGATCAGAGGTCGTCGGCGTCGTCCTCCTTAACAGGAGGCAAGAAGCAGCAGCCTCCTTTTAGCCGTACTTCTAGCAGTGAAATGCCAAGAATGGACAATCTTGGTACCAGTGCGGAGGAAGAAGAAGACATGGAGGAAATGATGGGTACGAAACGCAGCAAGACAATAGCGTCTTCTTTTGTTACGAGTCGCGCCACTTCTTCTAAGTCTAATGCTACGAGTCGTGTGTGGGAACGAGTGCATCGACCTGAAAAAGCATCTGGAAAAATTGAATTAATGACGAAAAAAATGCTACCCGAATGCCTCATTCTTCTAGGGATGATGTATTTTCATATCTACTATCTACGTACATTCAGATGATGTCTTTTCATATGTCGGTGCACGTCCTCTTTTACCTAAGGATGTGTTTTCACATATTCTCTACACGCCGTTCTACCTCTACCTCTAATGTTAACAACGGAAGCAAAAGGACGAGTGCAAATGCAGTTCCGAGGAATCGTGTGAAAGAGGTGCAAGGTCGACAGGAATATGCAAAAGACAGGCGAGTAAAAACTGGAGACAAGAAGAGCTTGGCCAAAATGAATGCACAGATCCGCGGAAACAAAGGTCGTTACGGTCCGACAAAAGTTGTGAGAAAGACGCACAAAGATGCAAAAGCTAAAGCATCGGGGCCAAAGATGAATACGGCCATGAATCAGGAGCTCAGCACCGGGAAACAGACAACATCTGCGTCTTCTTCAATGAAAACTGCAACCACTACCGCCATGAAAACTCTGGGAACTGCATCCTCAAAAATGAAAACTACTAGGTCCTCTCCTGCTGGTATGAAGAGTTCCAATAGCACTAGTACAACTTCTGCATCCTCTTCGATGAAGACCGTGAGTAGAACTCTTGCTACAGCTAAAGGCGGCAAGAAAGTTAAGGCTAGGTTCATTACGCTACTACACCTACGTGGAGATGTGTATCTATTATGCTGAGTGGATTCCCTTGCTCAGGAGAAGCAGTAAGAAGCGGGGATCTTTTTATTAAGGGGAAGGTAGAAGAGAATCAACTCAACCACAGAGACAGAAGATAGTGAAGACGGACACTGCCTCTAAGACGAGAGCTTCATCAAGCAAGACTGCCTCAAGCCACGTGAGTACTAGAGGGGTGGAATTTATCTCAACCGGTGCCGCGGAGTCCCCTGAATCCAAGGGCAACGGGTCAGATGAAGACGATACCTTTGAAGTGCCATCATTAAGGCTACCACATAAGTAAGTAGAAGACAGATATTACGCCTCAGATGTAGAAGCTTTAGATACAACACCAACAAGAAAAACGGCACTGATCCCTTTTCCTGCTCTCAAAAACAGTATCCTTGTCCTATCAACCTGTGTAACTTTCCATTTGGTTGATTTTCTCAACCCTCGTTTTGTTTCTATGATCAGACCAGGGCCACTTCTAATTTTGATGTTAGTTTAGGCATGAAAGACATGACCAAGACCTAGTAAATATAATGTTACTCTGGGTCTTAGCATTTTATTTTCTCTCCACTTCATTACAGTACTTGTACTGGTATCTATAGGGACTAAGATGCATTTCCTAAGATGGATGATGGCTTGCATGGATTGCAATGCATTGCATGGATGGCATGGCCAGGAGGAGCGAAGGCGTGACCTTTTTAAAGGGGAAGCGCGCACTTCTCTGCTTGAACGCAGCGCCTCGCCTGACAAGGCCACAGGAGGGCCGCTGCCTTGCTTATCTTGTTGCGCTCTGCCCGCCCGCGGATAGGGGGGCTGTTTCTCGTAGGGGTGAGGCCGCGCGTGGGCCACTCCCTTTCGGTTCGAGCTGGCTGCAGGGAGGACCGGACGCAGAGCGCCTGACGCCTGGCCGCGTTCCGTTGGAGATGCCAGCAAACTAGCCTAGACATTCGCAGCTAGATAGAAGCCGGGCCCCTAAGTAAGTGCGTGATGGTCGATAGGCGTAAGTGCTTAAGATGTTAGATTATGAAGCCCCCCACTGCCCCCCTGGGATGGAATTGCCATGCTTGCGACCATTGTGCTTACAATATATTGATGCTTATACTTTTTCGCTATGGGCCCGCGTTAGAAGTAACAGGAACGCAGTGGCGTTGGGCTTTCAGTCTAGCCCTGATTTCCGGCTGGGTTTAAGTAGGCACACGACAAGGGCGCTAGTTTCCTTGCGTACACAGGCTACGGCGCGCATCTATGGCCCTCTGCGTTGCCGGCGTTGGGGCGGTGGTCTTCGGGGGGTGTTCTGACTGTAGCCTGCGTATGCTGCGCCTGGATGCGAATGCTTCGAAGTTGCTTGCGCCCAAGCTGTTGGAAGGTGAAACTCGACTACAGTAAGTGCGGACGATGGCGCCCGAAGGGCGCCCCGAAAAGAAAACGACTTAGTTCTAAATAGTGCCATCCATTGCCATGCATGCAATCCATACCATGCATTTTAGAAATCTGGAAAGAGCGAAGTTCTCTACTATAATAGTAAGGGCGATATCGAAGAGAGAAGTATTCCAGAAGTGCTGTCCTAAGTGATACATAGGTGGCACTAGCTCTAACATCACCTCCCAGTGACTTTAAAAGAGTGTGGGGTCAGGGAAAGAAAGCGCAGCAGGATAGTAGCAAAAAGAACAAACAGCCGAAGGATTTCTCTGGTGGTGGCGGTGGAACTACTACAGGAGGTACTTCATTATTTTGCTGAAACTGTTTGCGTGGCCTCTCACTAGTGGGCCTCTCGCTAGAAGTACGTAATAGATAAACATAAAGTTAGATATTGATAAGGAGACTTTTTAGTGTTTATTTGAAGAAAAGGGGAGAGGTGATCAACATTTAAGATTAAGATTTTTTTTTCATATTTATGTATGTTCTAAAAGTAAAGACCCAGATCGAGCACTAGACCTGAAAACTTCAACTTTCTTTTCTAGGCTTGAAGACAACTTGATGCACTTGAAGATACTAACTTAAGCTGAGAGGTGTTTTCGGTTTCTATTTTTGGTTTCCAAAATTCCGCTGGTCTCAGGGCACAGGAAAATCGGAAAGAAGTAGGCGATCGGGTAGTGCACCACGATCGGGAAGTACACAAGAAGGACCTCCGGTCGAATGGTTTGTACTTTGAAGATCCCAAGTCTGTCAAGATGAATACTGCCGAACTATTAAGGCTACGACTGCTAGACTAAAGCAGATCTATGTATCCTTACTGACACTGCAAGAATTGCCTTGTTAATGTCATGGCAATTAATTAATCGATCAGATATAGATCCATAACCATAAGATATAATAGACCCCGACAGTTCTTGTCCTGTTACGCTAAAACGAGCTTTTTACCCGCTGATGGGATAGCAATCTTCTTCCTCCCACCAACAGACTAAAGCCTATCCCCCGTATATCATGGCCCTGGCTTCGCCTTGTTTTGCAAATAAAGGATAGGAGTGGGAGTGCATGAGCATGACTCTCAACGAGGAAGATGCGAAAGTCGTTTAGTCGCGCGCGCTTCCAAAGGTAGAACATAGCGACTAGATACAGCTCTAACACTAGTACGCGAACAAGCGAAGAATCGTAAGAAACAGGACAAGGCAACAGGTTTGACCGAACTGAAGCCAGGGGAGCGGCGTCGTTTCGGTATACGTAAGATTATGGCCGGTCGTCTGGAACCACCTATATTGTAGTCAGGTCACCCCGAACCACGTAGGGATATTGTAGCATGGTAGTGGGGAGAAGTTTCCTACATTTGTCTCTTCAAGAAAGTATCCGGTTCACTTTCCCTTGTCGTACTCTTTTCTTGACGACATATCTTTATTTTTCCTCTTTGTGTAGACGAGTGAGTGGTCGCCTAGAAGTATTTGAGCAGGGGAAACATACAAGGGAGTAATCCGTGTAAGAGTCTATGTCTACAGGTACTTACCATGAAAAGTATGGATCATCATCATGATCTCCAAGAAAGTCGTATCGACGACTAGATCTAGTGTGAACACCGCACTATACACTGGCTGTGGCAATTGAGATTTCATCATTAGATTGTCCCTAAAGAACCAACCCGCCTTGCTAGACTGAGCATCTCATGATCGTCATCAGCAAGCTCCTCTAACTCTGACAGCAGCAATGCGGGAGCAACTCTCATTCGTGTTGTCCCTCAACACTCGAAAAGCAGACCTTCTTCCTCATCGAACAAGGGTGGAGTTGCGGACTCTGTTGAGATAGAAGAAACAAGTGAAAAGAATTAAGGCTGTCGATAATTCATCTTTGAGAATGAGGTGATTCCTGGTCAAGGTCATCCCTGAAGCACGAGCTTCATCAACCAATTCGAATAGGTTGGCAAAGGACCCAGCTCAAAGATGACTAGGTCTAAGAGAAGAAGTCTTTTTTCGACATTGCTGATGTGGTTTTCCTTGTTCCAGGTCGAACGATTTGGTTGCGAAATTGTAGTTCATCACATTCTGCTTACTTTTTTTTGGAAAAGAACTCGTGAAATTTTGAACCACTTCCTCGGTAGGTCTGTAGGTCTACAGGTACCTCACGAGCAGCTGAGGGCCCTCGCACTCCGACGACCAGTGCCTTCGTGGCAGATGCCTGCCCAAAGCAGACAAACCCCACGCAATTTGGCAAACACTGTCCCCGCCTTGCTAGACCGGCCTGGCGGCTCCTTTTATTCAGTGTCATGGTGTTCGTGTTCGTTGTGTGCTACGCATCTCTATCTCAATGCTCCCAGCACGCACCGCACTGATTATAATACAAGTGGATGAATATTTTTAACTTTTATGCAGCTGAGTGAGAGAGACGAATGATCTGTATCGTTGCTGTGCGTTCTAATTGATTCAGTCCAGGAACTGGAAGTCGACGTCCGTTTCTCTCGAAGAAAAGTGGATCGGTCGCAAATCTCGGTTTTCCTTGGTCCCAAGCAATCACTGTTTCCCCCGAAATTTGATAAAATTGAAAGTAGCCGTCATCAATGTTACAAAACGATCTGGTGCATCGTCACGTATCCTATTTCTGTACGAATATACCCGGTATATCGATTAATTTAGATTCTTATGCGTAAGTCTTCAGATGTGTGTCGAGGCTACATCATAATCTAAGAATCTCGTGATGACCTAGAGGTTTTTATTTCAATCATTTTTATTCCACGCCAGTCCCAGTGTAAGTCAGCAGAAGCAGTATGATAGTGATGAGCGGACAGAATGATCCAACGTAGTAAAAAAGAGGCCTAGATGAAGATCTAGATGCACCAAGTTGAAGAAGTACTAGGAACCCAGTGATTTTTGATATTGAAATGAAACTATTGGATCCGGTTTCGACCTCGGCCGGTTCCACAGCGACACGGGATAGCGCATAGTTGTCCACCATGAGAGCCACGGTCTACCCACGACCACCCGCGTGTAATACGGGTCCGCGTGGACCTGCTTCGCTTTTCACCGGGCCTGCGTATGCGCGCAATTTTGCCGGCAGCCATCGGAGGACGGCGTTCGGTTCCGGTTCAAGCGGATCATCGAGTGGCGCCTTGTCATCGAGCGCACTAGGAGTCTCCGCGTCCCGTGCCGACCGAAGCAATCCTCGTGGTGGGGCAACTTCCGGTATTGATGCAGGTCTTCACATTAAGAAGAATGGAGCCTGGAAGCGAGACGGGAACAACAAGGAGAATCTAGAAGGCGCAGTTGCACAGCTGACGCAGCGAAATGACCGAGCCTTCGAGAAGGAGGCTGCTGTGCGCACTGCTGGCCTTTCAGGAGACGGAGGAAAACAGACACACTTGCAGTATCCGAATTGGCCGACTTAGGGGCACTACTCATATTCATCTTGAGAGGCATTTTGGCATGCTCTCATCTTATTCTTCTTGGCATGCTTTCAAGGGGAAAAAGAGGCCAAGGTAGATGCACTTCAAGAGGAATATCGCTAAGGTCTAACCGAGGCGCTTGCTTGGGCAAGGCGATTACTTCAACAAGAGCGTTCTGTTCGCTCTATCGACGCGGCCGCACAGTGAAGGGAGAGACAGGGTTCTCCCCACTGCGCAGAGGCCGTCGGATCAAGAGCTCATCTGTGTTGAGTACCGATCGAAAGACGAAATGTTCAACGACTTTCAACTCAAAAATGATCAGTGCGTATTGGTACTTCTTTGTGCATTTGCCGTTGCCTTGTAGGTTTGATTTAAAAGCAATACAGCGGAAAAATCTCTACTTGTCGTTTTCTCGGTCACCTACCACAAAATATATCATAAAAAATTTTGTTCCAACGAATTTCCCTTTTTTGAATCAGAATCAAGAGCCCTAGATCATCTATATCTAAGTAAGTAACTAAAACTACGCCTGATCACTACTTGTGATGAACATGAACCAGTGATTGTGAACTACGCTTAGCACAGTGGAAAAATCCAAGTCATTTCATCCTGGAGGGATTTCATTCCATGTACAATATTTACATACAATACCACTTACGACCATGACGTAGATACAATTTTATGTTTTATCCTTCAATCATGTTTATTATTTATCTCGTCAATATTTGAGCTTGAGAAGAGCTCTATTATTTGAGATGCAGCACGATGATTGCACTTCTAATCTATTTAGATTCACACCTTTTATCCGACTTACATTTGCGCACTTATGCAGGTCGAAGTGAATTCGCTGGGGCACGCTTTTTCGCAGGGCATATCAGAAGGATTCCAACTCGTGTTCGTGGATGGTGTGCGCGTGAAACACGCTGACGTCTGTGACACGCTGGAGAAGCTGGAAAGGTTAAGGCTTACTGTTGGAATTGTAATTCATCTCTGTCTTATTTTGATAAGAAAGTAGGTGCGTGTATCTATATCTTCGACACGTTATTTTCATGGGGAAAATGGTCAAAGATGAGGCACTCTGGAGGAGAATATTATGGGTAATCTCTAACAAGGTTTCCAGCGATGTTAGGCTTCGCGTCACCACTTGCGGAGCCGCCCAATCTCTCTGACCGGCAGTGCGCTGCCCGGCTCGGACTGAACCACGTGAGACAGAAGCTTTTGCAGCGAGCGAGCGAACTGATGGACGCACTAATGGTCCGCGAAGGCACAGAATATCATATGACAAGAAAGAAAACTGTACTCTTGTTACTCAAGAAAAGAGGCACTTAATGTTAACTGTTGGTTCTTACTTTAGAAACAACAACAAGGGCCTACGTACTACTACTAGAAGTTTGAGTTCTTGTTTCTTGAGGATCGAAGATGAGTACTTGCGCTTTTCCTTTCATAGATCCCGATCGACGTTTCCGGCTCACGTTCTCAAAGTTTAGCACAGTGCTGCGCAACGCAGGGCTGCTGGCGTTGCGCAAAAACGAGGCTCGTGACATTTTCGAAGCACTAGTTAAGATTGTTACTATGTAGCTAGCTCTGGATCAAGATTCCCAAGCCGAAGTTTCATCTGAAGTCTTGTTTGTTTGTGTTGTTGGTACTATTCGCCTATAATTTATAGCGAGACGAAGAGTACGGGGATGTCGATATGTCCGAGTGGCAATTTGGATTGAGCGACAAAATTATGTATGACGAGCAATATTCGCACATTTTGCATCCAGTGACACGCCAGAATATCCGCGACATCAGTAGGTTTATGGAGCAAGCGTTACGTAAAAAGAAACACCGCGCGCTGACCTGCAACGAGGTGGCCAGTTGCCTATTTCGCGGTGGCGTCACATGTTAAGGCTCAATACGAATGCAAGTAAATTCTACGGGCCATTTGTTTCTCCCGGTTTCGTTCTTGGGATCATCCATTAAGAGAAATGCAGACAAGAAGTGGATTATTTTGAGCTCTAAACTTGGCTCACGAAGGAGCAGATGGGCTGGATTTTCGAGTATCTTGACGAGGATAAAGACGGATTCGTATTACGGTTCATTTTCTGATGATTCCTTTTCGGAGCGCATTTTGTCTGAGACTGAGTAACAAGTGCAAGGTCGCTGAATAAATATTCTGAATCTGAAAAATATGCAAGTAACAAACATGATAACCGAGGATCTGAGATTATTCCCTAGCATACTCGGTTCCCTTTCAGTTTAAGTTTTTTGATTACTTACACAAAAGAAGGGAGGTGATAGATGAAAATGAACTGCTGAAAGCTCTAATGTTCACTTTTCCCGAGTGGGCAGCACAGTTCCACTTTGACTTGATTGAGGCCGCGCATGAGGTTCAGCGATTTCTGCTCAATAAATCCAGTTTCACATCAGCGGGGAAGGGCAGCGGCGGGCACGCCCATGCGCCAGCCGCGCGACGCAGCAAAAGGAGCACCTTGGTTCCAAAGGAGATGGATCTCGATCTCTTCATCTTGACTCTTCATGCCATCGGCGTCCACTGGCTGAACAAGGACCAGTGCGCACAGCTCTTTTCCATGATGGATGTCAACCGCAATGGCATCGTCGCGGAGGAGGAAGTGCAGCACATTGGCGAGCTCGTCGAGGCCTACTTCGAGAATCGGGCTCTGCGGCGTACCGTTACTTCGCTTGCCGCGCGCCCTGTAGTGCTCCGTAAAGATGATGTTCGTGATGCGCGTACGGCAGCACCAGTGGTCTCAGAGTCTGAGACGGTGCAATATCAAGAGCCGCGGCTTCTTGCCGGAGAAGTTGAGGCAGCAGCAGCCACCCAGTTTGACTTCAGTGCCGCGATGATACCACAGACCAATATGCGTCACGTAGTACACGCTGAAATTGAAAATGTCGCGAAGCCTGGGATTCTAGTGGAAGAGTGCAGCGAAACAGAGCAAGCGGTAGACACAGAAGCGCTCGCGCAACGGCTATCGCGGGACCTTTCGCTTGATGTTTTAGACAAAAGCATAGAGGATCACGGTGCTCATTATGCGAGTTCGGGCAACTCGGCTGATGAGGTGCTAGAAATGACATTCCCGGTCGCGGACATCAGGCCGTTGCATCCGTTGCTTCGTGAAGAGCGCGAATCAGACAAGTCACATGAGCATTAAGAATAGTGTATTGGCGCACTGCATGTGGTCGTGGTCTGCCATAACTTTTTGCTCTTACCATTTACTAGAATCGCTAAGTAACGTGGATCATGTTGTTTAGATTACGACCTTTGCTTTTTAATGTTGCTGGTAAGTATGATAAATTTAGACAGAGTGAGAGAGTCGCCAACATAGAGTGCCGTGGTCGGCGCGTTGTAGGCGCATCTCATATTTACCCTAGGGCTTAGGGCTAGTAGTTTTTTGGGATTTTGAAGGTGTTGTGACAGACGTTTCCGCGGCAATTCAAGCGGGTGTTTAGGTCGAATAATGTTGATCTTCTGCTAATGAGAACAAGCAGTCGGCACCCAGATGGAGAGTTTGCATATGCTGGAAATTCAAAGCGGGATAAGCCACGATATCACTCACCCTGCGCCACAGCCTCGAACTGCGCCACAGTCTCTCCCGGAACAGCAGTTAAATGTGCTGCCGCCGCTGGGCGAGGAGAAGGGTGCGTACGAAGGGACGCAGTCGCTTCTATACCGCCAGGTGCTACACGCGGACCAAGTCGGCAGTCTCACGGAAGTGCGCATGGACCTCAGGGATGATGGCGAGGATTTCCTCGCTGACGGAGACGCGAAAACACGACCGGGCGAAGTAGTGGTCGCGCGCGAAGTGTCAAACTCTTAAGGCTTCCCCTAATCTCCCACTTTAAGAAGCATCGTGAAGCTGTCCTCCTCCTCTAAAAATGAGAGAGAGAAGTCCGGATGCTTCTCAAAATGGGGAGATTACTTAGGGGTGAGCTCGTCTAAAACTCTCTGCTGTCGAACAGCATGGAACAGCATCTCCGCGGACTAGGGCTTTCGGCGCCAGACACCGCGCACGCTGGTGATGCGGCCAACGTCTTACCGCGGATCGAAGTTCTGCCGGGTGTTGATGGTGCGCCTGACACAAGGGATAGTGAATGGGAGATGGAAAACCATGCGTCTCGACAACACGTGCAGGCGGCTCGGTCGCATTCGTATTATCACGGACAAGACGAGAAGGTCGCCGTCGTCCCAGGAGCCCCGCCAGTTGGAGCTGTGCATGGTGCACGACACGAGTTAACCGGCATAGGCGCAGATGAAGCTTACTCCAGTGACGATGAACATCTTGGCGCTGCAGAAGAAATACCGTCAGAAGAAGTGGTAGACGATGAGGATGACCCTACTTTGGGTGCATCCCAGTATGTAACGTCGCATCGGCTGACTACCAGAAAAGTGAATCTAGAGCAACGTGAAGATAAAGATGAGAATGAAAAGAACGACGCAGCTGTTGATGCCAGCAACTCAGTGCCGTTCAAGGTGCATAGTAGTAGCAACGCTGGTCCAGTGAGTTCTTCTTCCTTTGATAGGGATCGGGGGATGCACTTTGCGGCCCTTCTAGGCAAGAGCAGACAAGACACGCAAAGCAAGACGCGCAAGCTGAGCAACAGCGCTTCCTCCGAAAAAAGCAGTGGCTCTAGTAGCGGAGGAAGCAATGTGCTGATGCCAGTTGATCGGGCTTCGCGTGGCGCAAATGCGTCGCTGTCGTCTTCCCGACACTTCGCGGAGGATGATCCTGATCCTCTGTCTGTTATGGGCGCGTTCGCCACAAACTTTGGCGAAGTGCCGCACCGCACTGCAGGTGGCGAACCGAGCCCAACCGGCCTAAACGCAAGCATTCTCGGAGAAGATGCCCTACACGAAGAAGATGACGAAATCTTTACTGAATTCGATGAGGGTGGAGAGCAGGGCAACCTTTCGTCTGGAGATGTGGTTCCCCACAGGTCACGACCGACATGAAGAGTTAGGATTGACACAAGCTTAGATATATTATATATATATATGAACCTGAATTCAAATTCAATTCAGCCTGAACCTGACTCATGTTGGAATTTCCACATCCACGGCAATATTTCAACGGGAGATAAGCTTCCACAAAGTCACTCGCTTTTTTTATGAATGCTTGTCTGAAGTACTATATTAAGCGAGAGAACAAGAATGAGAGAAGTTCTGTTGAGACCCCGTGCTCGGTATGATTACCATCTGTAGACTGAGTGTGTGGATGTTCAGGCTTATCCACAAGAAGAATATTAGAATTTATAGGGTAAACAACTTTTCTCAAATCCTTAAGGTAGGGCCTTCCTTGAGCGCCTTCCTTGTGGGAATTGATTCCCTTAAAGAATTTGCATGACAAAAAGCTGCTCCGACTTGCCTTAAGGCAGAAAGTTCTCCTTAAGGAGGCGCATTACGGAAAAGCTGCTATAAACTTAGGCTAGTAATAGACCCTCCCTGAAGGGCCACCACCACCTCGCAAGGGCCTTAGCTTGCTTCTAGCTTAATAAATAGCCATGGCCAGCCCCCTAGCTGCTCAGGCCTAGCTAGCTGGCTCGCTTACCCCTTACCCGTAGCTACGCTACCTGGCTAGGTTAGCCGTAGCTAGCCTGCTAGCTGCTTGGCCATAGCTAGCCTGCTAGCTGCTTAGCCACAGCTAGCCTGCTAGCTGCGTAGCCGTAGCTACGCTAACTAGCAAGGGAGCTGCTTGGCCATAGCTATCTAGCTAGCTGCTTAGCCATAGCTAGCGTGCTGGCTGCTTAGGCATAGCATAGCTAGCTTGCTAGCTGCTGCGCCATAGCTAGCGAGCTTACTAGGTAGCTGCTGGGCCCTATTTAGCTAGCAAGCTAGCTGCCTGGCCATGATAGCTATCCTGCTAGCTGCTTGGCCATTGATGCTAGCCTGCTCCTAGCTGCTTCGCCATAACATAACTGGCGTGGTCGCTGGTTCCTTTACGACACCTAACTCAGCAACTGCTTTCTTGGCCATAGCGAGCCAGCTTGCTGGCTAGCTTGGCCATGGCCACCCTGCTAGCTTAGCCCGGCAGCCAGAGCCAGCCTCGTAGCCTAGTCTCGGCCAGCTTGCTAGCTCCGCCATATGTAGCTGGCTAGCTGTGCTATGGCTTCTCCAGCTCGCTAGCTTGCTACCCTAGCCACAAGACAGCGACAGCCAGCCCGCTTTTTCAGCCATGAGGGGCGTCCACCGTAGTCCGCCTTGAACCAGCCGCGCGTCGCTACTTTGGTGACGTAGGGGCTTGCGTCGTAGTCTTATCTGTCTAGTTGCTAACCTATGCCCAGCGCCGCGGGCCGTTGATGGGCCCGCTTTCTGGGCAACGTGTATTGATACTTATAAGCTAGAGCATTTTAGTTGTTGTTCATGTTCTTCAGGAAAATTCGTTAAGGGAAGTTCCTTAAAGCTGTGCCACCCTTAAGGAGCACCTTAGTAATAAAATTGGCTATTTTTAAAGGCCTCTCTTTAAGGCGAGGCCTTTAGTAGCCAGCCCTATTCAGTCTATTAGCTGGCCGAGGCTTCTGAGCTAGCTGCCCAAGGCTTCTGGGCTAGCTGGCTTAGGCCTCTGAGCTAGCTGGCCGTAGCTTCTAAGCTAGGTAGCGGCCGAAAGCTTCTAAGCTAGCTGGCAAGAGTGGCTTCCAAGCTAGCTGGCAATGGCTTCCAAGCTAGCTGGCAATGGCTTCCAAGCTAGCTGGCAATGGCTTCCAAGCTAGCTGGCAATGGCTTCCAAGCTAGCTGGTGGCGGCTTCTAAGCTAGGTAGCAGGCCAAAGTAGCCACGGCAGTGGCACCCATTGGCTTCCAAGGAGGTAAGCTAGCAAGTTGCCCAAAGCTTCTGAGCTAGCCGGCCAAAGCTTGCGAGCTAGCTGCCAAAAGCTTCAGAGTTTGCTGCCGATGGCTTCTAAGCTAGCTGGCAACGACTTTCGAGCTAGCTGGCCAGAGCTTCGAAGCTAGTTCGCTGGCCGAGGCTTCTGAGCCAGCTGGCCAAGGCTTCTAAGCTAGCCGGCCACGGCTTCCAAGCTAGCTGGCCATGGCTTCCAAGCTAGCTGGCCATGGCTTCCAAGCTAGCAAGCCACGGGGCCCATTTCCATTGGCTTCTAAGTACGCTACCTAACAAGCTGCCTAAGGCTCCTGAGCTTGCTGGCCAAGGTTTGCGAGCTACTTGCCCAGGGCGTCAGAGTTACTTAGCTGCCCGTGACTTCTAAGCTAGGTGGCCATGGCTTCTGAGCTCGGTTGCCACGACTCACTGCTCCCGAGCTAGGTGGCCATCGCTTCTGACGTTGTAGCTGGCCATGGCTTCTTTGTGAGCTAAGTAGCTTCTTCGGACTTAGCAAGCTGCCCATGGCTTCTAAGCTAGCTGGCCATGGCTTCTAAACTAGCTGGCCATGGCTTCTGAGCTCGCTGGCCCTAGCTTGTGAGCTAGCTGGCCATAGCTTCGAGGCTAGCTGCCCAAAGCTTCTAAGCTAGCTGGCCATGGCTTCCAAGCTAGCTGGCGACAGCTTCTAAGCTACCAAGCCACGGCACCCATTGCTATCGATTGGCTTCCAGGTAGGCCAGCAAACTGCCCAAGGCTTGCGAGCTAGCTGCCCAAGGGAAGGGCTCGGGGTTAGCTGCCTATGCCTATGGCTTCTGATCTAAGCTCGTTGGCCATGGCTTCTGAGCTAGCTGGCCAAGCCAAGGCTTCCTTCTGAGCTAGCTGGCCAAGGCTTCGGAGCTAACTGGCCAAGGCTTGTTCGGAGCTAGCTGGCCAAGGCTTCGGAGCTAGCTGGCCAAGGCTTCAGAGCTAGCTGGCCATCGCATCCATTGGCGCTGGCTTCTCTCTAAGTAACCTAGCCAGCTGGCCCGCTATAGCTTCTGAGTGGGCTGGTGGCTCATTGCTTTTTTTTGAGCTAGTTGGTTAGGGCTTCTGAGGGCTCCAGCTTCTCAGCTCTCTGGCTATGCCTTCCGAGCTAGCTGGCCTGCTAGGGCTTCCAGGCTAGCTGGCTAAGGCTGCCTTCCGCTTCTGCTCTAAGGTGGCTGGCTGCCTATCTGTGGGCAGCGTGTCTGACATTTGCACGCGTTTCTTTTGGTATTCTTATCTGTCTACTCTTCTTTTCAGCCAGAACCTCGGGCACCACCGGCGGGCCCCTGTACGTGCCCACAGTTGGGGCCGCGTACGGGGCACGTATCTATGTCTTTTGCGTGCCAGCCCGCTTATACCTATGGTTGCCTATCGCTTCTACTATGTAAATGTATCGTCGCTATCGCTGCTCTCATCAAGTCTGTCTGTTTTCGTCTGCTCGTTGTGCGTGTGAACAATCATAATCGACACTGCAGCCCACGACCCCGTGGAGTCATCGCAGATATTCGCTCGAGCACTGACTGGCTGACTGATGTTGACGAGAGTATCCTCAGTACATTCATGATGAGACTGATGGGTTTGGGTTTCTGTATCTTTATGCATGTCGTGCGTGCATTCAACGCTAATGTCTGTGCGAGTGCATAGTGATTGACTGGCAGCAGTGTTTGTTTGAGACACGAGCCTAGTTCAAAGGGGATATGCGTGAGAACATTAGCACACGGTGTGTGAGAAGTGTACTTCCGCCCAATCCACGATTAGGTTTAGGAAGCGCGATTTTGCGTCTATGTACTCATTAATTCCACCTTCATCGATCACTCTTTTCTGAATGACATCCAATAACCTGTAGGGAGCTGGGTGTCATTCTATGACGCTTGCAGGCAGTCTGCACTGAATTTCGTGCGAGATTAGTTGTATTGTCTTGTATTCTGTATTGTAATGCAATGACACGGGGACACACAATGGTCTGGACGCCTATGTATTGGAGCTGAAAAGCCCTAGGAGAGCATAACTGGTGAGACGACGAACCCCTCGAAAGGTTCTATTGCGGACGTTTTGGTCGTGTTCATGGTGCTGGCGGCTGATCAGCGAATGAAGCCCTTTTCGAAGGGATCGGCGACCGGCAGGCGGCGTTGCGCACAGAACGAACTGGATGCAACGTGTAGGCGCTTTCGTTGTCTTTGTGTCAATGTCGATGACCTTTCGCCGTCGAGTTGTGCAGCGAGACCGCAGAGCCAATCGCCAACAGTTTTGCCACGATTTTGTCGGTGTTTACCTCCTGCACTCCGGTTGCTCTCGGGAACCTGTTTGTTGCAGGTAGCGAACGGCTTTGAACAGCGCGATCGTTCGCGCCAAGTCAGTCTAGCTCTAGGCGCGGAGGTGGATTACCACGAGGCTTGGCGAGGAGATCGTGAAGGCAGTGGAGGCAGTGGCCACTCTAGTAGCTCCTCCAGTATATCAACACACGTGAGCTCTCCCTCGTCCACCTCTTTTGCAGACGACTCTACGAAGGACTTGAGGACCGAAATTCCACGTAACCCTTCTCAGAACGGCAGCCCTATTCAAGGGGCTTGGAGTGCTGTATCCACAGAGGGGAATATCGGGACAGAGTTGCAGTTTAGTACTAGTGCGTTTCTTGCTTCTGGTACTCCTCAAAAACCCGTCCCGGGTGGAGGCAGTGGCGCTTCATCGACGAAACCAGGAGAAAATTGGAATATTCTTGTGGCGCAATTGAATTTTCCGGATCGCATGCGTTATTACCTGTCGAAATTGAATGAAGAAGACGACACAGCAGTCTCGAAGAATGGAGTGAAAGGTAAGGCAGGAAGTCGAAAGAAGCCTGTGTACGACCTAGCCGAATACACTACGAATTTCATGAAGGAGCATCTCAAATACGACTTCGGTCCCGCCGAGGAGATGACTGCCGGACACGCTGGTGAAAGCGCTTCTGCGGAAAACCCAAATGATGATAGTGGAGGCAGTGCCGAAAAACAAGACCAAAAAAATAGTGATACTAGTAGTACTGATGTGGATGACTATGAGAATGAAAGCAGAAGAAAAAACGATGAAGCGATAGATGGCAAGACGGTTTCACAGGTCGTAAAGGACACTACCGAAGAGTCCATGGCGATGTCAGTTGGCCAAGAGGCGGGGCTATCCGAGCTTCTCGCGTGGAACTATCATGGAGAAGAGGCTAGAGAAAAAGCCAAGAAGGAGAACAACGGGCAGTACAAACCTCCTGATAATGTGCCGCTTGTTGATGTCGTGCTTAGCCACTTCCGCCTCTATCGCAGTCATGTCGCCTACGAGCGCCCTGAAAGTTTTGTTGAAGCATTCAAATGTATTTCAATTTTTCTTTTTTGAGTCTGTAAGTAATTACATCTTTGTTCTTATTACTTGTATATATTTATAAATTTAAATATAACACAACTACTTCTTCGACGACAGCGCGCATGCCGCAGGGTAAGTACAGTATTGATACACGACGTATTTGTTCTTGGCCTTAATAGCTTCGGCACTTTTCTCGAGCTTACTCAGGTATTATCGCCAAGGACACGGTCTGCGAAGTAGCATCGACGGAAGTCGATCTTCCGCTCCCACAAACACCCGGTCAACAGTGCAGAGAGGTCGGAAGTAGGTTGAAGCGTCTTCGCGATTTAGCACTGTACTCGCGAACAAACAACCTGGTCTCGGACAAGAAAAACATCGTCTTGGGCGACGACAGTGCGGAAACGGAACGGAGAATGCGGCTGTGGAAAGGTTTTTGGGAGTTGCTGATTGACGAGTCGCTTCGCAGTGGCAGTGAGGGCGCCTCGAAGCATATGATCGGGCTCGTAGATGCTTATTGCCGTCGGCAAATTCCCGTTTATGTCGACGGACTACAGCCACCCGTTTTCCTGTTCGGCGTCGTTGAGGACTTCCGTGCTCCTTGGCTCCTAGGATCAGAATTCTTTGTGAACGGCTACAGCCACGACTGGTATCCAGCCTACAATCGGCGCTCGGTTTTGTCGGCAATGTATCTCGCAGTGCATGACGCTTTGGACGTCTTTGTGTTGATGCCGGATCCTTCGAAAAAAAATTACAAGAGTCGTGTTTTCTTCGAGGAGCTTATACAGATTATGGCATTTTTCGATGCTGGTGTCGTTAGCGTGCAACCTCTCACAGGCGAGAACGAAGAGCGTTTCAATTTGCAGGTTTTGCAGATCATGTCTAGTGCCGAGATGAGCGGAGAGAGCGACGACGCCTTCGAGAACCGACGGGAGATTGAGGATCTGAATCTGGTTGGTTGGGATGCTTCAGTGTCGAAGGCTATCAATTTTTCGAGACTGCGGGCGCGGCTACGAGCGTTTGCTTTCGGTCGCGGGTTTCGTAGTACTACCGTGGATAGCAGTCGGCGAGGGCCGCCCGACACTCACAGAGCTGCAAATACGATGATCGAGTTGACGAAGCAGACGCCACCCGTCGGCCAGATGTATATCCCACCCATCCTTATTCCCGATGCTGGGTTATCGTTATGGAGTGGCGCCGGCAGTGACACCTACGCGAGCGTATTCACACACGACCTCAAAATCGTCCTCGCTTTGCTCGAAGAAAAAAGGAAACGAAAATTCGATACGCCGAGCGTAGTCGTTTTCCAATGTTTCCCGAAAAACTTCTACGATGTCGAGTGCCAGGAGAGGGTCAAGCAGCTGGCATCGAAGGTAGATGAGTTTCAGGCGGCAAACTCCCAGGCAATCGGTGGCGCGGGGTCTCAAAATCAACCGTGGTCGTTCCTGAAGGTGTGGAAAAATGATGACCACCAGCTCATCGCCTTCGAGTTCCAGCATGAGAATGCAGTCTGGTTCCACGAGCAATCCTACTGGAGAGAATTTAACGATTGGCGAAGCGGCAGCAGCATCCGACGCGTCAATGTGAACACGCTGGAATCCGCCGCCGACACGACGAGGAATGCTGGCGCGCAGAGATATGTCTTGTGGCTGTCTCATTCTGAGCTTCTTGACGGTAATGCTTTCTCGGCGACGCACACACTCGGCATCGGGCAGCACCGAATTCCGCTTACCATGTTATTTTGTCCAGCAGAGCAGCTTCCCGACGCGTGCGCGTTGCATAACGCGCTTTTTACGCCGCGGGCGCCGAAGCTGGCCTCCCAAAAAGATCCTGTTAGTGTGGGCGATGCGGAACCGGCACGCGAATGCAGGTGCCGCTCCGGGTGCAATATGGGGAGTGACAGTGAGATTGAGGCACCCGCGCCACAGCTAGGAGGACCTGCAGAAAGCACTTCAACCTTGCAGCTCCAGGAGCGCCCGTCCAAGCTGCGACGGCCGAACTCCCCTAACACCGCTTTCGTCGCGGTGGAAGCGGAGCGCTAGAAAGGGGCGGTAGAATAAAACATCTTCATTCATTAGGAACGGAGATGTGATTAGAAGTGTCATCTTCTTTCAGAGGACGACTAGTAGAAAAACGGAACAAATCTTGTTCACTCAGAGCAAGATCAATCCGTCCCGAGCATTTTTTTGAGGAATTTTGATAGGACACTTCTGCATGAAAATAGATAAGTAATGGAACGAATTATAGAACGTGTTCGTTGTACACTCAGAAGTCAGAAGATCAGGCGATTGTGGGGCGGCTGTTGTAGTACTAGAAGTTGAGTAGCTATTTATTCTAGTCTGTCTAATATCGGTAGCTCCGCTCTCCTGCTTTTTTCAGGTTCCTGGCTTCCTTCATTCATTGCTTGCTAAACGAATCGTGTCCCGATATTTGATAAACCTGAATCCAATTGTTCAACCTTCCTGATCTAATTTCCACGGTAATCTATATTTCGACGGAACAAGATAAGCTTCCAGAAAATTATATTCGCTTTTTGAATGCCTGTTTGACGTAAGTACTACTTAGAAGCGACAGAAGATGAATTATAGAAGAAGATCTGTTGATTGAGACCCCGTGCTCTGTATAATCACCATCGATTTTCAGGTTTATCCACAAGAAGCATATCGATATCTTTTGTGCTTGTGGGCCAGCCTGCTTATACTTGTGCTTGCTTATCGCTGCTACTATCGTCGCTTCTATCGCTGCTTAAGCTCATCGTCATTCCATGGCGCTATCGCTTCGCTCTCATCAAGTCTATCTGTCTTCTTCTGCTCGTTGTGCTTGTGAAGAATCATAATCGACACTGCCGACCCGACCCCGTCGAGTTGTCGCAGATATTCGCTGAAGCACTGGCTGGCTGACTGATGTTGACGAGAGTGTCTCTAGTACATTCATGATGAGACTGATAGGTTTGAGTTTCTGTATCTTTATGCATGTCGTACGTGAATTCAACGCTAACGTCTGTGCGAGTGCTGAGTGAATGACTGGCAGCAGTGTTTGTTTGAGACAGCAGCCTAGTTCAAAGGGGATATGCGTGAAGAGAACACTAGTCCACAGTGAGCAGTGTAAGTACGTCCACATCCATCCAATCGATCCACTGTCATGTATGAGGCGCGACTTTGCGTCTATGGCTATGTATGCACTCAATAATTCCACCTGCATCGATCAGTCTTTCTCTGTTCTCCTGAATGACATCCAATAATGACACGGGGACAATGATCTGAATGCCTCTTGGAGCTGAGAAGCCCTATGAGGATATAACTGGTGAGACGACGAACCGCGTGAAAGGTTCTATTGCAGACGTCTTGGTCTTGTTCAGGGTGGTGGCGGCTGATCAACGAATGAAGCCCTTTTCGCAGGGATCGGCGCCCGGCAGGCGGCGCTGCACACCGAAGGAAACGTGTACGCGCTGTCGTTGTCTCTGTGTCGATGTAAAGGACTTTTTGCCGTCGAGTTGTGCAGCGAAAACGCAGAGCCGATCGCCAACAATTTTACCCCGATTTTATCGGTGTTCACCTCCTGCACTCCGGTTGCTCTGGGGAACCTGTTTGTTGCAGGTAGCGAATGGCTTTGAACAGCGCGACCGTTCGGGCCAAGTCAGTCCAGGCGTGGAAGTGGGGTGCAAGGCTGGGCAAGGACATCGTGAAGGCAGTGGTTGCTCCAGCTCCTCTAGTATATCAAGAACGAGCAGCAAACACGTAAGTGCTCCCTCCACCTCTTTTGCAGACGACTTTGCGAAGGACTTGAGGACCGAAATTCCGCGCAACCCTTTTGAGAATGGCAGCCCTATTCAAGGGGCTTCTTGGAGTGCTGTATCCACAGAGGTGAACACCGGGACAGAGTTGCCGTCTAGTACTAGTGCGTTTCTTGCTTTTGGTACTCCTCAAGAAACCGTCTCGGGTGGAGGCAGTAGTGCTTCATCGACGAAATTAGCAATATTAGACAATCGGAATCATGTTCTGGAGGTCTTTTTTCGGGATCGCATGCGCAAGTATCTGTCGCAAGTGAAGCGAGAAAGCGACGGAGCAGCCTCGAAAAAGGGAAAGGAGTCAGGAAAGGCAGGAAGTCGAAAGGAGCCTGTGTCTGAGCTAGCCGAATGCACTAAGAATCTCGTGACGAAGCAACTCAAATACGACTTTGGTCCCGCCGAGTCAATGACTGCCGGACATGCTGGTGGGAGCGCTTCTGCGGGAGAGCCGAATGATGATAGTGGTAGTGCCGAAAAACAAGACCAAAAAGATAGTGACACTAGTAGTACTGATGTGGATGACTACGAGAAGGAAAGCAGAAGAAAAAACGATGAAGCGATAAATGGCAAGGCGGTTTCACAGGTCATAAAGGACACTGTCGAAGAGTCCATGGCGATGTCGGTTGGCCAAGAGGCGGGGCTATCCGAGCTCCTCGCGTGGAACTATCATGGAGAAGAGGCTAGAGAAAAAGCCAAGAAGGAGAACAACGGGCAGTACAAACCTCCTGATAATGTTCCGCTTGTTGATAACGTGCTCCGCCAATTCAGACTCTATCGCAGTCCCAGTTATGTCGAGTACGAGGACCCTAAAAGTTTTGTTGAAGCATTCAGGAAATGTATTTCGATTTTTCTTTTTTACATCTGAATCTGTCTAAGTACTTACTATCGTACTACAACTTCAATGACAATTGCGCGAACGCAGCAGGGTAAGTTTGGTTTTCATACACCTTTTTTTCTTTTGGCCTGCTCAATAGCTCTGGCACTTTTCTCAAGATTATGAAGGTACTATCGCCAGGACCAGTGACCACGCGGTCTGCGAAGTAGCATCCGAGGAAATCCGTTTTCCTCCACCCTCACAAACACGCGTCCAGCAGTGCACGGAGGTCAAAAGTCGGTTGCAGCGTCTTCACGATTTAGCACTGTACGCGAAAAAAAATGACCTGGTTTCCGACATTGCCTTGGGCGACAAGGATGAGGAATCGAAAGAGAGAATGCAACGGCTGTGGAATGCTTTTTGGGGGTTGCTGGTTGACGAAACGCTTCGCACGGACAGCGAGAACACCACGAAGCATATGGCCGGGCTCGTAGATGCTTATTGCCATGCTGGGCAAAGTCCCACGCCCGTTTATGCCGACGGACCACGGCCACCCGTTTTTCTGTTCGGCGTCGTTGAGGACTTTCGTGCTCCTTGGCTCCTAGGATCAGAATTCTTTGCGAACGGCTACAGCCACGACTGGTATCCAGCCTATAATCGGCGCTTAGTTTTGTGTGCAATGTATCTCGCAGTGCATGAAGCTTTGGACGTCTTTGTGTTGATGCCGGACCCTGGGAAAAAAGATTACAGGAGTCGTGTTCTGTTCGAGGAGCTTATGCAGCTAATGGCGTTTCTCGATGCTGGTGTCATTAGCCTGCAACCTCTCGCAGGTGAGAACGAGGATCGTTTCAACGTTCAGGTGTTACAGATCACATCTAGTGCCGAGATGTGCGACGACGCTGTCAAGGGTCATCGAGAAGTGGAAGATAAGGACGTCAATGCGGTGTCTTCGAGACTACGCAAGCAGCTGCGGGCGTTTGCTTGCAGTCCCGATACAACTGGCACCGATACAACTGGCACAGCTCTAGTTACGACGATCGAGTTGACGAAGGGACAGGCACCACCCGTGGGGCAGATGTACATACCGTCCATCCGTGTTCGTGATGTACCAGCTGGTTTATCGAATGGCGCCAGCAGTGACACCTACGCGAGCGTATTCAGACACGACCTCGAAATCGTCCGCGATTTGCTCGAAGAACAGAGGAAGCGAGCACTCGATACACCTCATTCTCCGGCTGAAGAGGTCGATGACAGTTCGGCTTCGGGCACCCGAGTAGCATCTGACGTCGCCGAGCTTGTCATGCGAAAATTGTTAGAAGAGGTTGCAGCGTCACACCCAGATGGTCCACAAGGCACTTCAACCTTGCAGCTCCAGGAGCGCCCGTCCAAGCTGCGACGACCGAACTCCCCTAACACCGCTTTCGTCGCGGTGGAAGCGGAGCGCTAGAAGGGGTCGGTAGAATAAAGCATCTTCATTCAGTAGAAACGGAGATGTGATTACTTAGAAGTGTCATCTTCTTTCAGAGGATAACTAGTAGAAAAATGGAGCAAAGCTTGTTCACTCAGAACAAGATCAATTCGCCCCGAGCATTTTTTTAGAGGAATTTTGATAAGAAAATTCTGCATGAAAGTAAATAAGTAATGTTGGGACGAATAGAACGTGTACACGACTCAGAAGTCAGGAGATCATCAGACGACTATGGAGCGCCTGTTGTAGTACCACAAGTTGAATAGCTTTTTATGCTAGTCTGTGTCTGTCTCATTCATATCGGTAGCTCTGCTCTCTTGCTTTTTTCAGGTTCCTGGTTTCCTCTGTTGCTTGCTTCCTATCATTATAAATATCATCATCATGCTAGTAACAAGCAGGGTTGCAGCTCATTTCTATTAAGTAGCTCCTTCAACGAGACCGAGGGAGAGGTTGATTGACCTTGATATGCGCATTCACTTACATCGTTACAACAATTCCACCCTGGCACCAGATCCTATGTCCTACATTGTGCCCAGGATAGAAAGAGACAACGAGGCAAATTTCCTTTGCGAAACCGATATTATTTCAACAATGAGGTAGAAGTAACTGGCAGCGCTACAATTTTGCCTACGTGCGTTCAATCAGCCACTGGATCTTGATGGCAATGCGAAGAACGAAGAACCGGTCTTCTTGCAAGCTTTTTGCTGTGCATCTCTTACTCTTACCTTCGGCGCTTGTTGAGCGGCTGCTGTAAAACTAGAAGTTGAATATTACCTTTGTTTTTATTTTAGTCTGTCTATCGGTAGCAGTAGCTCTGCTCTCCTGCTTTTTTCAGGTTCGTGGTTTTCTCTGTTGCTTGCTAAACGAGTCGTGATGCTATGGTGGCCCGATGTCTCGTCTGAAATACCCAAAGTCCAAAGAGAGAGTGTTGATGCATCAATCACGGAAATTGAGACTCAACACTAAGACTACTCAGCGCCCATCTCGTTTTCACCATTCTTGAAACAATGCGAGAGATTTTCAATTGCCTTATTGGTTCATGGTTGCCGGCCCCATAGCCGGCAGAAGCATGACCATGAAGCCTCTCTTCTCCGTGCTGTGGGTGCGTTGGTTGGTTGTTTCCGGCGCAGCGATTACGATTATCCCACTTCTTGAGCAAAGCATTGTTGGCGCGTCCACCGATACAGAAAGACGGAATGGCGGCAGCGCGGCGACCACGTCGACGACCGATCCATCGATCGACGGAAGCATTCATGACACCAGTAATGACTTTCGAGGGACCGAAACCTACCTCCTGTTGGACCATTTGCCGCCTTTCCTGGGCAATCAGATCGCCACGCTAGTAGAATTCCTTTACCTCGGATATAAAACGCGACGCATTGTGGTTCTACCAAGCCAATGGCGGCCGATGTTCGGTTCCGCAGTCGATGAGCTACAAAGCTACATTTCTGAATGGTCGCTGTACGAGTTAGCAGCTAAGCGGTATGTGTGGACCTTGAAGCAGAACGCTAGCACTCAGGAAGATGGCAAGGACTCAAAATTTCAGGAGAAACCTGTGCACCCTTTGCGCGTCCAGTGGACTGATTCCTTGGATATCGTCCATCGTGATGTTGATAGTACGGATGGCAAAGCTGCAACCACAACTACAAGAACTTCTAAGTCGATGTCGTCAACCGGAGCAGCAAGATCTTCGTCGGACAAGCGGTCAAAAAAGGTTGAGATGCTACCACTTTTGGACCTAAATAGTGGGCAGCTGCGCGACGGGCCAATGCGATGGACTTTGGATGTTCGTGACATGCGCGCGCACGGGTTGTTCGCGAGCTTTTATCGTGGTATGCCAGACTTCTACAAGAAAAAAGGTGACATTGTCGATGCCGTCGGTGGAAACAGTGCGAAGTCGTATTCTGCTACTAACAAGGCGAAGGCAAAGCGGAGTCAAAAGAAGGAGTTTGCTGGTACGTCCATTTTGTACAGGCAAGCGTCGGAGAGCGGTAAAGTCGAAGCGGTGTATGACGATAATCGAGTGCGCTTGGAAGTATGGACAGAAGAAGACATCGTAAGCAGGATGAGATCACAACGTAGTGCGATTGGGAAGCAGCTCGGGAATAAAGATTCGAGGACCAGTACTATAGCGAGTACTTCTAGTACAGGAACTTCTGCTGTTCTTTCACCACCACCAGCTCGAGATTTATTGCCCATCGTGTTTTCCAAATTGGCTTCGGAAAGCCAGTACAACTCTGCGCAAGAGGCAGCATCAGCGTCGGCAGGTGTGCCTTTGGTTGGCAAAGCTGCGCGAAGGCAGACAGCGCAGACATACTACCAATACAAGCGTCCTGGCACGTTGGCTTTTCTAGAGTCAGTTTCTGCGGAAAAATACGTTGGATTGCGGCAAACTTGGCACGGGTTCCACGGATTATGGTCTCCGGAGCATGTGGGTGCGTCGAGTCTCCTCGACCCTCAACTAGAAAAACAGGCAATGTGTAAGTACGGACGGCCAAGAAATGCAGCTCCTGGTGTCGCGTCAAAACATCTTTCAGGAGAAAGAAGAAAAAGAAAAACCGGAGTGAAATCTAATGACGGTCGTGGACAAGAATCTTCAGAAGATATCGAAACTAAAAAGAAGATACCAAGAAGCAAGGTGTTAGAAAAGGAATTCGATAAAGAGGCGGACGCATTGAATCTCGAAGGAAGAGAAGAGGAGATTTGTGGATCACAATTTTTGGACGCGTTTTAAGGCTGACACGAATCGATCTTCAACAGCATCGATCCGGCGACGGTTATTTTGAAGGGGGAAAACGAAAAAGTGTCAGGATCGATGCACTTTGAAGAGATGGATTTAGTGAAGGTCTAAGCGTTCTTCGTCCCATTTTTTCGGTCAACCATAGAGCGCATGTTTGTAGCACCAATTGTGCATGCCCACAACCTCCGGGAACGGCGAGCATCACAAAGGCAGCTGCTTGCATCCACTGCGGCGCACGTGAGTCGAAATCGCCTCCCGTTGCGATGCGGTATCGTAGTCAACGAGGACGAAACCCTCTTAGGTTGGCGAAACTGCGACCTGGACACGACACAAGAGAAAATGCCAAGAGATGGCTCTGCGAATACTTCATCGTCCACTGGTGGTGGACCAGCACAAGAAGATGAGCAGACTCTGACAAAAGCTTCTAACTCTAAGCAGGCGGCATTGTTGGACATATTAGGGCAGGGCGATTTGGTGCATCTCAAGAAGGAAGACTTGAATGAACCTCCAACGACATTGTTGCAGTCGCTCGTGGATTACTTCCTAAAACATCGGATTTTTGTAGTGCATCTGCGATCGATGACACGCATTTTGTATCCTGAAGACGTTCTCAGAGAGTACACAGAGGTTGCAGACCTGCGCGAGAAAAAAAAGCTCAAGAATGCTTCGGATCTCCATGTGAGCAGGAAAGCACGGCGCGCTAGCCTGGTGCCAAAAAAGGCTGACACAGAAGATGGGAAGATGAGAAAACAAGGTACGAAGAAAGAGGAGGGGCGCAAAAGTGAGAAGCAAGATAAAAAGCAATTGAAGACAGGCGCAATGGAGGACATGCCAGTTGTTGCAGAGGCGAATACTATCGGCGAAGTTTGGAAGAGGATGTCACTACCAGCACAGTACGGTGCAAATGTGCGTCGGCGGCGAAAGAAGATTTCGAAGGAGATCGAGAATCTACGTCGTAAACCAAAGAGTGACTTATTTCCGGACGATGTTGATGAAGATGTTGGTGTCGATCGGAGCAAACACCAGGAGGATACAACGCATCAAGATGAACACGAGCAGTTGCCAATATCAGCAGAGGATGAAGAGCCTAATGAAAGTAGTGAAGATGATACTGCTGATGCTGAGGAACAAGAGAATTTGTCAGATTCCGAAATCGATGCTCACAACAAGAACCTACGACAAGATTACGTTCTCTACTTGTGCACTGACAATGCACAATCAAGAGGCGTCCAAGAACTAGCACATTACTTTCGGCGCGAGTACAATTTTGAGGTGATAACGAGCGCTGACACGCAGGAGTGGGCTGAAGCGCTGATTTTGGAAAGGGAAGTAGAGGTCGTTGATAGCTCTCCCAAAATGCAAGAAGCCGAAAACATGATTCATCCAGGGATAGTCGGCAATTTTGTTTCTGCGTCTGCACCTGCTTTAGTTGCAGGCGCAGGAGGACGTACGACTACGAGCGAAGGTCCGCGTCATCTTGGTAGCCGACCGGATATGCATCTTTTCCTTGAGCTTTTTCTTGTGAGTCTGTCGGATGTCCTTCTGGGCTCTCCATGGAGTAGTCTGTTTTGGCTGATGCGGCGACTCCGAGAGATCGTTTCGCGGAAGATCGCGCTTCACCGGACTGTGGATCGGGTGTCTTGCTCCGCCCGTGTTCGGACATTCGAACTAGATCGAGCGGACCCACACTTGGTAATCTGTCGACCCACTACTGTGGAAGTTGAAGTGGAGGTTCCACGGGATAGTGCTGACGAGTACGAAATCACCTCGAAGAAGACGGCAATAACGAAAGTTCTCCGCACGTATCCAGAAGATCGCTTCCGAGCGTTCTACGAGACTCTGGGGTACGCGAAAATTGTGGAATTGACGTCAACGACATTGGGGAAGGCTGAGCCCGACATGCTTTTCACGGAAATAGGAGGTGCTCTCGCCGAACCACCTGTAGTAAACGAAGAAAAAGGAGGGCCTGCTGATAGTACTGTAAGAAATCTTGCTCTACTGCCAATCATCCCGCGACAAAAATTGTCGCACGTTCGATGGCAGGAGATGACAGTTTTGCATAGTGAGAAACTTCTTCCAACTCTGAACGTACGGGAAATGTTCGGGGAACTTGATGCAGCTACCATATTTCCTAGTTCCTTTTACGCCTTCGATCTTTGGTCGTGGACGCGGAATATAGCCGCAGTATTGGACGCCGCCCGCGACGAAGCAGATGATGTCAAGAGGGAAGAACAACAACAACACCAATCTTCTGTAAGAAAAACATCAAGTGCTGCAGCAGAGAATGCTAGTAGGAGCAGGACAACCACTAGCACTACATCTACAAACAAGGCATCTGCAGCTTCATCTTCTAGTTCTTCAGGGTGGACCGATTTTTTTCCTCTTCGATGGCTTGATCCGGAGTACACGGAGGAGTCGGATCAATATAGGCGGTCTTTGAAGGTGACTCTAGCGCTTCCACCTGAATCGCTCGCTCAGATGGTGAAAGACGGAAAAAGCAAAAAGAACATAGCGGAGTCGGTTTTGGGTACCATTGCCAGGCAGATGAATTTCAACTTGGATCCACAAGCCGAACAATATCCCTTGGTATTTGATGTGTATGGGCAGGAAATGCAGATGGGGCAGAAGCATGCTGGCAAGAAGATGAAGAACAAAGAAGTAGATCTTCCTAAAGATGAATCTTCTGCACTAGTGTACGAGGAAGTGCTGGACGTATCCAAAATATTGGATCAAACAAATTCAAGAACTACAAGTAGAAGCGGAGAAGAACGTGCTGTTACACCTCAACTTTTTAATCAAGATTGGAGCATGGGTGAGATTGCGGTAGGTTTATGGGCGCATGAGACGTTCGTCCGCACAGAAGGTGATGCAGCCCTGCCGTTTTTGTTGTATCTGCGCTATTTGCTTCTTTTCTTGACCCAAGCGAATTACTCGGAGCGTGAGTGTAGGCGTGAAGTCGGTGTCGCTGGACATCTTACATGGTTGCTGTTCTGGGTCTACACGCGCGAACACGAAAAACATCAAGTCGTCGCTGCGGACGAAGATGACAATTTATTGGACCACGAGCCTGCTCGCAGTACAACTTCTTCTAGCAACCGATCAGCATATGAACAAGACAAAGCACAACCAGAACCACCTTTTGAACAAGACAAATGGGGTTCTACCAACGGAATCCCGACGAACAAACCTCCAATCAAAGGGACGATTTTTCGTCTGCTGCAGGTAGCACGAGACCCCGCATTAGGGTATTTGAAAGCGATTTTTGAGTTCTTGCAACACAGTCGCTGTCAGTCTCAATACATTGCAGACGAGGATTATCAGAGATGGGTAGATGGGCGTCAGAAAATCCACCATTCTTCGAGAAAAGCCTTCGGGAATCGGGTGGCTCGCGAGTACTTTGAGCAGATGAAGGACCACTTTACTAGCATGACTGACAACCTCGTGGTCCATGCGGATGAAATTTCCTCTGGCGCTTCATCGTCTCCATCATCGTCTGCTTCGTCACGATCATTTACTTCTCCCAGCAGTTTTAAGAATTTGAAAACTTCTTTCATCTGTAATGGCCGAAATGGAGAAGTTGGAGACCGCCGACCATCTACCGCTTCTAGCCGTAGAGATTCGTCGAACAAGTCTTGGCTGGATACCTGGGACCCGACTGAAGCTCCAAAATTTGAAGTGTACGATCAGCAACAGGAGATGTGCGATCATGGTGTTAAGGCTACAAGAAATCCATCTTCCCAGGCGTCTTGGTTCCGCTTTTAAAGGGAAAAGGGGACTCAAGATGGTGCTGAAGCTGGACTTCTCGTAGTTCTAATGGTGGAACGTTCCTCAATGGCACACTGGTTTCGGTTCCGGTCCGTCCACGCAACGAACGCATTTTTTTCGACCTGAAATCGGACGAAGCGGTGGCATGGCGATGGTGTCGCAACGAGGGATCCGAGGTGGAATCTTCTTCTGGTGGTACCGAACCGCTTGATTTGATGTTGGGCTGCGAGGAGCTCATACGTTTTAACAGAGAATTTCAACATGATGTTGGAGCAGTAGAAGACGACGACGACAAAGAAGAAGAGGTTCGCCACAACAGGGACTGGATGCAATTTTTATTGCAGATGCAGCAAGTCATCAGGTGGGAGCAATATGCTAGATGGAGCTATCAATGGTTGTGAAGTTATTAGATGTTACATTCATTATCAAACAATCGCGCTCTACCTCTATTGACGAGGACATTGACATAAGAGATCAAAGATGAATCCTGATCCTACGGTAGTCATGAAACGACTGAACCAAGAGCAACCATGATGATGAAACTCTAACGATTGTCTCAGACAGTTCTTGTTCTTGACAGAAAGTGAATCCTTGGAAAAATTGGACAACCAGCCATGTTGAAAATACGGACTGGGTGAAAGTGTGAAGATCCTTGTGTTCATTGTTGAAGATTTGAAAGATCAAAGCATCCACTCGATAAAAGAAAAATTTGAAGAGCAACCTCCATAGAACATGAAAGAAGATCCCAGTACTACATCCGCATACGAGAAAATTGTACAGAGTAGATCAACGAGAATGACAGGGGTCGCTTTTTCCGCCCTTTGAATTCTTGATGAAAAATGAATGCATCACAACTCTGGTATCCTTTTGAAACCAATCCGAATCTTTTCAGTGTTCGAATAAAAATCTTGCTGTTTTTTAATTGGCTAACTACGAAATACAAACTAAACTTGACCATTTTTGAGTGTTTGGAAGTTGAAATCAAAATAGTATCAACGCGTTGGAATAACTGGTCGTGACGACCTCTGGTGCTAGGCTTTATATATACGATTTATTTGGATCACGAACGAAAACGTTGAAGTTGACGCTGCGTTGTTTTTCCCTTTGTGTCGCGCCTTTCTTTGTTTTTCTTTGAAAAAGGGGAATCTTCTTTCTTTAGTACATCATTCTATACTCCTTATCAGCCTGTGCCTGCTGAATTTAGCAAATAAGAAGTGTTAGCGCTAGGAAATTCCTTTGGTTTCCTAGCCTCATAATCTGTAGTGACTAGAAATAGTCTCAACCGCGACCGTTTACTTACTTTCCTCGACATCAAGTTTTCTTGATTCACGTTTTGGTTCCTCACGAAGGACGCTAAAAACAAACAAAATGCCGGACGAGAACAGCCTCGACCATCCGACCTACGGGTGGACTAAGACTGCCAACACGAAGAACAAGAGCGCTATGGCTGAAGCTCAGCGCCGCAACAATATTGAAACCGACAACAAATTCGGTGCGGCCAACCACAGTTTGGGCCCGACGAACGCCAAGGCTTTAGATGAGGATACTGGCAGTTACAAGCACAAAGAGATCCCCAAGGAGTTCAAGCAGGCTTTGATGAAATTGCGTACCCAGAAGGGCATGACCCAGGCGGACTTGGCGCAAAAGTGCAACTTGGCGCCTGCGATCATCCGCGACTACGAGTCCGGCAAGGCGGTTCCAACGGGTGACGTCATTGCGAAGCTCAACAGGGCTCTCGGTGCAGCCTTGCCCAAGATCCCGAAGCAAAAGAAGAAGGACTAAATATGATTACAATCGATCAAAGAGGAAGGGGAGGATGATCAGTTGTACGTTATATATGAGATTAAAGTGGTATGAAGTGTGACGCAGGAGGGCGGCATGCCACTTATGAACCAGCGGATGGACATCGACTAGAACGACGAGGAGAATTCAGTCTGAATGTCGTTGGGAGTATTGAAACTTTTCAGAGCTATAGTGATTTCTTCATGTTGTATTACCCCTTTTTTTATCAAATACAAAAATCCTTGACCTTGTTGTTGATGAAGATCGATGATGGCCCCATTGCCTATCATAGTGATATGCATGTGTCTAAGATCTACTTCTACTTCGACACTCATAACTGTTCCTGACGGACGGGATGGAAAGTAGTTTATCTTCGACGCGTCAGCTACTTCCCAGCGCCCTTGTCTTCATACACTCTACGTATCATTCTTCTATATAGTACTAAATCATATTATTATCGTGTCCTCCTCGACACTACAGTACAAATTACAGACGGTGGGGATCTATGCTCGCGACCGGTAGGGTGTTGACGCCCTCAGCATTGGTTAATGAGACTGTCAAAAAACTGTTATACATCATAGTGGATGCCGTAGTGCATATTCACTTTCATCCTCCCCTCATAAGGTGAGATAAGTATTTGTGTTGCTTATACTTCTTGAGTTGTCTTTTATTTGACCAAGGCGTGGGTCTGGCTATTTCATTGGAATCGGCTATCGTGGGTTTTTACACGTTGCGATCCTGATATGGTGCTCAGGGTTGTTGTTGCAGTAAGCTAGCAAATAGAACATGCTCCTGATGGCGGAGATGATTTCAAGTGAAATAAGAATGGAGTATTGTCAGCATCACTGCCTAAAAATGGGTACCCATGTTTTCGGTGAAGACTTGCAAGTAACGTGACTGGACAAGCAAGTGCAAGAGTGGTCTGAGAGAGGCGGCGTGTGGAAGTGGGCGAAGTCACTGGTCTGAGAACTGAAGCTATATTATGAGAGAGCAGCCACAAGCTAGTGTGTGCGTTTGAAAGACCAACTTCGAAAATTTGATAATCAGCTGCTAGTGGTACTGTGTTGTTGCATGTTCTTTCATACTTTAAGTACCTCCTACCCTACAATGTGAAGACAGTTTTCTGTGCTGAGAAGGGTATGAAAGCGAAAAAAATGTCGTGGTTAAAGAATTCCGTGTCTATTCGGCAACTACCAATTTTGGCATTGGTAGTTGTGTCTTATAATTTTGCGTTCAGCGCCTCGTGGGTCTTCTCGGTCTCCTCTCTTCTCGTGCACGCGGCTGCAAGCGGATCTCCAGCTCCATCAAGAGAAAAACTTTTATCTGGTGCTATTAACGACCCTGGTGCTCCTGGTATGAGCTTGTTGGATCGTGAAATTGCCCTTCTTCGCGAACATCAGGCGGCTCGTCGAAGTCGCCTCAAACAGCTGGAAGCGGAGCTTGCTGCTTTAACGGGTGTAGAGGTGGAAAATGATCCCAAGGAACAAGCTCTAAAAGTAGTACCAAAACAGACCACATCTTCAGAGAGCATTTTCAGTGAAATAGGAAAATCGAGCTCATGGGAATCAGGCGGCACTGGCTTCCTTTCCGATTGGCTAGTGGAGCGGCAACGCTTTGAGTCGGGAACAACTACAACGATGTCTGATCAAAAAGAAGTCACATCTTCTACCTCCAAACGGGTACCAAAATCATCTCCTGGAGGCCATGACATCATTGCTTCGCAGTTGCTCTCTGTCCGGTCTCTTGCTGCGGCAACTGACTCTAAGTCTATCCGGATTCCCTCGCATATGCTCATTCTTCTTGAGCGAAAGTCTTCGGAGCTCTCTCTCGGTTTTTATCCCGCTGACACCACAGCTGCTGTGCCAGAGGACGGTTCCGCCACCGTTCGCGCGTTGCTGCGCTTACCAGTACCGGACACATCTTGCACAGGAATGGAGTCGGTATTCGCGAATGCTGAGTCACTCTTGATTCTCCGCTGTGGCGTGAAAAAGCATGTCAGAAGTAGTGGAAAGTCTGGCGGCGATAGCGCCTATACCTCCGAAGGTAGTTTGGTCGTGCGCCGTCTGCGATTAATGATTGCTCACACACCGTCGAAAGGAAAAGACGATAGAAAGCTGTCCCAACGCGAGAAGCTTTCGGCGTTTTACCCATTAGCCGCGCACTTGAATTTATGAACGACGTAAATTTTGTTTTTGATGATGTTAGAAGCACGACCTTTCTTGATCGCTTTCTTGATGATCGCTGATATACTAGCGAATCAAAGGACAGAGAAAGTGGATCTAAGCAATTCATGTCACTGCGGTTTGGTTGCGAGCGGGAGATGGCGTAGGCGTGACCGCAGAAAACTCCTTTGAAGCGTCTGCCAAGCACATGGCCTTGCAGCAAGTAGATGATCGCGTAGCCGAGGACGCATCTTTGACAGCAGGGAAAGTCACCGGAGGGGTACTATTGGCCACGTATGATATACTTGTGACTTTGTTCCAGTAAAAGATTTCTGAGCGATTCAAGAATTTGAAAGTTTCGCTTTATTAGTTGACGCTTTTTTCACATAGTGGTCGTACGCAGTAGCAGTTGCACACTAACTTTCATTGTCACGACCAGGTAGTGACTTCACTTGGATTCGTCATGGGGTCGGACGCGACCAATCGAGTTGCCGCACGTCGCGCACGAATGCATGCTGTGTTCGGCTACGCGGACGGGCGCGTCTCGTCCATGAACCTCCGAGACGCCTCCGTTTTGTCCGAGGTTGTGCCTCTAGAAGAATCACCGCTTTCCGCAAGCTTTCGCGAAAAGGGCAGAAATCGTAAAGCTGACGAGGCATTGGGAATTTATTTCAATTCGACAGCAGGAGCAGAAGCAAATACCAATGGCGACTATAGCTATAGTTACTTGACTTCAACAAGTGCTCGTCCTAGTCCAACATCTTCAGAGCAGGATGACGTGCTGCGTGGTCCAGCTCGCGGTGCGTTATCTTTGTCTAGCATTGCGCAAATTGTGACACATAACGCGCTGGCAGTGACAGTGTGGAGATCAGATAACGCGGAGTGGGGCAGTTTGGTGATTCGGGAGGCTGCACCTAAGAATGTCTCGAAGCATATGGTCGGAACACACTGTCAGCTTGCACTCATGGCATTACCCCAAGCACAGCGTGAAGGTATGAAGAGTTCTAGAATGCCGAGTACTAGTAGCGCTCCTGTTACGCCACCAGACGTACAACTAGACTCTGTACAACAGAGCAGGAGCGAGGACTCCAAAGCCACGTCCATATCAGAAGCTTGGAATTCAACTGCTACAACTGCTAGTCAGGGTCGGGCTTTGGTGAGGTTTGTGCAATGGGATGGATATTTGCTGTACGTGGTTGCTGACATAGAAGTGCCTCCGAATGATCCAGCATGCAATTCTTCGACCGATGTTGAAGCAGCATGCAAATCTTCACAGCATCTGGCAACTGTTCTGGTAGAAACGACTTTGGAAGAAATGCAGGAGCGCTGCAGTACCGGAGTACGCGCTCGGCGCATGTGGAGACTGGAATCTGTTCCTGGTAAACACGAACAAGTGGGTCTGGGTTTTCGTGTGAAGAATCTCTTGCCTTTAGGCGATCGTCAGATGTTAGTTCTGCACTACGTGGAGGATATGTCTGGGCTCGAAACCCTGGTTGGCTACCATCTTCCTGTTGGGGCTAGTGCCAAGCGCGCTGGCGGAAGCCTGTGGGGAGCATCGAGTAGCAGCAAGGTATCGGACTTCGGACTTGGTGCTGGGACATCGACACCAACATCATCCTCCAGCTCGCTAGTCTTCGACGACAGTCTCTTCGCAAACACGCGCGGTGGTGGAGGCTACCTGCCAACGACACTTGCAGGAGTCAGAGCATTGCCTACTCTGGGCCAGGGTGGTCGAACGCTATGGAGGTATCAGCCGGCTTGCGGTGGGTCACTAGTGCTGGGGAGCAGGGTTAGCTCAAGCGCAAAACAAGTAGAAGAAACTTCAACTGGTGAGACGGCTACCCCTGCTATGAAGCAGGACGCTCCCGAAAAAATCGAAATGGATCTGCAGATGGTCTCGCGCGCCACGACTGGTTTCGGTGATCTCTTTCTCCTAAAAGAAGCAAAGCAAAGCGCGACATCTTCAACTGGTAGCGTTGCGACTACGACACTCGCCACTGCTTCGGTCCTCTTTGAAATGGTACCGCCGAAGCCGCCACTCTACTATGTCCTCGAAGAGACGGCGCGTGCACAGCTTTTGCAAAACCGGGGGCAACTTTTGGATCCGACGTCTCTCATCGGGGCTGACAATGCTGCTGCATCTTCTTATGGACCACGCTTTTTTGAGCGGACTCAGAGTCGAGTTTTCGTAAATCGATGAAGTTTTTCTTGTCTATGAAAGTAGGTACCAACCTCTTATTCGAACCTATTGATTCATCTACATGATGTTAGATAGTAGAGCACATCTCCGTTCTAATTATTTGGGCTCTTCGGAGGTTTGACGGCTGGTTCTTCAGGGAAAGCTGATGCGATCGAGTCGACTTTTTCATGGGTGGGGACGTTGCGGCTACCTCTTATGTTCGGAATATTCGGCCTGATATATGCCTACAAGGGCGGGGACATTTTAGGTATCAAGGGACGCCGTTTGAGAGGGAGCGGCATTCGTGGGGCCGGGAAAGGCGGGTTTGGTGCTGGGGGTGGCAATCCATTTGGCGGAGCGCTGGGTGGAGGCATCGGAGGCAGTTTTGATTTCAATTACGACTGATACAGACTGACTTAATTAGGAAGATTATAAGACTAGGGAAGTTGCTCCTCTGGACCCCACGTGGCAAATATAGTGGGCTAGGAAGTTCCTCTTTACTGCAGCAAGATTTTTTTAGCTTCCTTGACTATTTTGAAAACGAGAAAGAGAGAAGAAAAACACTCAAGCAGCTGGAAAGTTTCAAAGAGTTGCAACGTCGAACGTGAACGAGAAGAAGAGTGAGCGCTGTTTTTTGTTGTTGTTGCATTTTCTTAAGA